CTTCATGGGGTTAAGATTATTTTACAAATTGGTTTGAAGTTTGGCTACCACCAAATTTTGATGAAAGTGGAAGAAATTTTAAAAACCACTTTCATGATGCATAAGGGTCCTTATGAATTCGCCGTGAAGTTGTTCAATCTTAAAAAATACTCCAATCACTTTTAAATTTATAATGAATAGGGTTTCTTGTTAATTACTTTAAACTTTTTGTTGGTGTTCTTTGATTATGTATTGATTTAATTGACTCATGTGTTTCAAATACTTCAATAGCACCAACTACACATTAATGTAAAAAATATGTTTTTATTAACACAATGATCAAACATTTGAGGCATTAGGTATCAACTGATGGCATGAAAATGGATGACAACAAGACTTAGGTGATGGTTGATTGGGTCATCCCTACTAATTTCTAAAAATTATATAGTTTTCTGAGTTTGACAAACTACTCTATGTGTTTCATGACAAATTATGGATACATCCCATAGCCTCTTACCCAATTACTCAAGTACTTTTTAAAATTGAGCGAGTAAGTAACAATGACTTTTCAAAGGCTCAAATTAGTAATGACCGCACCCCCATTACTATAATCACCTCATTTTCTTAATTATTCAAGCTAAAAACAAATGCTTCAAGTGATGGTAATAGCCTTTTTTAGTCACACTCTCTACTCACAATCACCAAAAACTAATGTATTAGAGACACTTAATAGCTCTAGTCTTAGTTGTCCTTAAGTGATGTTGTTATTTAATGGGTCATCTCTCTATTGTTTACATTGATCATATTCGTTTCAAATATTTCTTTGAGTAGTTATAAGTTCAACCAAAATATCAAAAATCTCTAGTGAAGATCACAAGATTTGATTTCACAATCAAATATTGAGGAGGTAGTGACAACCAAATTATTTATGCATTCTCTAAATTACATCATGTCTTTATTATCATGAGTTAATAATTAATTAATTATATACTTTTAACTTTTACTCATGATAAATAAACTTATGTTTATGTTAAATTATAAAAAGTAGTTTGTAGTTAGTTAATGTGATTTTTTGACTAATTATGTGATTATATATAAATTTATATATTTTTATAATCTTATTTTTAAGATAAAAATAAAATAAAATAAAAAGATAGAAAAAAAGGACTTGTTAGCCAACGAGGCTTGCAAGTGAGTCAGAAGCATAGTATAGCAGAACCATGAGTAGGGGGCTCGAGCAACTAAGAACGAATTAATAGAAGACACATATGCATCACTCTCCTTCTATGTCATTAGTGGTCAACTATGTGTACAATAAGAAATGGTTGTGCAAATGCAAGAAAGGGACACATTTATCATCAAATCTCATATTATTATATATATATATATATATATATTAAAACTCAAAAAATAATTGATATAAGACTAAATCAATGGTCACAACTTTCTAATAAGATTTTTAATAATTTTAATACCTAAAATACTCCTTATTTATGAGAAAGAAATACCCTTATGACATCAATTTATAAAGGTGTCCACATACTTTTCTCACTCTCTCTCATGAAGGCATGTGACTGACAAGAGTTCAAATTCTGCTAGAGTCAAAAGTCATATTTTTATTTGATTAAATTATAATTTGTCTACATCTTATAGGAGAATGACTAAATTCTCATCATTACTCAATCATTGGTGAAAATGTCGTCAATAGGCTTCACAAAATATTATTATTAAATTTATCTAATGATTATAGATAAAAGAATTATGAATCTATCAAGTAAATGATTTCTAATTGATTAACGAACAAGTCATTATTAGGAAGAAGAAGATCCATCGAGAGACGAATTGCTACCTCTTGAAAAGGTACTAGATGTGATGAAAAACTTTCTCTTGTTGTGTAAACCTAACGATAAAGCTTCCTAAGATGTGCCTACCTCCATCCAACTTATCTCTATCATGCAACAATTGTTGGAGATATGAAAAATTATCATTTTTTTCATTGCATCATATGACACCTACTAAAGAGGATTTGACTACTCACTTCATTAATTTTTAAACTTTTAAAAAAACTCTAAAGACTGTTTGCATCATTCTTATCTAATGAGAGTCATTAAGGCCTTGATCATTGCACGATAATACTCTCAAATATTTAGAATTTCGACATATTGTTGACACATCACTATTGTGATGCTAAAACTTTGTTTTACTATTTTTTAGTCAGTTTAACTTTCACTATCATTTTTTTTAACTTTGAAAGAAGATCCAGTAAATACTCAGATTGTCCATGTACAAAAAGAGCCTTTGAGGCCTTAGACATCATTTGATAATCTTTCAAAATTTACAAATTTTTGAGAATTGTTGTCACGAGGTCATAACTTTGTATTGCTTACTTTTAACTGAACTTTTACTTAATTTAATGATACTTTGTGTGATTTTAAGTTTCAAAATTCTTCTTCATTCAATTACGATTCTTTTAGTTTTCACATATCTTAATTTGACTAATTAAATCATCTATAATTATTTATGTAAGAATTATCAAGTAGAACTCTATTTCTACTTGAATCGTGTTCATTGATGTATTGACATCATCATGACTTATGCATCTTTTTTTTTGTAAATTTTTAAATATATTTTATATTCATCATTTAGTGTAAAAACCATAAGAACTCATATTCTTTTATGAAAATTTTTAAATATTAACATATATTATATTACATCCATGTGATCTACCAAGAAATTTCTCACTATTTTTGAAGTATTTTATTTGTTCTATTATTTTATTTTTTAAAAATTAAACATTTTAAATTCTATAAATTTTAAATTTGTATGATTTATTATAAAACTACTAAGTCACGTCACTATCCTAACTCATATTACTACTAGTACTACTATCTTCTCTAATCATATCGACTACAAGTTTTAGCAATTGAAATTAACCAAGATTTAAGATTGAGAAAACTTAAAATCGAGTAAAGTCATGGCATTAAGAATCTAAATATAAATTATGTTGTGGAATTTTATTCTATTATATACGTTGGTCGTACCCCAAAATTCAGATATGATTCAACATAATCTAATAATTGGTTTGGAGTACATTTTGATTACTTGTAGGTGTATAAGAAAATCAGCCAAAAAAAATTATGACAATGTATGAAGTAGTCAATCAAGACATGTTCAAGGCATGATTACTTGTTTGATTATATTAAAGGTTTACCTTGCTCTAATGGGTATTGCGTAATTTTAGTTGTTGTAGACATGTTTAATAAATGTGATTAATTTATCATGTTAAAGCATTCATTTACAACATAAATGACAGTTGAAGAATTTATGAAACATGTTATCAAATTACATAGAATCCCTATTTTATTATCTCTAACTATGACAAAGATCTTAACCAGCTAATTTTGGTCCAAACTTTTCAAATTGCAACATTCTCCCTCCACAAATGGATGGCAAAGTTGAGATTGTCAACATAATATAATAGTTGGGTTGGTTTGATCTTCCACTAACTCGTTTTGTCTATGTGAAGGAGATGTTACTTCCAAGGGACATCATCTTATATGAGCTCAAACATCATTTGGCATGTCCCTAATCCAAAATGAAAGCTCAGGCTGACTTCTAATGATGAGAGGTGATTTCTGAGGTGGGTGACATAGTCTACATCAAAAAATCCAATTGCACAAGATGAGATCCCCCATCTAGGGAAGGAACAAGCTCTCTCCCAAGTATTTTGGTCCATTCGAAATTATGACTAAAATTGATGTAATGGCATATCAAGTAGATCTTCCAGCAATCACCAAGATCCACTGCATCTTCTGTGACTCGCAACTGAAGAAAGTTGTGGGGATCAACGAGTACATCCAGACACTCACACCCACCTTGGATGAAGACCTCTAATGGATAACCCAAACAGAGTCATTCTGAAACACTTGCCAAGGCGTCTCCAAAATGGAGTTTTTGGTCGAATGGAATAACTCTCCAAACTTAGAAACTACTTGAGAATTAGTAGCAGCCCTCCAACGACAATTTTCCGAATTCCACCTTACAACAAGGCAAATCTGTTAGGGAGGGGTATTGTTAGGCCCAATGGCAACGGGCCTAATGCTAGGCCCACCTTCAGGGTTGACTTATGGCCGAAAAGGTAAGGCACAGGAGCCCCAAGGGTAGATGGGCAGAGGGCCCACTACTCAGTCAGGTGTAAGGACACTATTGGGACCACTTTTGGGAAAGAAGTCACCTGGAGAGTTGGCCGGTCTCGATCTCGCCCCTCTAGTTTCATCTGTGAGTTATTACAGGGGAACCCACCACAATGCATCTTTGATAAAGGGGTGGGTACTTCCTTCTGTTTACAACTATTTTACTTTGATACGGAGGGACCGTTACGTTACCCGCTCCTTCCATTGAGGATTCCTAGTCTCCCTAACTTCCCGGAGCCCTATTGAACATCTTTGCATGTTGACTTGGGTACAATTGTCAACGAAGATTGCAGGGTCCTCTACCGGCGGCAGAACTCGGAGTTTGGGGTCTGACGAAACGAGCGTTCAAACAAAATAGGTCGGTAATAGACAGAAGCCGCCGCTACCTACCAGTCAACCCTAGCCCGCCATCTGGGGTGAGAACTTCAGAGATGAGGAAGCACAGGCTAGGGAAGCAAAAATTGGACTCCTCGAACACTACGAAATTTCACACCTGACAAATCTTTCGTTCTACGTCTTTATGATAAATACTTAAAAGTCTTCTTCGTCGGCCCAGAATTCCTCTGTTCCACACGATAACAATACTGTCCCTGTGCCGTGAGAAAACTTCCTGCCGGATTCCTTCCGAATGCAATAAAGAAACTTTATTACAACGAAAAATATATCAATTCACAGAGGCGTATCCCTCTTCATCTTCGTGGTTGCCAACGTGGGCCGCACGCCAGTCAGCGGCTGCGCTCCGACCAACGAAGCAGAAGAAGGGAGTGGATAATTACAGCGGGAGAGTGGGCGGCGAGGGGCCGGCCGGGGGGGGCGGACGGCTGGTGGTCACCAGAGCCAGCTGCGGCGGCCGTCTATCGCCTTGACGGTGGTGGCCACCAGCGGCATCCGACCGTAGAGGGCGGCGAAGTCTTTGACGCACTGCGATCTCCTTTCGTTATGGCTTCCCAAGCTGCTGATTCCAGACGAACCCACCTCTCTTATCGCACCTGCATCAGCAACAACTCAGACCATGAAGAGAGACAGGATGATACCCCGTTACATCTAAAAGAGTCAGCCGACATTCGTGACCCAGCCCCAGAAGCTTCCATCTGAGCCCACCCATTCTCCTTTCGGTTACACCACATATTCCCGTCAGATCTCTTCTTTCGATCCGATGCGTAGCTCAATGGTTGGCCCCCATCCTTCGTTTGAAGGGCTATCTACCTCATATTCTGAATCAAGTTACTTCAAAATAGCCATTTCAAAGTAAATTATGAATTTCCGATTGAAAATTGAGCTCACCCACCACCCCATTAATTATAAACAAAATGCATATCTGAATCGTCACAGAGATGTTAAAGCCAACCCTTCTCAGGCCTCAGAACAGGCAGCCTTAAGGCGATGGACTCAGAGGCAGCGGGTTCGATAGGAACAGGTGACACCGCTGAAGAGCACAAGGGCATTTTCTAGGAAGAAAAGACGAGTAAATTACCCAGTTTTCAATCCAAGTAGGTAAGCTCGATTAAATCAAATCTGAGAAAGCCTTTAACCAATGCAGAGCCCATTCATCCAATGCAGGCTGACCCAAGTTATCTCATGGTCAAGGATTGAGAAACCGACTGAGAATTTTCATCCAAATCAATGAATACCATGAAACTATCCTCCTTGTCGATGGCCGAACATTTGACCTGACTGATACTCGGGTTTATTTCCTCGGACATCCGTATTCGACTATGAGTTCCGTATAGCGCCACCTGGTCCATCATTCATGATCTTTGCCTTTCCCCCAATCTCAAACGCTTCTATCTACGGCTCTGATTCCCCCCGACTCCACTACCCACAAGACCCAGGAAATAAGATTCGGGACGCGCACCAATCGAACCTGTTCTTACCTGATGCGCTCAAGATAAGTACATTGAAAATAAAGCAAAAGTCAACAGATATTTCGCCCCTTACCTTTCACCCACACAGGAGGACTAGCCGTCTCATTAGCGACCAGGAAAGACATTGCAATGTCCTCGCAATTCCTACGAAGTAATGCCATCACAATAAAATAAAGAAGAAGAAAACTGTCGGCTCTTGCAGGTCCCCCAGCGAGAGGATCTTCTGCCGGGCATGAAGCTGTGAAAAGATACCTGTTTTTGGTCACATAATCTCGGATAGCTGCCGGCATGTGGTTCGTGTACAAGCCCAGGTACTTTCTATGGAAGAAGGCCGCTTTTGTGAGAACCATACTGTAGGTGCCCGTCCACCAGACGGTCCACCAGCCACCATACTTGTAGTACTCCTCTCCATCGCTCTGCATATGAAACATCCCGTCTGAGTATTTAAGATCCACGACGATGATCGGACCTCTGAAGGCCAGGTAATATACGCGCAAGATTTAAAATTATCATAATAGAAATAGACCCCTGAAGGACTGCCATACCGTTCTGTACAGCCAGTGCATACGAGGAACAAATCCCACCATCGCCGCGGGTGCGCTCTGCCAAACGCCGAAAGCAAAGTCCACGGAGGCGCAGGGGAAAAGAACGTCGTCGTCGACTGACAAGACCGCATCCGTCTTCAGTTCGGGGATGTCTTTGAATCGGTTGTTCAGGCTGTCCTCTGCATTCAAGTCGAACTCTATTTCCACGATCCTGCCATCTCTCGAGTTCCTGTGGGCAACCCTCCTCAGACACGCCAGAAGGAAATCGGAAGGGGGATCGGCCTCGCTCCAAATTATGTGGATGGAGTCAACTCGGGAGCAGGATGCGAAATGCTCCACAGACTGCTTCAGGAGATCGTTCCTCTTAAAAGTATTGATTAAGATAGTGTATCCCCTCCTGTGGAACACATTCCGGTGAATATATATGCATGTATACTCGTATCCAATAATCTACGCAGTTCGCGCGTTCTGGCAGAAGAAATGCTTCCGGGCACACGCGGTGTGGACCTAACGGTCACATGATGAAGGAAAGTTCAATGAGAAAAGATGTTGGGTATGACAGAAAAGTCTCGATGGCCATCGAAACTGGCTGGGCATTGAGAACGGATCGCAACCCGGCGACAAATCCAGATACGAGTGCTACGAAATTTATCGGCCCTGGAAAACTCGCGACTTGATTAAGACAATCAGTCATGATCTTGCGCGCAAGAGCCTAGGCTGCTGCGTTAGGCTCTCCTCTGTTCATGTCCGCATTATAATATGCTTGGTTTATAGAAGAACGTGAGCCTCGTCATCTCTTCCTCCCCCTGTCGAATTCCCTGCTTGAGCTAGTTTTGAAAGGAGAGGCCGTAACCCATGGAGTCTTCCGTTTCGTACAGTAAATCTCGAACGTTTAGTCGGCTCCCAGAGAAGCAATGCAAAGGAATAGAGAACACCATTTCAATCAAAGATCACAGAAGACCAAACAGGAACTTGAATCCTTCCCGAGAGAACGATAGCCAGAGAAGCGGTGTTCATCTTCGTGATTATAACACGGCCTGAGAACGTCGGAGTTGAGAACAGCGCACACATCGGGAATCAGAGCGAAAACGAGAAAGGAACAACCGATACGTAACACCCGTCTCCGTAATGATAGCCGTGAGAGGAGAGTTAAAGAAGGAAGGAAAGAAGGAAGAGCGCAGCGGCGGGGAGGGTGTTCTTCGACGGACCTGGCTTGAGGTTGGCCATCGACTGGGAAGTGGTGTGGCCAGATCGCAGCGGAAAAGGCGAGGCCCATAATGAGGACAACGGCGAAGACAACACAGCTGGCCAGAAGCAGCTTCGCCTTCAGCAACCGGGCGGGTGAGCTCCAAAGCAGGAGACGGGCGCGCTGCGTCATCCTCCGGCCGCCGGCCGGCGGAATGACGCCCCCTTTCATCGTCCTCTGACACCAGAAGCACGCCTCCTCCTCCCTCGCGCTCCCTCACACCCACCGGCGCCTGCTCCTAGATTCTACCTCGCCCTCAAAACGTACAGTAGACCCCTTTCGCTCAGACTCCGCACGGGGAAGACAACCGCGTCAGAAACAATCTGCAGCGGGAGTTGATCTTGCAGGGCGACATGGCTCCGGCTGATCGGCGTCGGCAATACCAGATGCCATTTAAGGCCCCTCCACCGCCGCCGCCGTCCCTCTCTCTCCATCACCCTGTCGCTTTCTCGCGGTAACCGTCCCTCCAATGTTCCGTACCCTTCTCTCTCTCTCTCTCTCTCTCTGTCCCGTGCGCGACCAGCGAAAGATCTGGCGACGCCAAGTGACCCCCTCCCCCCGAAGACTGCGGACTTTCTTAAGGTTAAAGGAGGCATTTTTAATTCCAATGATGCCACATTTCACTGTCCTCCCATTCGGAAAATTCCCGGATGCATTCCCGTGTTCCTCGGGAACTACATTCCACCGTAAGGAGAAACGGAACGTACGGCGACTTTGCTCTCCTTTCCGCCACGAGCGGTCTCATATGAGAAGCAAACGCCGAGCCGTCCGGTGCGCGTGCGGTGCACCTTACCGTCCGTTCGTCTCACCGAAAACTACGGCATTTTACTGTGCCACGGTCATATTTGACTCTACGGGCGGAACATTAGTTGATACGTGCGGGACTTTTCCGTCCTCCCAATACACTCCGTACACTCCGGATGAGAGAGAGAGAGAGAGAGACTGCAGAAGGTTGAGCCACTTGTCACTTTCAGTCTATAGTCAATGGCCCTGGCTGACGACGCGGCTGACGGCAGTGACGAGCCCCCGTCGAACGGGGATCTGGAATCTCCCCAGGTCAGCGCTGACGGTTGGGTCGATACACCAGCGAGATCCCTCTCTCTCCACCGTCCAACCTTCCTTCGTTCTAATATAACACCACCACCTTACAAAAACAGACGAATAAAGGTTGTAGATCTCCGGATTACATTATATTCGATATTAAAAATAAGCGTTGATTTAAATAAATATTATAAGGAACAAAACGATCATTTTTACTGATCCTTGTGAAAAAATAATAGAAAATTTCCGGCTCGTCGTCTGGAGGCCAGCGAGCTGGCCCGAGCGACTTGGTCGTTGACTGCTGTTGGGTTGGGCCCTTTCACTGGCCCCGCCTGTTAACGGCGCAACAGAGCACTTTACTCCGGGAGCCCATCTACCCGCTACCGGGAACTAACCGAAAGACCCACCTACCACAAGCCCAATATGTCGACAACACGGCCCAAATTGGGAAAACCAACTAGATAAACGGACCGCTCATCCAGCGAGCCTCCAATGGGCCGGATGAGAATTTGACCCAGTGATGGCCCACAACCGCACTACCCCCCAACCCAACACGGAGACCTCCAGAGCCCGCATGTGGCCCAATGCGCCGGTTCCGAGTGCTGATGGACCCCTTTTGATGGTCGTTACGCGCCGCCCCCGCGGCCTCCCCCCCCGGCACAATATCTGTACGGTCGTTGATCGACCATCGTGTGGCCAGCAAGGCTGCCCACGTCACCCTGAGACGTTGCGCCGCCCAACTCGGCCCATGTGGCTGGAAATTATCCGGTGGAGACACGACAACACCGACCAACTCTTCCTACCCCTGGACGGCGGCGGGCCGCCGGAAAAACCTCTAAGCTCTTATTAAGTATCTACTGGGCGGCGCAGATGGAGAATCATCCCCGAGGAAGTGGTGTATTAAATGCCGCCACGTGTATACTTATCACCGGTGGAACGAGAGATGGCTAGCTTGAGCACCACGTGGCCATCTCTCATGCTCTTTAATCGCCGTTGGGCGTAATCAGGGCCCCCCTCGCACCGTCCTTGACGCGAAACGTTGCGTCTGATGAGGAGATGTTCATTGGCGGCTGGCAGATACGTTGGGATCATTCGACGGCGAGGCCCGAGAGGCCTCCATCTGTCCGTCACGTGGGCCGTCTCTTCCCCGTCCTCTCTTGTCTCTGTCATGGCAGCTGCCTCTCCTACGTTCGCAGCTCCCCTCGCTTGGCAGATAAGGTGGGACGGAATATTTTAAGCATATTCTTAATAACTTAACCTCGCTTAGGCGTGGGCCCCTTATTAAGGATAGGATTAAGTAGACAGTCACAAGATCCGCTGGGAACTCGGGACCGAGGAACCCGGGTCTGGGGTTGTCAGAGGGGTAACGTGGCCTTAACGGCGTTAGGGATTGGTCGCCTCGAGATGCCACGGCGTCCGTGATCTCCAACGGCTACCTGAGCAGGTTTTCGGGGGGCGTCAGAGATGAGCTGTATTGCTTGCTTACGTGGGGCGCCGTGTCAGAAGGTGGATCCCAGCACGTGGATCAATAATTATGGCGCACCTGGCATGACTCTCGCGAACGGTCAGCTCGCGGTCCCAGCTGGGTGAAAGGGGCTGCTCGCGCTAGGGTCACTAACGGAGAACGTTACCTCCCACCGGCGGATAAGAACGTTCGGGAGGTGACGCTATCCCCTGCTCCTCCAAAGATGGACTCGTACTGTAAAAATAATGGACTCCAAAGAGTCTCGACACCATCCACTCTCTGAGACAACCTTCACCCGCTGCTGCTTTGCTCTCAGTCTCTTATTCTTCTCTCTCCTCCCTATAAAGAAGGTGCTGCTTCGGAGTAGACCGCTAGGGCAGGAATCTCAGGCAGCAGAAAGAGAGAGAGAGAGAGAGCCTGGTAGGAAGGGTCCGAGAGATGGCGGAGGGGAAGGAGGAAGATGTGAGGCTGGGGGCGAACAAGTTCCCGGAGAGGCAGCCGATCGGCACGGCGGCGCAGGACAAGGACTATGTGGAGCCTCCAGCGGCGCCGTTCTTCGAGCCGGGGGAGCTGAAGTCGTGGTCCTTCTACAGGGCCGGGATTGCCGAGTTCATGGCTACCTTCCTCTTCCTCTACATCACCATCCTTACAGTGATGGGGGTGAATCGCTCGGACAGCAAGTGCCAATCTGTGGGCATTCAAGGAATCGCTTGGGCCTTTGGGGGCATGATCTTCGCCCTCGTCTACTGTACCGCCGGAATCTCCGGTACGCAACTGCCCTGGTTCCTCATCCCCCCTCGCCACCGCACAATCTCCCTCTCCTCTCTTCACTTCGTCACCCATCGGATCGGGATGTGTCCGCTTTTATTTCCATCTCCGTCGTTTCCCTTAAGGGATTTCTCGTGCGGGCCGATTCTTTCTTCCCCAAGAACACCGAAAATAGAAAATATTCAGACGAAAAAAACGAATGGATCGAAATATTATCGTGGAAATATTTTGAATGGGTGCGGGTTTAGGGTTCCGGTTTCGAGTCTCTCGTTCGATGCTTGTATTTATTTATTTATCCTCAGTAGATTTTTAAGCAAGTATTTGTAAAAAAAAATGATGACGACGACGATTGGTCCTTGTGCAGGAGGACACATCAATCCGGCTGTGACCTTCGGGCTGCTTCTGGCCCGGAAGCTGTCACTCACCAGGGCGCTCTTCTACATCGTAATGCAGTGCCTCGGCGCCATCTGCGGCGCCGGCGTGGTGAGGGGCTTTCAGAAGTCTAATTACGGGTTGCTCGGCGGCGGCGCCAACGTCGTCAATCCCGGATACACCAAGGGCGACGGTCTGGGCGCTGAGATCGTCGGTACCTTCATCCTCGTCTACACCGTCTTCTCCGCCACCGATGCCAAGCGCAACGCCCGCGATTCCCACGTCCCGGTGAGCCCTCGGAGGAGAACCCGTCTGCCCTTCCTGCGCCGCTCTACTACCGTTTGCTTGTTCGAATTGAATTTTCTGCATCGTTTCTAATGCGACGACCCTGTTGGGCGGGACAGGTGCTGGCTCCCCTGCCCATCGGCTTCGCGGTGTTCTTGGTTCACCTGGCCACCATCCCTATCACCGGCACCGGCATCAACCCGGCGAGGAGCCTGGGGGCCGCCATCATCTACAACAGGGACCACGCATGGGACGACCACGTGAGCCATCTTCGGCAACACCTTCTTCTCTCCCTTCCTTGATTCTTCGGAGCCTAGAGGAAACCGATTGACGATATAAATTTTCTTCGCCTGCGCAGTGGATCTTCTGGGTTGGACCATTCATCGGAGCAGCCCTCGCGGCCGTCTACCACCAGATCGTCATCCGGGCCATCCCATTCAAGTCCAGGTAGGGAAGAAGACGAGGGAAGCTCGACGAAACGATTCCGCCAGCGCGCGGAGCGACACGGGCGTTCTTTCTATGTTGATGTGGTTGTCTATTCAGTCAGTGTGAAGCGTACTCTCCGTCGTCCCTCTCCTCTCTCGAAGAAATTCTCTTATTTTTCTCACCTCCTGTATCATCTCTCCTCTGCAATGTGAACTATTCCCTCGGTTGCATCATCATCTTCGGCCTCTCGCTATCTGCTTTGAATGCTCTTCTCTGTCTCTCTCTTCGAGCTTGACGGAGACGTCGGCTCTCGCCCTCGTCGTTGAGCTTATCCTCGTCTCTCGGGAAGGGAGGGCTGGTTGGCCCGGGAAAAGGAGTGAGAGAGAGAGAGAGAGAGAGAGAGAGAGAGACGGCCTGCAACGGACGAATTTTCCACAGCTGGCAGATACCCCACCTCCTGACGTCGCCACCGTAGCAAGATAACGGATATGTAGTACTCTGCTCTCATGGTGGGCTTCCTTTCTCCATGGGCCTTTTTTAAAATCCGGGCCCATTTTATGGAAAAGTAACCGGCCGGAAAGCACTAATTAGTAAACTGACCTAACGCGGCCCAGTCCAATTACACCACACCGGGCTATGCCACGTCTATCGTGAGTCACCCCCATGGGCTGGTCCGTTACTGATGGCGGCCCACAAATAGTAAACTGATCCAACTCGGCCTGCTCCCCACGGGGCCGGGCCGCTCGTCCTTCGTCCTCCCTCGTGAGCCCGCCACTTCCCCTAGAGCTCTTTATCGCCGGAGTTATTTCTCCTCCGCCGTCCTCCACCGGCCCGACCGGCGCAGCGGCGTCCGTACAGCGACCCCAGAATCGGCAATAAAAGAAGCTCTAAAGCTAGAACATGAGGTAGCGACTAGGTCCCTTCTGCCCCACCCGCCGATCCGATTCCCTCTCCCCATGCCGGGGCTCGCTCGATGAGTACGACTCCCACCGCCACGGACGGTGGAGGCACCGAATATTTATAAACACGGATAAATTAATATTTAAGACTTTGTGGTCACCAAACCCAGAAAGATTTATTCGTACATTCCTACTGCTCATAAATGCATGTAATAAATAATTTATTTGGGATTTTTTTATGACGTTAAATCCCTCGGGAAACACGGGAGTTTGAGAACGTGAGGTGGGCTGCCTCACGATAAAAAATAATCCAAGCATGTGAGAAGATCATATAAGTCTTTTTCCGTATTCATAAATACACCGTAGAACACCTCCCCCCCTGAGTCCTCTCGTCTTGATAGAGACGAAGCGAGGGTTGACTAGCCTCCCCGTGGTAATAAGCGTACGAAAATATCAATATCGAGCTCGACATCAGCCATTAATGGATCATTCCATCACGGATGGAGACCCGGTTGCGGTTCTCTATGTTGGTAGTTGGTTTCGAGGAGCTTCCATAAGTGTCTCTACTTATGAAGGCCTACGGAACGTTGGATTTAGTAAGAGCGAAGCGGTTGGGTACTGGTCCTCCCAAAGGTAGGTCTTTTTTACTGTATCATTCTTCGATTACACCTCCTTTTTTTCCGTCAAACGCCCGACAGCTAGACTCGCACCATGGAGCCCAAGGACTCTCTCTCTCTCCCTCTCCTTCGCTCGAGCAAGGGGAGCTGCAGCGTGAAGCCACGGTGCAAGGAATTCCTCCTCTTCTCCCGCGAAGCCAACCCAGTAGGAATATCTGCCCTCGCTCGGCCTCGTGGGTTCCCTCACTTTAGGTTAATGGCTTTCGGGGGAGAAGAAGGAAGGAGAAAAAGGTATATTTATATTGAGCTAAGGAGGATAGCGGGTGGGGTGGGAGCCAGCTACTAGCATGGCGCAGAGAAGAGATAAAGACGGAGAAAAAAGAACCGTTCTCTGAGAGCTTCCCGGGATTCGGCAAGAAAACGGAGAAGAACTAGGGTTTAATGCCCCCCGTTTGATCTTTTAAAGACACTATCTCCAAGAGTTAACTAATCTCTCTCTCTCTCTCTCTCTCTCTCTCTCTCTCTTCTCGGGCTGGGTTGTTGCACCCACTAGAAGGCCCGTGAAGGAGACCTGAAAGGAGAAAGCCTGCGGGTAGATCGTTCCTCGTGGGAGCCAGAGACCAAGGCGACGGCCGTACCATGCCATAGCCGTGAGCTTCGCCGGATCGAATCGAGCGGGGGGCATCGTAACGGCCAGGGCGTCCACGAGTCCTGCGCCTCCCTTCGACGATGCCCCGCGTGACTTCGGTTGCCTCTCCCATCTTCGCCCGACTTTGGGTCACTAATGGGCCTCTGTCGGGCCATCTATGGGGCATTGGGCCCAAAACCAGTCACCGCTTATGGTGGGTCACTAATCGAGGTTATATGGGCTTCAGATTAAACTGCTGATTCGGGCTTGACTAGTCTTTAAATCGAGCCGAGTGGGTCGGCAAGGTCCGGCCCAATAAGAGAAAAGGCAATGGACCCGAAAGGGGAAGGGCATCCCGTGCAGCAGGAGGATCTTTCACGGCCGCAGGGTCTCGGCTTCTGGGGGGTGGGGGAGGCCTCCCACAAAGTAAGTCCATTGAATGTGTGTGGGCGTCGGCTTAAACTCTCAACAACTCTGGCGCTGCGTCCTCACCTACCGCAATTCAATCACATCTCGGGACCACCAGAGAGAGAGGACGGGGGGGCGTTAGGGAAGCTAATCCAACAGATTCGGGCCCAATAGCATCTCTTTCCCGTTTACCCCCACGCAAGTAAGATGTCTGGAGGAGGGCTTTCACCCCCACTCCATTTAAACCCTCCCTCCTTCTCCGTCGTCCATTCCATCTCTCTCTCTCTCTCTCTCTCTTTCTCTCTCTAAAGGGCCTAATTCGACAAGTTGGCTCGGAGAAATTTGCATGTATATATACAGACAATATGTGCATGCATGTGTATTAGGGACGGGGAGCAGTACAGGGAGGGCCGGGGGGAGGAGTTGAGAGTGGTGCTGAAGAGATGGGCTTCCGGGGGTTCAAACCAGTGGAGATGTGCAGCTCGGAGGGGAGGTCCAACGAGACCGTGGCAGCGGATCTCGACGGGACGCTGCTGGTCTCGCGCAGCGCCTTCCCCTACTATATGCTGGTGGCCCTCGAGGCGGGCAGTCTGTTGCGGGGCATGCTCCTGCTGGCTTCCTTCCCGCTGGTGATCCTCGTCTACATCCTGTTCTCGGAGCCGCTGGCCATACAGGTGCTCATCTTCATCTCCTTCGCCGGCCTAAAGGTGCGCGACATCGAGATAGTGGCCCGGTCGGTCCTCCCCAGGTTCTACGCCGAGGATGTCCACCCAGAGAGTTGGCGCGTCTTCAGCGCCTTCGGGCACCGGCTCGTCGTGACGGCCAACCCCCGGATCATGGTGGAGCCATTCGTGAAGAATTTCCTCGGCGTTGACGAGGTGCTGGGGACGGAGATCGAGGTCACCAAGTCGGGCCGCGCCACCGGCTTCGTCAAGCCGCCGGGGGTCCTCGTCGGGGAACTCAAGGCCGACGCCGTCAGAAAGGAACTCGGCGACAACCTGCCCGACCTGGGCCTTGGAGACAGGGAAACGGACTTCGACTTCATGTCCATCTGCAAGGTTTGATCTCCCTCAATTCAGCCGACTTCGTATATTCTCTTCTCCCCTTCCCTCCTTCATGCATCTCTCTGCATTGTCTCTGCGTTCCCTCTTCCATCGTGTGGACAAGGCTCTCGCCTCCCGTCCATCGTCTTAGTGAGAATTCTTATTATGGCAAGGAGCCCAGCGCGCTCTACTCGCTGGGCTCCCTCTCATCCCCCACCTCGCTGGCGGGGGGCCACGCGGGGAAGATCCACACACTACAGCAGCTCCCGACACTTCCAATCACCCCCCCACTGGAGCTCCCCAATTCCCCACCCTTGCTTCCTATTCATCTTCTTCTTGTTCACCGTCTGCTAGCTTTCGGTGGCTTCTCATCCCCACATCGGTTCAGTCGTCTCTTCTGATCATCTCGTCCTTGATCTCTCCTAGTCATCTATCTTCGCCCCGTGCATCCCCTCCTCCGAAGGACGTCTCCATTTAATGGCGGTGCCGCGGGGCTGCCTTCATTCTTCCAGTGCCCGGCGTACCCGACGGGAGCGTGGCCATGTGTTCGATTAAATGCCCAAAGCCTCTCCTCCGAGGAACCCCTCCCGAGATATCTCTCGACTCACGTCAACCCCGCGCATGCAGAGACTTACGCATCAACGCTGATCCACCCCACCTACGTGCTCATCCTTCGCTTCCTAGCAAATCTACGAGGAAACGTCGACACCCCGGGGTCAAACCCCGATCGGATCCGTTGCCCGGCTGAGCGCTTTAGTGGCGTGGGGCCCGGCGACTGTCTGTGGTTTACTGCTTGCGGTCACCGCCCCGCCCCGTTTGCAGGCTCTTCCAGGAGATCCAGGGAAGGAGGGGAGGTGTCGACGGTGGGTCCCGTCGGAGACTAAGAGTGAATGAGCAGATGTGTCCGTAGATATTTAGCGGATATCCTGTGGTTTCGCTCAATGGTTGAATAATTTTGATAATCGGTTGACGTGGTTTTCTGGCGGACGTGTGGATGCAGGAGGGCTACGTGGTGCCGCCGAGCAAATGCTCGCCAGTGCCGAGGAGCGAGCTGCTGAGCCCGATCATCCTTCACGACGGGCGGCTGGTGCAGCGGCCGACGCCGCTCGTGGCGCTGCTCACCTTCCTGTGGATGCCCGTCGGGTTCGCTCTCTCCCTGATCCGGGTCTACTTCAACATCCCCCTGCCGGAGCGCATCGTCTTTTACAACTACAAGTTCATGGGCATCAAGCTCATTGTGAAGGGCACCCCGCCACCGCCCCCGCAGAAGGGCCACCCGGGGGTTCTCTTCGTGTGCAACCACCGTACCGTGCTCGACCCCGTCGTCACCGCCGTCGCGCTGGGGCGCAAGATCAGCTGCGTCACCTACAGCATCAGCAAGTTCTCCGAGCTCATCTCCCCCATCAAGGCGGTGGCCCTCTCCCGGGAGCGGGACAAGGACGCCGCTAACATCAAGAAGCTGCTGGAGGAGGGAGACCTGGTGATCTGCCCCGAGGGCACCACCTGTCGCGAACCCTTCCTCCTCCGATTCAGCGCCCTCTTCGCCGAGCTCACCGACCGTATCGTCCCCGTCGCCATCAACACCAAGCAGGGGATGTTCCACGGGACGACGGTGAGGGGCCACAAGCTCCTGGATCCCTACTTCTTCTTCATGAACCCCCGCCCGACCTACGAGATCACCTTCCTCAACCAGCTGCCCGTCGAACTGACCTGCGCGGGCGGCAAGTCCGCCATCGAGGTGGCTAACTACATCCAGCGGGTCCTCGCCGGCACGCTCGGCTTCGAGTGTACCAGCTTCACCCGCAAGGACAAGTACGGCATGCTCGCCGGCACCGATGGCCGCGTCGCGTCGAAGAGGGAGAAGGACGACGGCGGCGAGGACCCACCGAAAGCCCAAAAATAACCTCCATACGGAGAACAACAAAAAGAATGGAAAGTCTCGAAATCGGAGGCCCCTGGTCCCCTCTTTTTTCCTTCTATTCTTAAATTACATTATAATGCGCTGATATGCTTCCAGGTCTTAACGTGGGTCGTCACTAGGAGGTGATGCGTCCTAATTTATTATGCGAGTCGGGTTCACCAAATGTCCCTACCTTTCCACCCAGATGGCATTAATCGTCGATATCTTTCCTACCATTTTTATCCACTTTTTCCTCGTCCGCTGTGACCCCCCGCGGCCGTTCTCCGGCTGAGATGACGACGACGACGACGACGACGACAAAATGCGAGCAAAAGTAATCACAATTTTTTATTTCCCAAGTCAACAAGGTGCTATTCTGCCCTGCCATCGGTCAGTCGTTAGCCTTCGCCGAATGGACTGTTCTTACAAGATATGAAGAACCTCTTTAAACCGTGACCTAGGGAGGCTTCGGCATCCTACGCACGCTCAGATTTATGATTCCCATCATATATAGATATTTTACAACCCCCCCCCCCCTCTATAGAGCTCCGTCTAAGTATCTTACTTAATACGGACGGCGGGTGGGGGCAGCCAAAATTAATTGACGTGGTCCACACTCGGGTTGGTGCAGCAGCTCAACGCAAAAGCCCGATGTAGATAATCTGCCCATCCACTCGGTTGGGCAGGCTCAGCCATCTCTCTATCACTCTATTCCTTTTCAAGAACTGTGCCCACAACAGCCTCACCCACCGTGCATTCCGGGTCTCAACAGTCTGACTTTTGTTGCGAGCTCGCATCCTCGTCGCGATCTAATGAGATAATTTATTGCCGAATCTGATCTATGAGCGCGAGCGCAGCACTTAGGTCGCAACAGCCGTAGAATCTCTTCCTCTCGATCAAGAAGTCATGCCCCCCCTGGCATATCACAGATGAAGATCGCTAGGCACAGCCTGACCGATGTGTGTGGGCACAAGCGCTCGTAAGTCAATGAAGAAAATATCTCGGATATGGACCAAACTAACGTAAGATCTCGGGGGGGGGGGGCTGCAACGTTGTCAAATCTCAGATCTAGGACGTCTGACCTAACTTTGCGGAGCAAGAATATCCATTACTCCCTCCTGCGCCTCGATATGAATGCTGCAGATGCCCACCCTCAACTGGCCCGCTCGGCCTCCAGTTTACCGCTGGAAAATACCCGAAAGTAAATAAAGCACGTGCCGCTCTATGAATGAGACAGCCGCCCAACCCGGTCGGTTGCCGCCCCTCCCCTTCGCAGTTCACTTTTTGGCAGGAACCTCTCTCTCTCTCTCTCTACGCCGTTGGTCACGTCTGGAGAGGGGGGGGGAATTAAGGGGTAATTAATTGGCAGGCGTGTGATGGCAGCTGTCAAGATGATGCGGGATAGGCTCCGGTGGATTTGGAGCCCGTTGGTCCGGACGGACAGCTCAGAGTCGGTCCCAGAGTCACGTGAGGCGTTATCACTCCCCGCCAGTGAATAGCCCATCATTGTAACTCTCTGTCAGCCCATTAAACACAAATCTGTCAGCGTGGGCCAGGCCCATTGTATTTTCAACCTCGGATGAAACCCACCAGAGCCACCTTTTTAACCCATTTTTCTGGGCTCGGGCTCAATAAGTCGGAGCCCCTCCCCCCGCCCAAGCCCATGTAATGAAGCCCGTAGCCCACGTGGGCCGGGATCAGGCCCGTCCCCAGGCCCAGGCCCAGCTGGTAGGCCTCCCCGTGGAAGAGTATGGCTATTGGGCCGGGCTGAACCGGGTCCTCTTGGCTGGGCTTTTCATCGCCTAGGACAGGAACAAACTGTGGATTATGGGCCTGGGTTTCATGGGTGCACATCAAAGCGAGACAATAAAAAAGAATTATTTATATATATTTAAAAGGTATTATGTGAAAGTCACGGTTAATTTACTGCTTGCACCTCCAAGATGTTCCAATTTGGGGAGTCAGAGGAGGTGGGGAGGGTATGAACGGATATTACCTTAAGTTGAGTTATGTAAGATTTTATAGAGGAATTGGGGGATTATATTAAAAACTATTTCTGGCGACTAGAAACCCTAGACTGCCGATCTTCTGTTTCCCGCTGCCTTGTAGAACCCTTTCCTCTGCTTCCTGATTTCGCGCAGACGGGGAGGATGGGGGGCGCCGAGGCCCAGACCGTGCTGCAATTCGTCCCCTCACAGGCGAGCGCATCCGCGAGGGTACACCCCGTCGTTCTCTTTAACATCTGCGACTCCTTCGTACGGCGGCCCGATCAGGCGGAGCGCGTGATTGGGACCCTCCTTGGGTACATCGCCTCCGACGGCACCGTCGAGATTCGGAACTCCTACGCCGTTCCTCACAATGAGTCCTCGGACCAGGTACCGATGATTTTGCTGGCTTACGCCGTGGGTGTTTCCTCTCGAGCTTTACATCTGCATTTTTTCTCCGTCTGGGTGTAGCGTCTTTTTGGATTTTTTAGCAGCAACGATAATAATCAGACGGAAATTTGTCTCAAATTATTTAAGTGGTACAAACTAGATTTGCTTATTTTGATTGATGGAATTGGCAGGTTTCGTCGATTAATGGTTGGCATGATTTCTGGTTATTGGATATTATATTCATACGCATTCAAAAGTGTTTTCTTGCAAATTTCATACAATATATGATATATCATAAAATTAAAACTTTTCAACTATGCAAGGGATTATACTTAACACGAAAACGAATTGGAAGCGTAAGCGAGTGATAAAAAATTAAAAAATTACGTATATTGTCCATTTAGGAATAGTTTTCTCACGATAGTGAAGTTATTCACAACGCTTTGATATGGGAGTATATGGTGCGTCACTCCTGTGCATTATTTTCATTATCCAATGAAGGATTCAATATTAACAAAATCTCTCATTCATTGCTATTCATTACTAGAGCAGGTTGTGTCATCTGTAAATCTTCTTGCCAAGGACGATCCTATGTGATAGTCTCTATAATTCTCCACTTTGCATTTCAAAATGAAGGACGATGTGTAATGCATACATTTCTGTAATTTTCCTTGGAAAAGCATTGGAATCCCTCTTTAGGGTTCATTTTAAAGTATCCACTGGTGGAGGCGTCGATTTTCACGTACAATGTCATTGATCTTTTGAAAAATTGATTGATAGTTCGGTGACCGGTACCTATGAAAAATTTGACACAGTCCATGCGGCGTCAGTGTACATGGACGACTATCCACTTGTACTGTTGCTAGAGGCGAGAGGAATTAGTTCACGTCAGTTAGTTCTTATGATGAAAAAGTTAATGGGGATCACATCTAGATTTTGACGATGAAGAAATGGGTTATTGTATCTCAGCTAGTGGTGCCAATGAAAAAGGGTCAAGCGCTGGAAGGATGAAATCTGGGGTAGCTTGGTCAGCTGCGTTGTTCAGCAGGATGGATAGGGGAAACGCAATTGTGGAGGGGGAGGAAGGACTTGTGTAACCTTCGTTGATTGGGTGATTGAGAATTGTGAGGGTGCGTGGGTCGCTGATGGGTGACTAATGGGAGATGAATGGGTTTCCTGGAGAGAAATATTCAAGGTCCTGGCCTTCCCTGTTTTGTTTCCCAGCTTAATATTAGGTTCTGGAACACGCAAAAAGAGGCTGGCTGGGGAACGCCTCCCTCATTAATCAACACCTTGAATCACGTTTATATGTTGATTCGTCTCGTGCGTTTTTTTAGTTCACCTCTCAGCTGTTTTTGTATTCTTTTCAGTTACAGTACTGAGTTTACTTGAAACAGTCTGCCTTACCTTTACTCGATTTTGTTTTCATATTCATATAGAATGCCTCTAACTAGCGGAACAACATTAACAGTTCTTAGATAGGTTAATTTGGAATGTTTGAAAGGAAGCTTGGTGTGGCTGATGTATTTGTAAGTGGTAATATACCTACCCCTTTCCCTCCCCATCAGAAAAGAGCTAAAAAGAAGAGAACAGAGGAAAATGCACGCGTATGCACCATTTAAACAAGACTCCGGATTAATGCAGGTCGAAACAACGCTGTGTTTGCCCAATGCAGATCTGGTATTGCATTGACTAAATCTGAATTGATTTAGTCAATTCGACCCGTCTCCACATTCATGGCGACTCGTACTGGCTGAATTACAATTCATAAAGTTTTACTAAGTTGGCAAACTACGTCTCAAAGTTCCTTTCTGTTGTATGGTACATTTTTTTTCTAAAATTCAGTCTTCTATGGATGCTCTTATAATAATTCTGTAAGTTATAGTTTTTAGGTGGGTTGAGATTGTGCCTAGAATATCATTAATTCTATTGTCTTAAAGGGTTCCTATGAATTTTATGGGATTCTTGCATTTTGTCATCCGTCTACTGTTCTAGTGAAATCCATTTTCGAGTTTTTCCCCTGAATAAAAAGTTATGTGATGAAGTATACTTCTTATTTTGAGTCAACCAGTTGTCTCCGTTTTTATGGAGCTTTATGGAGCTTTATGACCGGTATGTGCATTCAAGACCTGTATCCTATAGCTTTTCTAGCCCTAAAAATCAACTTTAATGGGGCTCGGCGGTGTTCCTCCATGGGTTACAGAAACAAAGCGTATGTTGCTGGTGCCTTGCTTCATGGGTTCGACTGGTATTAAGCCAGTGCGATAGCTCACATCAAAGTACTAAGTTTTTTTCATGACACGAGACTTTTGATTATGAATATAAATTGCTTGAAGATAAAAGTGCATGAAGAGAGCATAATCTAAGAGTAATCTTGTTATTTTGTTCTCTTGTTGGGGATGATCCATCTGTCTTAGAAGATTTGATTCTTGGTGGGGAGGATCAAGCTGCCTTGTGAGATCTGTTACCAACGTAGCTTAATTTGGTGGTCGTCACGGATATAATGCCATACTTTAAATTTGACGTCATTGCTGAAAGTGAGTTCCATTGCCTATTCCTTCATATAGTAAGGATAAATACAATCTTATTCCATCAATCTAGTTTCTATTCTCATCTATTTGAGTATGCATTAACTCTGACCGTTAACTTTGCTGCATATAAAGTCACATTTCCATGCGTAATTGCTAATCTGTATGCATCTGTTTTCTGTCTACAGGTTGCTTTGGACATCGACTATCACCATAACATGCTTATTTCCCACCAAAAGGTTAATCCAAAGGAAGTGATAATTGGATGGTAATAACTGACGCAGTCAAGATCATAATCCAAAGATTCACTCGTTAACTTGATTTTTTTAGACCCTTCCGTTTGCATTGAAAGATCATAGTATCACTGTCACTCCAAAGTACCATTTGACTCAGTAGAAAGTTTTTTTTCTTTTGATCAGTAAAATTTAGCATGGCTTCATCACTAGATATACTCTGTGTACTCTGTTCTCTTTAAGGCTTCGCTATACATTGAATTATTTTTTCCCAAAAGTTGAACAGCTTTTTCATTCACTCTTCATTTTTCTCATCCGATGTAATATTTTCGCTTCTCCTGTTGTGATTTAACATATTTTGTCAAAAACAGAGTAAATATTCCGAAATTGGACTTCCTAGCGTTTCTTGATGAACTTTGTTGCTTTTTATTTCATGAATACTTTTATTTCACCTCCATACAGTCGCTCTAAACTTAGCTCTTGCTGTAGCTACACCTTGATCATTGGTTCGATTTCATGTTACTGAAGCAGTTTGGTATTTGAAATCAAAAGCGGCTCACCTTGCTTCTTCGATGTCTCGCTTCTATAGCACCCTGGGTTGCTGTCTCCAAAGAGATATCTGGTTTTTCACGCGTTATTTTTTTCGTCCGAATCAATACTGTAGTAACCTTGGCATGAGAAAACGACGTTTTATGTGCTCTTTTGTATTTTCCAAACATATAATTGATTAGTGCTTCATTTGTGGAGCCCTAGTTGACCCAAGAAACATATTATGATTCTGTTCTATATAACAACTTCCTCCTCGAGCATTCTTTTTTCCTAGTACCTGATGTGGTCATATTTCCTGCAGGTACTCTACAGGTTTTGGTGTTACAGGAGGGAGTGCGTTGATACATGATTTTTACTCCAGAGAGGCGACAAATCCTGTTCATTTAACTGTTGACACAGGATTCAGAAATGGTGATGCTAGCATAAAGGGTTACGTGTCTATTAGCTTGTCTCTTGGTGATCGCCAACTTGCTGCAGAGTTCCATGAAATCCCTGTCGAACTGCAGATGTCTGAAGCAGAAAGAATCGGGGGTATGTTTCTAAGTTGGGGCCTTCAAATTGCCATGTTTTTCTATTCAGTGAATATCTTTCCATGTTTTATTTTTCTGGACTACTTCCGGGAGGAAACCCGTGAACAAATGGTCATATAGTTTATTTTACTGAGACTCAATGTGTGAATTTTCTGCTGATATTTAGGGTTCCACTAGGCATGTTAACTTGCGATTATCACAATGTCTCCTTGTTTCTGGAGACTCGAAAAAGTTTCCATTGTTCTGATTCGATTTCGGCTCGACATTTATTTTGGGTGACTCTCAGTGGTCGAGTCCACATCTGCTAGTAACTTTCGCCGATTTCACCACCATCTTATCCTATGTATGGCTCTTGTTTATCTAGGGTTAAGCCTTGTTCTTCTATGGCAGTTGGCATTTTGAAGACAACGATGGTTGACAAGCTTCCTGGCGACTTGGAAGGAATAGAAGCTTCAATGATCGGGCTGCTCTCTGTGATCAAAGACGTCTACAAATATGTCGATGATGTTGTGGTATTAATGTGATCTGATTGATTAAGCTTTCAAACCCCCCTTCCCCTGGGGCACAATATCTATGAACTCTTCTTTGCTTGTCGCAGGAAGGAGAAATCATTCCAGATAATAACATCGGGAGATTCATAGCAGATTGTCTGGCTTCAGTTCCCAAGATGAGTCCTGCGGCTCTAGACAAGCTATTTAACGATAGATTACAGGTATGACAATTCAAGCCTTGTGTTTACTCTATGGAAATAATTCGTCATGGTTTCTGATAATCCCTCTCTCTCTCTCTCTCTCTCTCTCTCTCTCTCTCTCTCTCTCTTCTCGCCCTTCTTGTAGGATAATGCCCTCTTGGCCTACCTGTCTTCCATCGCGAGGACACAACTCGTTGTGGCGGAGAAGCTGAACACAGCGGCCCAGATCTTGTAGCTTCTATCAGTATCGATCTATCGATACAGAGTTGTAAGATTTCCCCCCTTCCCATAATCCCATGGGCTCCCATTCTATCGTGGAAAAATTTCGAGGGTTTTGAATTCTGGCTGGGTTTTTCTTTGCGGAGTGGACTTTAGAACACTTTTGTGGGACGGATCATCTCCCATGCGTCCCTTTGATAGCCTTTTGACTTATCTTGGGGATGAAGCGGCTCGTCCTCTCTCCCTTGTCTTCATTTCTTCATAATTCAAACTTGAGAAGTTTCCTCTCGACACCAGGCACTCTTATGCTGCCTTGCCCCGTTGACTATCCGCAGTTCTCCCTCATCTGGAAAAGGAACATAAAATCCAAGAAAGGCGTTGACCCCAGATCCTCCAGAAGACGGGGCGGCACTACGGCTCGGCTTCAAATCACTGTTCCGCAGATCATGTTGGTTGTCCGGGCTGGGCCCAGCCCGGAGGTCATCATTCGACCTCGTCGTTGGACTTCAGCTGGTCCGTTGACTCCCCCTCGCTCGGCATAATATTTTCTTCCGAATAAGAACTTGACATAGAGATTAGGCATAAAATGGGTTTGGTTTGAACGAGACTTAAAAAGTCAAAGCAAGAAATACATCGGGCACCGGAGCCTGATTTGTCACACGCAGACACTCATGAGAGAAGGAATCTTTTGAGCGTATTATAGAGACTGTTAGGTACTGTTGAGACATGAAAACCTGATCTTGGAAATATATAATATAGCGCCGGTGAATGCAGTTCTATGAACAAAATTTCCCCGACAAGGTCATGCTGCCCTAGAAGAGATAGAGGGAGACTGAATTCTAGAGGTCAGCTTTCTCTGAGAATCTCCCGCAAGGCTCAGTGCCGCTATTCTCATCCCAATAAACGCTGGGGCCTGCCAAGTTTCCTTGATCAGATGGAGGAAGCTCCTTCCAGCGTCTGCAAGTATTCTCGTCCCCTTCGTGGAGCTCTTCCTCTGCTGCTTCTTTCCCCGTCCGCCGCTCGCCAGGAAGCGCCGAATAGCTAGCCGCCGCTTGTTCGACGCTGCCACGCCGCCCCTCCTTCCCCCCCCCCCTCTCTCTCTCTCTCTCTCTCTCTCTCTGTGCCTGCGGTTTTCGGGGCCATTAACCAACCAGCTCCGGCGCGCGAGGTGCCGAGGATCAGCGAGGTGAAAGACAAGGGAGTGAAGACAGAGGGAGTACCATCGAGTCCGTGTCCGCCCACTCAAGTTGCTTGTATTTAAATTTCTGTACAGAAGCGAAGATATATCAAATGCCCGCCATTTTATCAGTAGTCGAAACCTCCCGGTTTATAGGTCGCAGCCGGCGGCCTCGTTCTCCTCACCACTAACCCCCTCCACCAATTCACTTAGTCACCCACCGGAGAGAGAGAGGGAGGCGATGCTCGGGACTATGATATATTTTACACCCTGTACTGTCTCTTTCATCGTGTTCCTGCCGTCGAGAATGTCTGTTTCCCTGACCCTCCTCTGCTCGGTGTATATATTTCTGGTCTCTTCACGCCGTCCCCATCTCACGAGCATCCAGGTTTCTCGAGTCAACCCAGGATATCCCACCGGAACCCTAGACTTCGGCAGAGAGAAGCGACACCTTCAGCGGCATCAGCGAGCAGAGGGAGACTGCCACGACTAAGAAGACGAGAGCGGCGGGCCGCAGTCTTCCTCGTTTTCCTCTCCGGTTGCCCTCCAGCCTCCTCCCCTCCTCCCCTCCTCTCCTTTCACACTTGTCGGCCACAGCCAACGCTGGTCCATGCGATCCGAGAAAGAAACAGTGAGCTTCTCCAACCACGCCCAGGGGAGGCTAGTGAATGAAACTCATCAAAAAAGGTGATAGGCATCGCCCATCGATTAGTCCGTCTGGGCACTCGGCTGCTTCCACATTAAAAAAAAGGCCACACGGTCCTAGCTAGGTACCCTGTCTGAACCCATTCCGGCCTTGAGAGTGTTCGCGGACTGACGACTTCGTCCGCCTCCCCCTGGCTCACTCTCGTGGCCGCCAGTAAACAAAGGCCCGCCTGCCCATGCAAAGAGCTCAACGCTCGTGCCCGGAAAGAGGGCCGCCGCTTATTGTATTCCTCGCGGCCCCGACCCCTTGGGAGCTGCACTTACGGTCCTGCACGCAGAGCGGATTTCCGGTGCGAGGAAAGATTTTATTCAACGGGGAACTGGAGATCCTGGAAAGCCCGTGGGAACGCCTAAGGCCTCCACATTTGAAAAACCCCAGTCACGATCATGAGCAGAGAAAAGAACTAGCTGAGAGCTGTCGGAGAAAGAAGAATTGGACTAGCTGAGCCCGGAAGCCCACCTTCGGCTCTGATTGGCCCGAAATCCGGATGAAGCTGCTTAAGAGAGGGAGAGAGAACATGAGGAGGGAGAGAAGAGAATAATGGAGGAATAGGCTCATTGGCGAAAAACAATGTGTCAAGTAAAACGAGTTTTAATCCTTTAATCCGACATCATTCGTAGTCCAAGCTTTCCTAATATGTATGCGTTTTCATGCATGCTAAGAGGCCTGAGCAGTACATTCCAAACCCTAGATTTCCGAACAAATCGGGAGCAAAAGGAATAAGAGATACCCACGCCAAAGATGGCAAACAAAACGGTGTCCTAAACTAGGGTTTTTCTATTCGACGTCGAGGAGCTTGTCCCTCCGTCCGTGGTATACTACCATCGGTCCTCCGGTTCATGCGGCCCTGTTTATACTCTCTGCCCAGATCGGAGCCCCACCTCCCTCGCATCGCTGGTTATCTCGCGCATGGGCTGCTGCACAAACTTGTCCATTTGCGGCCGGCGTTTCTCTTACAACCGTCGAAAAGGGAAACGTTGAAGAGTAGTCAAACCTTGTCAACCGGAACGGCGAGATACATGGTTGCCTAGGTTAGATTGGTAGGCGTTTGCGACGGGGGTTGAGTAATGAAACAGCCAGCGGCCAGGACAAAGGAGTGGATACAAGGCCTTGCATGGTGAATAGTTTAAAAATTTAGAGCCCTCGTCGTTGAAACGCGGGGATCGGCCGGAGCTCGTAGACGACAATAGAAATGGTCTTCCGGTTGATCAGTTACGAAGGGTTCCCTAAGATGGAAGCAGCCGTAGAAACGATGCTGCTAAAGCTCTCTTTCTCTCTTCGCTTAAATGCCTCTTGGCTTAGCCTTCTTGGACTTTTTACACCGGAGTTCCGAGGTAGAGACATGGGCTCCACCATTGTCGTGGGATCATATATCTCAATAATACTTCATCTGCTAATGGCAGTCTCATGTCTCATATCTCTCTCTCTCTACCCCTTCACTCAATCATGGCTTACCTCTAGTTTGACTATTACTGCAGAGATCGGAGATGGAGACATGGGACCCATATCACCAGTTTGCATGGGATCCCCCGGAATGTCTCAGGATCATAGGCCTCACAGCCGGACGAATCAACCACCGTGTCATGAAGTTCCGGCCCCCGCGACCTCAGAGTTCCTCCTAAATGAAAGCAAGCTCCTCTTCATCGTCCGCAGGAGGAAATAAAGCGATGGGATATAAAACAAACGGTTGAAGGGATGCCCTGCTGTCCGACCGTAGACCCAAATGTTTGAACAGAGCAGCTTTCGCGCATGTCCCACCCCCGTCACGGCGGATCGCCTCCGGACACAATCATGGCCCCGGAAAATCTACTTAATCGGGGTCTGATCGACTAAAATATTACCCGGAGTCGACGATGCAGTCCCGATGATGCGTCTTTATGTGACAGGCGAAGGACACCAGTCTCTGCCCCGCCGAATATATATACAAGTACCAGTCTGCGCGCCGGTGCATATCTTTTGAGTTCAGAACTCAGAAGCCTCTTACTGTCCCTGTACAGAAAGATCTCTCGGTCAGTAATCTCAGAAAGGGCTCAATCACGCAGAGAGAGAGAGAGAGAGAGAGAAGGCAACAAGAAGAAGGACAAGTTCTGCAGGTGCGGACGCAGAGACATGGAGGAGATGCCGGTATCAGGGGAGAGCGGCTACTGCATGGCGAAGGGAGTTGGAGCAGTCGCCGCTTCCTGTGGGGGTGGCAACAGCAAAACGACGACGGCGGGCAGCGGTAGCAAGTGCGGCAGGTGGAATCCGACAGCGGAGCAGGTGAAGGTGTTAACGGAGCTGTTCCGGGCGGGACTGAGAACGCCGAGCACGGAGCAGATCCAAAGGATCTCCTCTCACCTTAGCACCTTCGGTAAGATCGAGAGCAAAAACGTGTTCTACTGGTTCCAGAACCACAAGGCCCGCGAGCGACTGCACCACAAGAAACGCCGCCGCGAACCTCCGCATCTCCCTCTCGGCCACCACCACTATTTTCCCGACTGCGCCGAGATCTTCCCCACTCTGCCTCCTGATCAAAGCTTCCGGAGAGATGCTGTCTATAGCCGTATCAGTATCGGTATCTCTCTCTCTCTCTCTCTCTCTCTCTCTCTCTCTCTCTGTGTGATCGTGAGTGGATCGTGAAGTGGTATCTGTTTTCATCCGTGAAGCTTTTTCTGAGGGCGGGAACATGGACGATAGGGAGAGGGAGACGCTGGAGCTGTTCCCGCTGAGCTCGCACGAGGCGCCCCCCAGGGTAGTGAGGGCCGACCATAGAGATGAGCTTCTCCTGTTCTCGACAGGGAGAGACTGTCCCCCGTTGGATCTCCGGCTGAGCACGCTATGACTGCATCAAACGACGGCCCTTGCCCCCCCGAGATGCCCACTCAACGGTCGAATGTTTCCATGGCTCCTACTTCCGTCATCTTGTGTTGACACGCCTGCGTGTTGCTCTGCGAGGCTTCCTCTTCAATGCCTCCTCCTCCCCCCACCAGCCGTCTAAACCTCTCTCTCTCGCTCTATCTCTCTCTGCTGATCTCCCTCCGCCGCCCTCTCGTTCTCTGTTAATTGGCCAACGACTCGGTGATAAGCTCTCTCGAGTGTGTATCATAGTCTCCTTGGATCCACGCGGACCTTCGACTGCCAATCGTTGGAGCCTGCTTTCGCGTCCTAGAATTCCACGGATAGCACATGAGCATCCAACCTAATGATCTCTCAGCTTGACTCTATGGTAAATGCTCGCAGTATCCAGTTGACCTTGGCAATGATAATCAAGTCATTCTGCTCCACTAGATGGAGACTATGCGCCTACATAGATCATGGAACTCTAATTTTCTCGACTATTTTGACCGAATAGCCCAATAATTCTAATACAACATAAATATCTCGGCTAAAACAAAAAAAGGAGTTTCTGGGGCCGTGAAAGGAGAAAAAAATAATGCGGACAGAAAGGCTTACGTACTAGGCTCTCATGAGAGGCGGGTAAGAAAATGAGAGTGCAACAATATTAAAGAATACCAAGCATCATTACGGCACTCAATCATAAGATTTTACTACTCGATTAAGATAATTGAATAGGGACTACCCAATTTGGATAATTGGGGCTGTTAATGTGAAGGAGGAACCCAACCAGGGTGGTCTTTAATAACGCAATGATCCGAGTTCTTGTCGTGACAAATTGGTCTGGTAGGTTGTAAGCCACTTACTGGGTAGGGCCGTTGGGTCCCAGCTTATCAGGTCGTCTGCTGTGCCCATGAGCCAGACATGGCGAGGGCTAGAAGTCAAGTCCCTTACATTGCCGTGTTACAGGCAGTGCGGTAACAGTGAACAAGTGGCTTTGGTGTGGCGGAGCCAGGTGACAGACCTAGACTGCCCAGCTGGGTCGGGGTTCGCCCAGCCCAAGCAAGTTGCTATTGGGCTTGGGGTCCCGAGGAGGCATTGTCACACGTTGGTCAGCCTAGCTTACTTGGCTTGTTTCACCTTGTGCTGGTCTTGGTCATCCTCAGCAACACCAAGAAGCTTTCATCTTTCTGAAAGCGTCTCCTTCTCAAAAAGGTTATATATTCTTATCACATAAGAGTGCACTTGATGAGGGAAGGTCAACTTACTTCATGAGACTTTTAAGTCCCCCTCTACTTATAAGGGAGAGCTCTCATGACTTTTCCCATTTCGACGGGATGACTCTGACAGCATGGGACACGAGGAATGATGCTTAACAATCCTACTAATAGTCAGTGCAGCCGTTCTTTTGAATAGATTGGCATAATAGTGCAAGTTTTACAGATGGGGTCCACTATGGTTGATTGCCCTCTTTGTTAACCTTATTCTACCCTCTGCCATCTTGTGCCACACTATGCTAATGTTGTGTCACCTTGTGCTAGTAGGCTCTAAGGTTCATAAGACGCTCTTGAACCATAACTTAATGTTGGCATAGTCATTACCTTGAGCCAAACAGTCATGCGAGGTTGCTTTATGTGCTTCCTGCATCCTGTGTCAAGCCTCTCATGTGCATGAACATCTAGTGTGAACTACACTCTAACTTGGTGGTACAGATTGCTACAGTAATGTGCACTCACATGTAAGCCTTAACTATACCTGTGCTGCATTCGGGTATCATCTGTCTCTGCAAACCCAATGCATATTAGTGAGTGCTGTTTTATTTCACATCATGATTGCATGTACTATTGTATATGTCTATATACATCTTCCTTTTGATGACTATCACATCCTCTTCGATCCAGTAACTCTAACATCCTAGTTGGAGGGCATTCCCTCAAGTACTTTTGGATGAGGTCTTCAAACTACCATTGATCAATGTGACGTCATCTGTAGGGGAGGGGGGGTTTCTTGTCATTTGATAGGAAAGTATACATGACAGTTCATTTCAAATCCCCCTCCTTCAGTTTATGTTTTTTCAACACAACATTAGGTAAATTATTAGGTGTGTATCATCGGTGGCACTAGTTGAAGATGATTGCACTCCTTGGCCTCATCATATGTCTTATATAATTTTAGAAGAGATATATGAAATATTGGATTACAGTCTATTTACAAAATTGAGGTAGTGGGCTAACTTACCCACACATGCTACGACCTTAAACAAATCATTAAAATAAGGTATCAACTCACAATTTCATCTGCTCCACTTTACTTTATTGTATACACATTGATTTATGTAGAGTAAGACATGGTCATTGACATTGAACTCCACCTTATGTTGATCATCATCCCAATTGATAGGTCAAAGTCCTACTTTCTCCTCTTATAATTTGATTATAATATGAAAGATATAAATCATGGAGATATGTACTTATCTATTTTAACTCACTCAAGAGGTGATGACCTAATAATTAGGTAATCAATATTTCTCTTCCTTAGTCACAACAATTAGGGAACTACAAATGATCAAACTAATCTTCTCCTCTCCTTTTGCTTTTTAAGTTTCCCTTAACACAAAAAAGAGAGTGCAGTAAGGTAAAATAATCAATCAAAATGAATATCTTACCTTCGTGAGGTTTATTAGAGAGTAGTGGAGTTACATCTCAATTGTGTGGTTCCCCCTCTTTACAAGCAACTCTACTTCATGAATTCAATCAGACAAATGCAGCATGTAGATGATGCTCTAGATTTATTCTCTTTTTTTTTGGGAATGATTGGTCAATATTAAGTTGGCGTACTCTACTATGATAAGAATATGTAACTCTTCTGAGCAAGAGAAGCTTTTGCAAAGGTGAAGGTCACTTGTCATTGCAAATGGAGCAAACAAGGTACATTAAGTCAGCCACCATGTGAAATTTTATTGTCAACACTCAAAAAAAGATATTATGGGCAACAATGTAATGCATGAGTAGGGGATCATTCATTTGGAGGAGTAACTCACTCTAGTTGTCACCTTTATGAAGGTTGAAGAAGTTTGCTTTCAAACCATAGAAGATGATTGGAAGATGTGCAAACAACCACAAGCAAAGCACTCATCACCGAAATCAATAATTCCCAGGTGAAAGACATATATCAAAAAGGTGCACAATAGATGTCAGATTTATGATATCATTTAGTCTGTTATTTATTATTCGATGTTGTTTGGTTGTGATATAGGTCAATGGGTATTCTAGATCTAGATCTTGGTTGGTAATAAAGACTATCGACATGAACTGTCTATTGACTTAGTAGGGTTGTATTGAATGTGGGAAAACCATCAGATCTTCCTTCCTTTATGGAGAAAGTTTGGCTTCCTCTTGGTTTGACATTATGTATATTTTGCATGCCAAGAGTTTAGTTTTCATTATGAAAGTCAACTAGATGAATTCTGAATATGGATGTTTCTTATGAGGAGATTCTTTCTAAAATGATAGAAGATCTCATATGAAATGTATCAAAAGACTTGATGAACCTTACGGCCAAGTCAACTTATATTTTCGTCACCACAATCTAATAAAGTAGACAAGATGTATGAAACAAATTAGCGCACTGGCCACCTTCCACCATATATCCTTACCTTTCTAGCTTTGAATGATTGATGGACGGCAATTCAAGAATGGATATTAAATAGATCAGGTGCAAAAAAAGTGTCTTCTGGATGATAATTCTCAATACCTAACCTTGGTATGGTAACTTGGACCCTTCAAGAAATCCAAAGTTATCTAAATCAATATATCATTTATCATTTATATAGTATGTTCACTTTAGTAGGGTTGCATCGAATGTGGGAAACCCGCCATATCTTCCATTGTACGTGAGAAACTTCATCTCAATTTGACATTATGTAACTTGTATGCCTAGATTTTAGTATTAAATTATGTAAGTCACAAGGATGATTTTTGAAGATGATTATTTCTTGTGAAGAAATTAAATCTAGGATGATAGAAGATACAAAATAAAATGTATCAAATATAACCCTAAGAGTCATAAGGACAAGTCAACACATGTATTTTCCTAATGTCAACCTAACAAAATAGTAGAGAATTAAGAAACAAATGAGTGAACCAATCAAAACTCTTCTCTTTTGTTGGCAGGGTAGGGGCTTCTCTTCCTCTCTTTCTCTCCACCTCTCTCTGTCCATCTCTTTCTTTTTTTTATGGAAATTCCTTTGTTCCACCCCAATGGCATTTAACACCACTAATTCTTTAACTTGACCTTCATGAGCATTGGTCCATTTCTTCTCCACTCTTTTAGTTTACTTCGGGCAATATTGTAATTTAGATAGTATAGTTTTGAACTCCTGTCATAATGTTAGAACTACATAGCTCCTAAATTGGATCCTTCTAGTTCACATAACTCTCAATTCTTGCAACTACAAGAATAAGATGACTCATAAATGATCTCTTTGTTTGGAGTTCTTGAAGCTTTCACATACATATGTGAACCACTAGTCTTAGTTGAGAAGCTGAGGCACACATGAAGACATGGTTCGACAGAAGGTTTTAGTACTAAACGATTCTCAAATCTCAGTGTCGAATAGTAGACCGGCACAGAGTAACAAAATCAACCAGCTAATATGTGTCATGTTATTCCAAACATGTTTGACATTGAATCTAGTATAGTATGAGATAAAACTAACGCTTATTATTAACTTGATTAAAGCACATACAACTAAATAAAGAACATCCTCCATTGTCTATTTTAAGATCCAGAATAGTGAAAACAGAAGGCAAAGAAGATAGATCCTCTGATCTAATAGTGTAGGAATGTAATGCTGTACTCGACAATGGTAGTGATGCCTATAGTGGCACATGTAGGGAGGCAGGTGACATTGTGGGCCATGTGGAATTTGCCCCTTCTGCCAACAACCACCAGCTCCCTCATTTGGCTCGTGAGAGGGTTCTTGGACATCATGCTGAAGGAACTCATGTTGTACTTCCCAATGGTGAACCCAAAATCCACTATCATGACTAATGACTAATTAGTAAGGTTAGTTAATATGTACAAGTCTTGGGCATTGCCAACAACCTTGGAGGCACGGTCCACACTAGCCGTCAAGATGCCATCGATGACAATAAGTGAGCCAAAATTGAAGGAAAAAGTGTCATTGGGTCTTGTAGAAAAAATATGCAAGTACAAGATCACAATAATAGTGGAAACTCAATTTTTGAATATTAGTGAGAACAAATAGAAGAGAAATCGCCAAGCTATTAGGAATCTTGATAAGAATAAGACTTCCACTAAACACTTCTAATCTATGTCTCAATACCCTTGAGATGACTCACACACTAGAAAGTTAACAATAAAGTCTTATCTCCTTTTATAAGGACTTCACCTACAATAAAAGAAAGAGAAGATACCAAGAAAAAGAATAGAGTTGATGAAGAAAGACAATAGAACCAAGAGAGAAAGAGAGACTTCATCCTCTGTTGTGCCAAAAAAAAGAAATACATACCTTATTTATAGTGAATAAGAAAAGATAATTGATCCCTAGGAAAAAGTATATCGATCTACGTGCAGTCATGCCCATACATCTCTAAAGTGACAACTACAACTACCCTCATTCTCTCTCTACATGACCCCTGAATGGGTCAAAAGGGTTGACATGACTACTATGTCACTACCCCCCTTACTCTTTACATGCCTCCCAAGTGAGTCAGACATGAGAGCTCTCTCTCATGTCTCCTGAATAATTGAGATGAGAAAAGTTCTCTGGCACATCTCTTGAACGAGTTAGCCATGATGGATTGACATTGTTGACAAACTCCACCTTAGTAGCCATCATCACTACATCTGGAATTGACATCTCTCCATGCTACAAGTTCTTCACCTTCTATAAGGTACCTATAATATGAATAAAATTTAAATAATATTTTAAATTCTTTAATGTGACGACTTTCGTCAATATATCAGCAACATTCTTATCTGTGTAAACCTTCTCTAGAGAGATATCTCTAGAATTTATCAACTCATAGATCTTGTGATACCATAAATTAGTATGTTTCAATCAATTGTGCATGATAGATATGATTATTTGCTAAGTAAATAACATTCTAACTGTGATAATGTAGAGGAACTTCACTCTATTAGATTCTAAGTTCACTCAGTAATCCTTTCAACCACAAGGCCTCTTTAACCACTTCAATAGTTGTCATGTACTATGTCTCAATCATAGATAATGCAACAATAGTTTAAAGTGTAGACTTTTAGCTGACTACTTTACTAACTATAGTAAAATATATCATGTCATAAATATTTGATGATCTAAATTCTTAACAAAATCTACATCAACAAAGTCAACAATAAAAAGATAAATTTTTCAGTCAAAATAGATTCTGAAATCTAAATAACTCTTTAGATATAAGAGAATCCTCTTTACTACGCTCTAGTACTTTTTTTTTAGATTACTCATAAACCTACTCACAAGTCCAACTACATGGGTAATACTTGATCTAATACAGATCATAACATACATGAGAGAGCCAACTGCACTAACATAAAGGATTTGTTTCATCTCAATAATATATTCTTTATATGTCGAACATTGAGTAATAGATAATCTGAAATGACTAATTAGAGAAGTGCTCACTATTTTAACATTACTCATACCACATAGATCCACCACCTTTAAAAGATAACTCTTCTAAGTTAATCATAGTTGACTTAACTCTTAATATTTATAGATCTCTATACTAATAATCTTCTTTATCACATCAAGATTCTTCATGTCAATTTTTTTGTTCAATAGTACTTTCAATCTAACAATCTCATGTGAATTCTTTGAAGTAATGAACATATTCTCAATGTAGAGTATCTAAATAATTAAAGAACCATCATCACAAATCTTCATATAAACACAATAGTCAAAATCGCACATTGTATAGTCAATCTTCAACATATAAGAGGTAAACTTATTATACCATTGACTTGATGTATGTTTCAACCCATAAAGAAACTTCTTCAATTGACAAACAAGATATTTTGATCATTACATAATGAAACTCTCCAACTACTGCATGTAAATAGTCTCCTCTAAATCTTTATAAAAGAACATCGTCTTCACGTCTAAATACTCAAGCTCTATATTTTTAAGTGCGACAATGGCTAACACAAAGCCAACTGATGTGTGCTTCACAATAGGTTAAAAGATCTATGTATAATCAATTTTCTACTTTTGTGTCAAATCTTTTGCAACAAGTATTGTCTTGTACTGTGACTGATCACCATCAATTATCAGCAATTTCTTCTTGTATACTGACATGACTTAGTCATTATATAATAAAGCACGTAAATTTAAAATTTATAAAACTAGAAAATACTAATTTTTGAGTATTTAGAAGTATTTATAAATAAATATATCAACTATAATTTAATAAAAGTTCTAAAAATAGTAAAAAGTTTTCAAGTTGATCACAGGGATGTAATATAATATTGGATAATTTTTAAGTTTTTTTCACAAATAATATAATTTTTTATTAATAAATATTTAAACAATTAGAAATATATATTAAAAATTCATGAAAAAGGAAAATAAGAGTGCAGAGGTCAAGATGACATCAACGCCCAATGAATGTAAATCAGGCAAAAATAGAGTTCCACCTAATGATTCTTATTTAAGTAATTATAGACAATTTAATTGATCAAATTAAGATATGTAAAAGTTGAAAGAATCATAATTGAATGAAGAATTGTTTAGTGAATTTAAATCACATAAATTATCAGTAAATAAATTAAAAATTAACTTGAAAGTAAGAAAATAGAGTTTCCACGTCACGATAGCAATGTGTTGTTAGAGGAGGCTCTTCATCGCATCTGGTACGCTCTCAAGAGGTGGTGATTCATCTCCTTGTGGATCGTCTTCTTACCAGTGATGACTTGTTCGTCAATCAATTAGAAATATTTTACTTGATGGATTCATGATCCTTTTATCATGAATCGTTCAACAATTTTAATAAGAATGTTCTGCAAATCGAGTTGATAAAATTTTTATTGATGATCGAGTAATTCTAGCGACTTAATCATTCACCAGTGATTTACAAGAAAGTCACAATTTAATTAGATAAAAATATGAGTTTTGATTGTATTAGGATTTGAACCAACACCAGTCGTCGGTCTACATGAGAGAGATTGAAATAAATGCTATAATACTCTTGTAAAATGTTGTCATCATTGGTATATCATTATTATAACTAAAGAGTATTTTAGATATTAAAATAAATAAAATCATTTTAGGAAAAATGTGATGTAGGTTTAACCCCACATCAGTTATACAACAAGGTTTTGGACGAATATATAGTAATATCACCTTTTTAAGTAATGAGTCTCTTTCTCATGTGTGTACAATCACTTTTTGCCTCACAACTGATTGACCATTGATAACGTGGAAGGGGAGTGGGGCACACGTGCCCCCATTAGTCCATAGCCACTCGAGCCTCTCAAACATTGCATGTATCCACTTCTCCTTTTTAGAATAACTAGTTGACTCCTAAAAAGTTATGGGCTCATTATTTACTATGATTCTACAATTAATCAAGAATATATGAAGATTATATAACTCAATCTTCACTCACAATATAACTAAGAGGACTCTACACAATCTTCATCTTCAGTCTTGTTGTGTCTACAACTCGAGTATCATTAGATTCTTGAACCTTGTGCTTTGTAGAAAAAGACTTCAACATATGATTTTGATCAAAAATCACATCCCTACTAAAAATAACTTTCTTCATCTCTAAATCTTATAGTCAATATCACTTCATGTTAGTTTTATAGCCTAAGAAGATACATTTCTTCAACTTTAGATCTAGCTTCGATCTCTCATTAGCAGGTGTAAGAACATTTATTGGACATCTAAATATATGTAAATTTGAATAATCAACATAATTTTTAGTTTATACCTTTTCAGCAACCTTTCCATCAATAACAAAATTTGGTAATCTATTTAGCAAATAAGTTATCATAGTCATAACTTATGTTCAAAATTCTTTGAGTAAGTCAACATTCAATCATAAACATCATACTCTCTTAGTAATCATACGATTTATGCATTCAACAACACCGTTTGTTGTAAAAAGTACTTCACTGTATAATGACATTGAATATCATGTTCATCACAAAACTAATCAAATTCAAAATTCTTAAATTCTTACCATTGTTAGTCTGCAAAATTTTAAATTCACACATCAAGTCTTGAACTTTGCAAATATTTTTCACTTGTGCTTCAAGAAAAATACTTAAACTTTCTTGAAAAAATTATCAACAAAGGTTAGAAAATATTGAACACCACCCATCGATGTCACATCAATCTTATCACACACATCTACATAAATATAATTCAACTTACCACCCATATCATATTTCATTACTTTGAATATCACCCTATACTATTTTTTATGATATAGTACTTATAATAATTCAATTTACAAGTTCTCACATCATGTAATAGTCCTTGTATATGTAGCTTCTGTATATTTGTCTCACTCATATGAGCCAATCACAGATATCATAAAGTGTGTCATCAATTATAAAATTATCTAGTGTCGCAACACAAGCTCCACCTACAACAACACTCCCTTTAAGTTTATAAATATTTTCTCGTTAACATCTTCCCTTCATCACGACAAGTGATCTCTTGATAATTTTGATGATTCTATTCTCTCATTTGAAATAACATTCATTCGCCTTCAAAACTCTAAGCAAAATCAAATTGTGGTACAATGTTGGAACATGATGAATATTTTCAAGCTCTCAGACCACTTTGTCAAACATTTAAACCTTCACTAAATCAATGGCTACAACTTCACAAGTTATATTATTTTCTATAGAAATAACTCATGTCACACTTATGTATAAGTCAAATCAGTCAGCATTATGACACATATGATAAGAACAATCAGTATCAAAAATTTATGTATTCAACAACTCAACTACAATAAGTATAAAATAAACTTCACAATCTTCTCTGTTCTTAACCTTTGCAACATTAGTTGAGATTCACCTCTTATTGTCTTATTACTAGTTTTTCAAATAATCTCTTTATAAGTGTCTCTTCTCATGAAACTTGTGACAAGTTTGATTTTTCAACTAATTTGTTCGTGACTTAGACTAATTTTTCTTATCTCTTGATGATTCTTTCTCCTTTTACTTTTCACGTTCTATTTTATCTTTTACATATAAACCTTCACTACAAGCTTCATCAACATCTTTGTTTCGATGATAATATTTCATCAATGAGTCAATAACATCTTCAAGAATGGGTGTTGTACTACCATATAACAAAGTCATAATAAGATGATCATATGAATTAGTAAGAGAGATAAGTAAACTAATAACTTTATTTTATTAGAAAATTTTAATTTTATAAGTAAGTCATTCAATAATTGATTAAAATAATCAATATGAGATGACAAATCATCTCCATTTAACATACGTAATTCAAATAGTTTTCTCTTCAATGTCAATTTGCTCATCATCGACTTTGGTACACATCATTTCTCTAAGTTCTTTTAAAATTTATTTGGATTATATTTATCCATAACCTATTGAAGAGCCCAATCAGATAGACGTGTACAAATAAAATTTATGTCCTTCTTTTCTATTGTCTCTCAATCATTAGTACTTATCTTATTTAACTTTGGTCCAACCAAAGTCTTATACAAGTTAGTCTGCAACAATACATCATACATAGGATGATTCTAGAGATTAAAGTTAAAAGACTTATCTAACTTTTGGATATCATTATGTAGCTTAGAAGCTATAGTAAATCTAGAAATAATTAAATCAATATTTAAATATCACTTGTATAAAAAATATATAAGTATAAAATCACAATAATAGTGAAAACTCAATTTCTAAATATCAGTGAAAATAAATAGAAGATAAATCACCCAGCTATCAAGAATCCTGATGAGAACAAGACTTCTACTAAATACTTTTAATCTACATCTCAATGTCTTCGAGATGACTCAAATATTGGAGAGTTAATAATAGACTCTTATCTTCTTTTATAAGGACTTCACTTGTAATAGAAGAAAGAAAAATAGCAAAAAAAGAAATAGAGTTGATAGAGTAAGTGATGAGCCCCTTTTTGTAAGAAGTCAAAATACATACGAGTTTAATAGATAAATTGGTCTCATACGAAAGCTTCAGATGTCCTGGATGCCAAAGAACTCTTGTTGGGAAGTCGAGAATGATTGAGATCGAGGCATGCGAGAGAGAGAGAGAGAGAGAGAGAGAGAGAGAGAGAGAGAGAGAGAGAGAGAGAGAGAGAGAGAGATGACGATAATCATTGAGGGATATGAGGAATAAAGATAAAGAGAGAGAATAATAACCAAGACATGTTCGGTCTTGGGATTGTTGTTTTGAGCTCCATAAGGAGTCTTCGTGAAGTTCTCCCAACCTGCTTTTCTTGTGGCTGTTTAGCTTCTCTTTATAGTTGAAGCCCTCTAGCATTGGCCACTACCTTCTATCATAGAGTACTCAAGTTTGATGGGACGTGGGTGCCATGCTCTATCTCTATTGGGTCGGCATGGTTCCCCACCGAACTTCGTCCGTCGCACACATTTCCTATTATACATGATCCCACATGTGGTTGTCACCTTTGGTGTTTGGATTTCATCTGTCCTACTCCGATCTTGGATTGGGCCGACGTCTTCGAGATCCCTTTCCCTTTTGGCCCATTTGGGATGTTAGCGTCTCAATAGAAAGAAAATAGAATCAAGAGAGAAGGAAAGAATTTATCGTCATGCTCAAAAAAGAAGAAATACATGTCCTATTTATAATGAATAGGAAAAGATAATCAATCTCTAGAAAGAAGTATCTCGATCTACGTGCAATCAAACCCACACATCTCAAAGGTGACAACTACAACACCCTTGTTCTCTCTCTACATGACCCTCGAATGGGTCAAAAGGGTTGACATGACTACCATGTCGCCATCCTCTTACTCCTCGCATGCCTCTCGAGTGAGCCAGATGGGAGAGCTCTTTCTCACATCTCCCGAATGGTTGAGATGAGAGAGGTTCTCTCGCACATCTCTCGAACAGGTCAGCTGTGATGGACTGACACCATCAATAGGTCTAACGATGAAAGCACTGGTGGGGTTCTTACCACTGTGAGCATCATGAAAGAAAAAGTGGAGTTGGGTGACCTTCTCCTTTCCCAACTTTTGTGGCCTCTCTTCTCGCACAACATAACCTTGGACAATAACAAGGGAGAGGCACAAGAAGAATACTAGTATGTTGGCAAAGGGAGACATTACTAATGTCCTTGCCATCTCTCTCTCTCCCCCCCTCTCTCTCGTTCTCATTATTGGATTTTCTCACTCTCTTCTTGTTTTCCCTTGGCTTCTTAATTGAATGGAGATGAGGCGAGAGTGATCCAAGGTAATGGAAGAGAGACATTGGTGAGTCTGAGAGATGATGAACTGAGTTGGTGGTGAGTCAAGGTTCGCCTATGAGGAGAGGCGATGTGTTAGAGGAGAAGTAAGAAAATATGCGATCTATTCCTTTGGGTTTATAAGGATATACATATTTATAAATATATATCCTTATACTATTAACACTTTGATAATGTTGACTCGTGCAAAACTATGGATCTGAGTTTTTCTAGGGGCAATGGCAAATGTGGCAGATAGCTGATGTGAGATACGTAGCTTTGAACAATGATGAAATATAGGTATTGAAGATGCAAAGAGAATAGCGAAGGACAAAAGGACGAAGCATAACACAAATAGCAATAAATCTTACCATCATCTTCATATTGTCAAATGTGATTTTTATATGGAGAAGTTGAGGGTTTTGACGCTAGACAATTACTATCTTTGTGAGCTCAAAAGACCCTAGGGAACCTGATCTAACTAAAAAAGAACACAAAAATAGATAATCGAAACCTTTATTGAACTCCTTGACCTTAAGATTCTCACTCCAATATAAGAGAGAGCCTTTTACAGAAAATGACACATTGTTTATAATATAAATAGATAATGTTTTATCCAATTAAATATTTCATTACCTTGACATCTGCCACCCTTAAAGAGTCATTTGAATCTAAAAGCTTGTACCTAACTTTCAGTCATCAATCGTTTAATAACCTTTTTTTTTTTGCAATTGCTAATGAAAAATATGATTAGGTAGGCTACAAAAAGTAATACTATAATTTGGATATCAAGAAGTAAATATATATCATTTTCTATTTGTAGAAATAAGATTTGTGAAATGTGAGATTTTTGATTGTTTACATTGATGATATGATTTTTATTGGAGATGATGTATATGATATACTGGCTTTGAAACGAAACAAAGAAGTTTTAAGTTTAAAAACTTTGAAGATCTGAGGTATTTACTTGGCATTGAAATTAAAAAATCAAAAACTGATTTGTATGTATGCCAAAGATAATATGAAGTAAAACCCTTAACGTAGACTATGAAGTTGATATGCAAGTTATCACATATACAAAGCGCAATCATCATCTAACCAACACTAATGATGATGAATTTTCAGTCGAAGTTAAAGTATATACCAACAAATAATTGATAAATGGTTATACTTATCAATTATTAGACTTAATCTACTTATTCTTTAGGTGTAATTAATCAGTATACATATGCACTGCGCACCAAACACATAATCTGTTCAACAAATATTGAAGTATTTGAAATAAGAAACTATTATTCTTCACCTAGTTAGGACAATTAAAAATAGAGAAATTATAGATGTATATTAGGTTTAATCTCATGATGACAGAAAATCTACTACATATTATTATATATTTCTAAATGTAAGTTGATTATTTGGAAGAGTAATCAAACCTCTATTCAAACTCTATTACAGTATTAAGACTAAAAGTATTACGACAAGACTAAACATATTGAAATTAATCCTCAATTGAGAGACACTCAATCCAAATGAATTTTGATTCTATTATATACCATTATTATACACAATCAAATGATAAAGTTGCATATATATTTACAAAATAACTATTTTCACTCATTTTCTACTCAATTTTGACTTTCTTTTCTTTTGCAAATAGTTAAATTAGGAGCGAGCCCCTTCAACCCGTTTTTTGCCAAGTTTCTCTCGTCTGCCTCGTTCTCTAGGGCGCCGTCGCATCGACATCTCGCCGCCCCACGTCGTCACCTCGCCGTGCGTCTCGTTGCTTCGCCGCCTCGCCTCACCAACTCCCCGACTCGTTTCGTCGCCTCGTCTCATCGTGCTGCTCCGCCTCGCAGCTGTTCATCTCTCATCACTATCAAATATTCGTGGTCTCTCTATTGTGAACCTTTGTCGACTAATCGTTGGATATGGGGAAAGCTTCCAAGGATAAGCGGGTATGATATATTAATACTCTGCTGTGTTCACTTGTGCATGTTGGTCCATTTTTTCTCCTTTTGTGCACATGTCTTTCATAGTGATCATCTCCTTCATTGGAGGTGTCGCTCAGATCGTTAATGGAGGTGAAATGTGCTGTTCGTGGGGTTCGTATTGAGCAGGATATCTATTACCGCAAGGCAAAGGAAGAGGGCTGGCGTGCTCGGAGTGCATTCAAGCTGCTCCAGATTGACGAGGAGTTCAACATCTTCCAAGGTGGGCTCCTGCTGTCTTGTCCGACTTTTCAGCTCTCTTATGGCAGAAATTACCGCGCTTATATTTCGCAAAATAAGTTACTTTTGGGTGGGTATGTCTTCTGGTCTCTGAATTTCAGGGGTAAAAAGAGTGGTCGATCTCTGTGCCGCCCCTGGCAGCTGGAGTCAGGTGGTTCAGAAAACTTTAGTTCGTCTTGTATCTTTGATTTCCTCAGACATATTTGCAATGCCATCTACTGTTTAGTTGATCTCTGAGACACTGCATCATTTTAACAACCTGCAGGTGTTGAGTCGAAAGCTCTACCTCCCAGCCAAATCTTCACCAGAATCCAGGTGCCTTTTTGCTTTATCTTTTACTTATTTGGTTTCTTTTTCTCGTACGCACGATTCTTTGATTTCTTTTAACTCCGTTGATATATCTGTTTTTGGAGAAGATCAAATGAAACTGTCTCAGATTTTCCTAATGAAACTGCCCAATTTATATTCATCACTGGCACATCCAATGTTCTCTCTAATTGGCTTTTTTTTTTAAAGTCTCGTATCCTCTACAGTTGCTCGTCCTCCACCGTGCAAGTGCTGATATTTCTTACCGTTTAAACACAGAGATCATGACCTTCCTCTCATTGTGGCTATTGACTTACAACCAATGGCACCCATTGATGGTGTAATTCAGATTCAGGGAGACATCACAAATGCTCGAACAGCTGAAGTGGTAGGCATTGCTAGATTATTTCAATTTATTCTCAGAATTATGTTCGTGTTATGGGTCGTGATTTCTGATTGATCTTTTCATATTAATGTGATGCACTTATTTTTTACCTTATGTAAAGGCAAGGTTTGTTGAAGTCCCCCTTTTTTTTCATATTATCCCATTCTAGTGCGGTCGTTTCCTTTTTTATATGTTTTTAGATATTGCCAGAGCTGTTGTTCAGTATATTTCAGCAAAGCATCCAAAACTTACTATGGGTAAAGTGAAAATTTTCGGTGTTAGGTTATTAACCACTTCGATGGATGCAAAGCTGATCTGGTTGTTTGTGACGGCGCCCCTGATGGTGAGTAAAGAATAGATTTCCTTGTCCTCTGTTGACAGCACAAAGACGTGGCATATGACTAGCATTATTTAATGCAGTTACAGGACTCCATGATATGGACGAGTTCGTTCAGGCGCAACTTATACTGGCAGTGAGTGCCTCAATATCTGTTCTCATTTCCTGTATATTTTTACTCAGAGAAGTATCAATAAATAACAAGCATTTTGTCTGTCGCAACTTTTTTTTAACATAGTTGCTTCATAGCTTCTGTAGATAATATTGTTAAAAAAAATAAAATTCCTTCGGCTTTGGTCTTATTCTCTCTTTGAAGAATTTCAATTGCCATTCAGTTCCCATTTAGTGTGATACTGTTAATTATTTACGATCAGCATATCTGATTCTAGCTTTTGTATGGTGTTTGTCTTTAAACTTTACAGCATAGTTGACTTCTGCAGGCTCTGACAATTGTCACTCATGTGCTACGTGTGGGTGGGAAATTTATTGCGAAGATATTTCGTGGTAAAGACACCAGTCTTCTATATTGCCAAGTAAGATACATTTTCTTTCTGTTGTTATTTGTGTTTCCTTCTCTCTGGCGCATCCTGCTTCCCTGAAATTTAACGCTGGAATTTGAAGCCGTCATTCATCAGTAATGAAAATAAGAATATTGCCAACCATTGTGCATAGGGAGATACGCCCTTGTTCTTCATCCCATGAAGAGCTGCTGAATTAATTTGTTCTTCCCGAGATCTTCCTTGATATTGCCGAATGATGTATGATACTATCTTTATTTCGGTCCTACCCAATAAAATAGAGCATGAACATACGCTTCTTGAACTTGTGAGCCATTTCTTCTTCTGTAACTAGTGCTTTTTGGCATTTTTTGGGCTTAAATTTGGCAAATTTATGCAGCAAATGATTTATCTAGCTAATTCTATAGGCAATGTGACCTACGGATGTTCTCTTTTTGCAGCTGAAATTGTTCTTTTCAAGTGTCACCTTTGCCAAACCAAAGAGCAGTCGCAATTCCAGCATTGGTGAACCACGTTATTTAATTGCCATCATCAAATTTTCTAGATACTCGAACCTTCTTCACCTCCTGGATAATGTTGTCATTGATTTTCTTGTTTCTTTCTCTCGTCCGCATTTCTTCCTGGTTTTAAGGGATTAGTTCTATGTTGCTTTTTCTTTTAATTTTTGGTTTTATGTTGCATGTGAGCGAGGCCTGCTGAAGCTTGTGCTTCAGTATAGAGGTTTGAAGGAAAGTGATTGAGACAAGATTTGAGATTTTTCTGGTTTTTTTTCTTCTTTAAACATGATTATGAGTTTCGATGTTTTTTTTAGGGCAAAAATACCAATAAATTCCTTCATGAATGGGTTTGTGATTGAGCGAACAATTTCTACCAGTTCTTGGGAAAAAATTGATAATAGGGATGCTGTTTTGACGGGCGACATATGGTTTCCGCTGCCAAATTATGTCATTGCTATGAACCAAAGGCTTTTCACGCTGACGAATTGAATCGCGCGTGCTTGTTCTGCTTCAGGAATCACAGATAGAGCTTTCTCGTTCGATCGAGATCTTCACATACGAATAACTCATTTTGCGCGATCTCGACGAAAATGATCTGTTGCCCGTTTTCCTCGATCCTCTGGAGAAGAATCTGACTGCTCTTTCTTTCTGCGTTCCAGAGGCATTCGCAGTTTGCGAAAATTACTCCCCTCCAGAACAATTTAACGAGAAAGACCTGCACCGGCTTTTGGAAAAAATCGGAAGCCCTTCTGGGAGCAGCGATCTGGGTAAGCAAATCCATCTTTCCCATCGATTGCCGAATCTCTGCATGATAAGGGTTCGGTTCTTCCGCACCAAACCAAAGCTCTCATTCGGGAGGAGCTTCTTCCCTCTCCATTCCTTCCGGCAGATTGCGGCAGCGGCTGGCTGGAGGGTCCGAACAAGGTCTACATCCCGTTCCTGGCCTGCGGGGATCTGAGCGGCTACGACTCCGACCGGTCCTACCCGCTCCCCGCCGCCGCAGAGGGCGGCGCTTCCTACCGGAGCTTGGATCCGGTGCAGCCCCCAATCGCCCCCCCATACAAGACCGCCTTGGAGCTGAAGAAAGCTTCCGAGAAGAGAGAGACTCCCTCTCTCTCGAACCCTGACGAGGAAACGGCTCCTCGTATTTAAATTTTTACGTCTGATGCATTAGAGGACGATGGCGACCCAGTGGGCTCAGTCAACTGGTTGACCTGGGTCCTCAACCTGTCGCCGTCCTCTGTCATGCCAGGCTGCTCTCTCTCCCTTATTCTTGTGTCAAGATTCTTTAGGCGATTCCCCGAGCTGCCGCTTATATATCAATCATCTAGCGTGGTTTTGACAACTGTCCTCGACGGACGGTGAGATTCCATTATTCCCCCGCCCAGATTCCCCCACCCTCCTCTCCTCTCCCCTCACAGAGAGACACAGAGTAGAAGAGAGTAGAAGAGAGTAGAATGAGTAAAGAGCAGGCGGAAGAAGACCATGTAACGTGTACAGGGATGGCTATGGCTTCCGGGTGGAGGAAGAGTTGATGAACCTGATGCAGTCCTCGATGGCCTCGGCGGTGTGCGATTCTTCTTGAGGGGAGGAAGGGTGGAGCCGGCCGGGAAAGCCCCGGGGGGAAACCTTGGCTCCTCCTCCCCTGCGCCGGCCGGGGATGAAGCACAGCGCTCTCGCGGCGTTCTCACCGGCGCGCTTGAAGAACCTCGCCCCCGGTAAGTTGCGGCACAGCCGGCGGCGGAAGCCCTTGGGAGGGGCACGCATATTCGCCAAGCTCCGCTCCGCCCGGGGCGTGGCGGCGGGCCTCGTGGAGGCGTCGGGGCTGAAGGTCACCCGCTTGCTGCCGTTCCTCGACATGGCGCCGGACGATGCGAGGGGTGAGGGGAGGAGAGACTGAATGAGCGAATGCTCGCCCCCTTTGACGCCTATTTTAGAGAGAGAGAGAGAGAGAGGGAGGGCAAGGGGAATATATGCTTGGTGATGGTCTGCTGGTGAGGAGTGTGGTGGGGCCGGGGTGGTGCACCTATTTGCCCAAGTATCTGTCTCTCCCGACACTCGTGCAGGGTGCGAGGAGGGAGAGGAGGGCCTTGAAGAGGAAATAATGGAGGCCCAGTGGAGCAGCCAGTGAGCGAGCTCGGGGAATGAGGACGCACCATAACCCCCCCCCTCCCTCCCCCGATCCAGCTATGCTTTTGTGAGAGAGAGCGAGAGAGAGATGGGCCATGAAAATTTGCCGGAAGATCTCCCTTTTCTTGTCATTGGCGGGAGAGGGGGTCCGAGACATGATCTCCCATCTTGGGTGCGTAGGATTGCCCGGCAGCGAGCGCTCTGCTTCTGGCTCTTACACCGCCGTCGTCGTCGGGGTTTCATGTGTGGGGCGTCAGTTTGTGGGGGCACTGGGAGATTCCACCGGCGCTGTCGTGGTGGGGGAGGCGTTAAAGCCGCCGCTAGCACCGGCGGTGGCCTGGGTAGTCGGCTGGGCCGACTCGGACATGGACGGATCTCTCCCCCTGCTGCTCAATGAGGAGTCTCCCGTAGAGCCCGTGGGCCACCGAGTCCCCGTCCTGTCATCCCCGTCAGAGACAACTCGGCTCACGATGTGCCTCCCTGTTCCTGCTTTGCGAGCAACCAGTCACCGTCGTCCTTCCATCCCCTTGGGGCCTCTCTCTCTCTCTCTCTCTCTCTCTAGCTGTCGCACCTCAGAAGAGAACCGGGACGACGATCTAAATGTGCGACGGGAACTTGGACCTCAGGCTTTCCAGAAGAGGAATTGATTAACGGGGGACGATAATTAAAGGTCAAAATCTGCATGGCAGGATACTTGACCATACAGTCCAATAGTGAGCCAGCCCACTAATTTATAGCCCACCAGGCCCATGACGAGGGTTTACGTATGAATATCGCTGTCCATTTTTTCGTCCCAGGATATTTATTGAATATCAGGAAAATATTCCTCCACTCGGGTTCCGTACGGATCGTCCGATCTCCGCCCACGTTGACTCAGCCTGGACTCGGGGTCACCCGCGTAATGATGTGTGGTGGTAATTCTTGGAAAGGTTTGACCACAGCTAATCGGTGGTTAAGGGGTATATTAAGGTCGTGTTAAGGGAAGGAAGGGCTGTTCTCTGTTTTGCATTATCTTAGAGTTGAGATTACCTCTCCCCAGCGAGTTAAAGAACTTCCGAAAGCCCTGGAGAGAGAAGCGGGCTCCTTGGTGTCGCGACGATGACCAAGGCCATACATGTTTAGGAGCTTCGGACGACGACCAAGGCCAGCTCTATCGTGTGACACTCAGTTTCTGAGGACACGTGCGACAGGCTGCCAGCAGCTGAACGGAGAGTGACGGGGGCCCGGGCTCCGGTTACACGTAATGAAGCCGCCCGCCAACGCCAACGTGAACGCCAACGCCAACTCCAACTCTCTCTCTCTCTCTCTCCCCCCTCAACACGCACCCACGCACGCGCGCATGCACGCACCCACGCACACTCAACACCGCGTATATTACTCGATATTTATATCCATTCACAGTGGTTTTATGACCATGGCGGCATTATCTCCTTAGTTTCAGAAGTTATCAATTACAAATTCTCTAAACAAACAACTAGATTCTCTTCCGTTTATATGAAAAGGAGGCCCTTGATCTGAACTCGCGGAATAACTTTGCTTATTAGGACCCTTCACTGTTTGTGCATTAATACTAATCTTTAAATTATATAAAGTTTCTCATTTATAGTCTCAATAATCACCTTGAACTAGGTATTGATTCCCATCTTCCTCTCTGAAAACTATCTTCTGCTCGTCTTTCTTTGGCGTCACTTCGGCTTTCCCTGTCCATTGTACGTAGAGGTGCCACTGTCCCTCGCTCAGTCCTGGGATTATCTCTCAGGTGGAGACGCTTAAGCCAGACATAGTACATGCATCTTCGCCAGGGATTATTTGCCGCAATGAGATTTCAGGAACGGATATCTCACTGACCAATATTTCTTTCCATGTGAATGTAAAATATATAGATAACTCATCTAAATATTAGATGCCCGTTTTAAGCCAGAAACAAACAGCTACTTCCATTACTCCCGCTTCCGCTTACGAACCTGAACTTCCACTTTTAAGTAGGCGGTTCAGAGAAGGAACTAAATCCATCTTATTCCGTCTTTCCGGAAAGCACGGTTGACTTCTAGGCGCAAGAAGGGAAATCCGGATGAAAGGGAACTGTGATTCTTGGTTAGCTGACTAAGGGCGGATGGGGCGGGCAAGGAGAGCGGCAGTGCAATCCTGATCTTGTTTTCATAATCATTCTTTGATGACTACAACGTCGTAGAAATTTTCTGATGAAGTGCTTTCTAGCCTTTTTTTAAAAGAATCCAAAATTTCTGTAGGAACATCCCGCCTCACCCTGGAATGCACGAAAAAGTGATGTAAAACACCAAATGGAGGCACGTATAATTTCAGTTACTAAACATACTACTAATATCTCGAATATCTTTTCAATAAGATTGCGTGGTTCTGATGCATAGTACTAATATATTCCAAGAATATATTATATTCTTTTTGCATGAATTTATTTCCAATATATTAGGAGGTACTTACCCTTTTCTTAATGCTGGCAAGTTTGTTTTGGTATGCAAAATCTTAATGATCTACGAGACTAACTCGGCTGTATCTTCTCTTGTCTGGTTCTAATTTTAATCTATTGTTATCTTTGAATTACTGGTTCCTTTAATCTTGTGTGATTGGGTGTGGAAACAAATGTCATTCTGTCAGCCGCTCATCTGAGGAGCTATGTTAAAGTAGCGTTGACTTCCTTTGGACTTCAGTGATGAATACTATCGCCATCTGTTTACAGATGTATCCCTAGACACACCTTCAGCTGGCTGGTGAGGAACGTCAATGTGGCTCATCATAAGTAAGCGTACTCCTTCCAATCCTTGCTTGAAGTTTGACCGGCTCTTCTGCGTGCGTGGGCATCCACTCATTGACTTCTTCTCAGATCCATCCAGTCGCTAGCGAGGCGAATCTTCTTCCCCGCAGAGGTCCATGAGCTTCCTCGTGCCTAATGTCTCTTTGTCTGCTGTCATTGTGTATATTCATGCACCATACGTCCCCAACCTTAGAAAAATGTCCCTGATGACCTGCTTCTTCTTATGTGCCCAGTGGATGAGCCATTGGTTAGCTTCTAAAGACTCCTGACCAACGGGAGATAATCTCTGGGGGCATGTTGAGGGAGGCACGTCTTGCGGATCACGAACTGCACGCAACCGTGTAAACTGTGTTGCCAGTTATTTAATGGGCAAATTTAGAGCACCGTCGGCCGGGGCTGAACGGTCGGATCTTCACTTTGAAACCAAGGTATGAGAAGGTCAACGGACCGCGTCGGAGGATGTTATGTGAGATGCTGCGTTGAGACCGGGCCGGGTTCGTCCAAGAAATGCGTCTGCTGTCAGCTGTTTTTCTTTTCTTTTCTTTTTTTTGGGGAGGGGGGGATAGATCTTCCGGGCTAGTTAGATCCGCATCCGGGAGGGGAGGAGGCTTGGAAAGGGTCATGAAGATTATGAGAGAGGAGACATGCGTGGGGGCCCCGCATGGCAAAAACTCTATGCGACTGAGAAGTGTGTTAGTTTTGTTCTCTCTCTCTCTCCCTCTCCCTCAAGTACTTTCTCTCTCCTCTGTTATTCAAAACGATAACTTGGGGCCTGTGGGTGCTGGCTCGGGGTGAGAACGAGGCGGGTCGGCGTCAGGAGCGGAGACGGAGAGGGGGAGCAAGGGGGAGGTGGGCACAGCCCCTTGGGAGCGGCCGGGGGATTGCGGGGGCTAGGAAGAGCATATGCCTGCGGGTGATTCTCTGGTCCGGAGAGTATATTCCCTCTTCGGCTCCCTCATAATTCCCAGATTCTCTACCGCCCTCCTCAATTCCCACCCCGGGGGCTCTCCTCTCCTCCACCCCCCCGGAAAACCCAGCTCCACAGCACCGTTTTAGCACGCCACTTCTCCCCGCAATGACGTCCCCTATAAGTCTCTCTCTCGCTCCTCCCCGTCCCGTCCCCTCCTGCTCCCCTCATTGCCCACCTTCGACCTTTCTTTCGTCCTCTTCCCATTCTTCTCCATTCTTCTGCTTTCCCGTTTTCCCCATCAGGCCACCGCCCTCACGTCTTTGCTCGTCGGGGTTGAGGATTTCTTCCCCGGTGTTTAAACCGAGGAAGAGGGCGTTGTGCGTGGTCGTGTCGGCCAAAGGGGGGAAGATGACTGCGGGCGAAGAGATAAATTCTGCGGAGATGTCAGAGGAGGACGATGCTTCCCTCCTCCCAGACGCCTCTGGGAGCTCCAGACCTCGTCGCATTGCGCTCTTTGTTGAGCCGTCCCCTTTTTCGTGAGCTCTCTCCACTCTTTCTCCTCCTTCCCTTCAGTATATCTGCCTCCTCGTCGCTTTTTCATCCTAAAGTCCTTCTCGTGGGTATGAATTCTAGGTGCCGTGCCTCTGGCTGCCCCTCTCTTTCTTCCGGGGTGGCCCGTTAATTAGTTCATGTTAGCTTCCTGATTAATACACCTGAACCCAAGGCCGTGTGTGGGTTCGCTCCTGATTTTTTTCTTCATGGCCTTCTCTCATTTCGAAAAAGCATGTCTCGACTGTCTATAGGAATTACATGTATCTAGGACGGACAACCCATCTAAAGCTCATTGATGGCCAAATGAGCATATGCCCAGATAATCTTCGGAAGGAAAAAAGCCAGCTAACTAATCGAATTGAGCATATTCCGGGGATTCTGCCCAAATTGGCCACCAAATTGGGGGGGCATTTTTGAGTCTTCTGTCTGTATCGTTTAACTTTGATGCCTCTTCCATATGTTTTGGTGTTTATGACAACGATGCATGCCTGATTTCCCTGTCCAATTCGCAGTTATGTTTCTGGATACAAGAACCGATTCCAGAATTTCATCAGGTATCTCCGCGAGATGGGTGATGAGGTAATCAACTATTATATTATTTTTTTTTGTCAAAATTATTGTCCCTCCTGAAAATTTTCCCTTAGCTAGCCCAACCTCTCTCTCTCTCTCTCTCTCTCTCTCTCTCTCTCTGTGACTCGCGCTGTGTTTGTATGTGCCTTTGTGTATATTATTACGCCATTTTTTAACCTGCAATGTATGGCTGGAAATTGACCGGCAAGAAGCAAATTCATTTATGGCGGCATATTATTGCTCCAAAATCATTATTTTAATTTATAGATCCTAATTTTTATCTCCGCTGTGTGGTTTCATTCGATATTTGATAGCAGATTTGGGATCTTGTAGGTCATTGTTGTGACTACCCATGAAGGCGTGCCTGAAGAATTTTATGGGGCAAAAGTAATTGGCTCTTGGAGGTACGCTTAACCCATATGAAGGCGCCCGCCCTTATCCCTTTTCTGTCTACACCTCTCGTTCCCAGGTTCAGGCCTCGCAAGCAGTTTTCAAAGCTATGGACCCCTTGGTTTCCCCCCATATTTCCTCCTAGCTGTTTCCTCCCATGCGATGGGAAGAGCTTACTGAAATCGATTGGCAGCCTAATTCCCATAATAATTTTAACCCATTAGGGTCAACCCTTCTCTGAATATGTGAAGTCAAATAGCCGGCAGCCCATTAGCCTAATTCCCATAAGTACTTTAACCCATGAGGATCAACCCTTCTCTGAAGATCTGCAGTCAAATATCCAGCACTTCTTTTTAGTGATGCCCGTCTTCTTCTCAATAGATTCCTTGCATGCTGCTGATGGTTCTTGCTCTCAATCCAGCTTTCCCTGCCCCTGGTACACAAAAGTGCCTCTCTCTCTAGCCCTCAGCCCGCGCATAATCTCTCAAGTGGCAAACTTTAAGCCCGACATAATACACGCATCATCGCCGGGGATCATGGTAATGCCCGCCCTTGCCCCCTTAATAAATCGTCATTATTGTTCCCGAATATTTTTTAATTTCCCTCTCGGTCCAGGTATTTGGTGCGCTCATAATAGCAAAATTGCTCTGCGTCCCCCTGGTTATGTCCTATCACACTCATGTTCCCATGTAAGTTGCCCTCTTTCTTAATCGGGTGAGATGACAAATCTGCACTTATTTATTTATTTATCTATCGGGCGAGTATGCTGTGCGATGTAGTTTATTGGTCTATAAGTATATATCCTTTGGTGACTCCAAAATTGTAGGAGTGTAGGGTGAATATAATCAATACAGATCAGAGCGGCTTGCTCCTCGCTGCTCTTTCTTGATGCCAGCAACTCATGTTTAGGCGTGTAACCCAGCAGGCTGATCATCCAGTAGCCTTATCTTCTGTATCGCCCCTTGTCTGACTCAAGACAGCAGTCTGTTGTTTCCTTCGAATCACTTGTTCCTTGACTGCTGCTGATCTTCATTTGAGCAGCTGTGGTGAAGTAGCGTTGACTTCCTATGACTTTAGTGATGAAGACTATTCCCATTTCTTTGCAGATATATCCCTAGATACACCTTCAGTTGGCTGGTGAAGCCCATGTGGCTCATCATAAGTAAGCGCCCTCCTTCCAATCGCTTAAAGTTTGACTGACTCTTCTGCGTGTGTGGGCATTCCACTCGTTGACTCTTTTTTATTTTCTCCTCTCTCTCCTCCGTCTCCTAGAATTTCTCCACAGGGCAGCTGACCTTACGTTGGTTCCGTCGGCTGCCATTGGGAGGGACCTATTGGTTGCTCAGGTGACGGCAGGTTGGTGCATCTCATATTTCATATGTTGGCTATGTTTGACCTTGTGGCCTCCTTGGTGGAGAAGTCAATGAGGGTGGTTTACTTCTGTAGCTCACAAGATACGCCTCTGGAACAAGGGTGTGGACTCCAACAGCTTCCACCCCAGTCACCGTAACCATGAAATGAGGGTAAGATTGAGGTAAGCTGCTTCCCTCCCGCCCCTCTCTGTCAACAACCTGCTTTGCAACGGAAATGAGGAAGGAGACTGAAAAAAAAATTTCTCAGTGGCGGTGAACCAGAAAGGCCCCTCGTAGTTCATGTCGGACGGCTCGGAGCTGAAAAGAGTTTGGATTTCCTCAAAAAGTTAGTTCTCCTTCTCCCGATGCTTTCCTTCGTCGTTCGTCTGCAGGTCTTCTGCCGTTGACCACCTTCTCAAAGAAAAGGGGCCGCTTTCTGCGTTCTCCTGGATTATCCGTCAATATTTCTTCATGTTCATACGTTGGGCGTTCCTTCACATTCGAACCATCAACGCATCGGTATAGATGCTCCGCATCTGATCAGCTGCACATGGGGTTTGACTCCGCAGGGTGATGGACAGACTCCCACATGCTCGAATCGCCTTCGTAGGAGATGGACCATACAGGTTCCCCCACCCATCCTTGCTTTCTGGTTCTTGGTTTGGCATCATCTCTGCACGAAATCATTCACTGAGGCGGCTGCTGTCATGGCAGGGAGGAGCTCGAGAAGTTGTTTGTGGGGATGCCGGCGGTGTTCACAGGGATGCTGCACGGCGAGGAGCTGTCCCAGGCCTATGCGAGCGGCGATGTGTTTGTGATGCCATCGGAATCGGAGACCCTCGGCCTGGTGGTGCTGGAGGCCATGTCGTCGGGGCTGCCGGTGGTGGCGGCTCGTGCTGGAGGAATACCCGACATCATCCCAGAGGACCAGGAGGGAGTCACCGGCTTCCTCTTCTCCCCCGGCGACCTTGATGACTGCATCGGCAAGATGGAGCGGCTGCTGGCAGACAGCGAGTTCAGGGAGGCCATGGGGAAGGCGGCGAGGGTGGAGATGGAGAAGCATGACTGGCGTGCCGCCACCCTCAAGATCCGCAACGAGCAGTATAACGCCGCCATCTGGTTCTGGAGGAAGAAGAGGGCCCAGCTGCTCAGACCCGTCGAGTGGCTGGTGAGGCGAATCTTTGGTTCGCCGGAGGTCAACTACACCTGATCATAGTAGGAGCGTGTGGTTACTGCCAGTCTGTGTTCCCCCATTTCCTGTATATACCAGCATTAGGAGATGTTGCTGATGACCTGTTTCGTCTGGTTGTGCAATAAAACGGAAACTGTTGAGGACTGTAGGAAGTCTTCTTAAGAAAGAAGGGATTTCTCCCTCTAGTCTTCATAATCAGGACGGAATGATTGTTCAAACTCGGCATCCATGAGCACACCGCTCATGATGTGAATCATGATCTCACCCCTGGTGATGTCTGCTAGCTCAGCACGAACGTTGTTGACGATGAGGGCTCCGTCTGGGCGTCTGTGGGCATGTAACCTGAACCCAGACACGGAATCGAGCAGTACCTCCTTCCTTGTGGGCACTTCTCTTGAAGCCAAACGCAGAGGGACGGTGGAGAACCCCATAACACGAGAAAGAATCGCAAAGGTTTCGTTAACCTTCTGGTCAAGAAGGCTGTCACTGGAATTCAGCTGAAGAACGCCTTGGAAGGCACTTTCTGAGGGGACGAATAAGGTAAACGGGAGGTCATCTGGCAGCATCGAGATCATCATCTCCCCCAGCTTCCCTAACTGTACATCCTTGGTCTCTTCAGTCCTCAATAGCTTGTACGGCCCAGGTGGTAAGTCGGGAAGGTGTGCATTCAGCAGGAGCAGCAAGGACCAAAGAGAAAGAAGTAAACATAGGGAAGCAAATGATATGACATGGAAACCACCCATTTTCAGTCTCTGCCTGGAGAGTCGCATATGATCCTGATTGCACTACTAGCGAAAATTCAGTAAGCTTGCCCTTCGCTCAGAGAGAATTATCAGTGTTTCACCTGCCGAGAAATCAATGTCCTATAGACTACATAAATCAAAAACTCTTGTTCATCCCACCACTTGCTGACAAACCAGGCAGTTCAGATTAAACCGACGACCCTTGCTCAGATAATGCCAGATTGTAGCCAGCAAACTCCCTCACAGAGAATCCAGGGATTTCTTCAGATTGGCTTTGACCATAAGCTTTGAGCAACAATCAGGAAGTGTTCAGAAAGATTCACTAGCACGCATATGCAAAACTGCTCCTCGCATTTACTCGTAAATGTTGGTACACTTGTATCAGAATCCCAACAGTTTATTCTACTGTCGACCAAAAGAATTGAGCGAGCTCCACCATGGCATTTCTAGAGGATTGGGAACAACATTGGCAGAGATCTTTTTTATGAACAATCATAAAGTTATATCCATCATAATCAATGAGGTCAGAAAGCCCGATCTGCCAAAACAAGATAAATGAAACATTTACCATTGATTAAAAACGATTTCAAGAAGACACAACCCTAACTCAGAGCTTGCAAGCACTCATGAGCATAATTCTTTATTAAAATAAGTTCATCCAACAAAAAACCAACAGCAAAGCTTAATGGCATATTTTAAAGTATTTCTAAGCAAGTGGATAGCGTTCCATAATTTCCCATTTCAGATAAACCGCGCCTTCCCTCAATCAAAATCTTATATACATGTATACAAGTCCTCAATAAATGCATCCTTGGAAAAAATTATGCAACAAAACTTAATGAGGAATAACAAGAGGAAGACTTCTAACTGAACTTTAAACATTACAATTCCAGTGAGCATTTAAAATGGTCCTTGCACTTAAAATAATTCATATCCAGTAGAATAATGGCAAGAACTTGCACAACCAAAAAGTCAGAAAGAGTATTTAGCATAATTCATAGGATAAAAACAACGCGAAATTGTAGGTCAAGTGAATGATTTATAATGCAAGAAATCTAACATGTCTCAGAAATCAGAAATCAGCTTGTTCAGACGTTCTAAACCAAAGTCTTTTTGCAAATGTTTTTAAAAATACTTAAATTATTGGCAAATCAACTTTTTCAAGAGGTTTATCGCAGAATAGTCATTCAAAGTTTTTTTTTAAAAAAACAAGTTTTGCCAAAATTTCACCTTAACCATGCATAAGATGCAGAAAAAAGGAAGTTATAATGTTCAGAAAATTAAGATTGGGGAATTTTATATTTGAGATGGTATGCTAGAACAAAAAGTAAGTGAACAAAAGTTTGATAGAAGGGGGGGAGAGAGAGAGTAACAGAAATGACAAGGTCGAAAGGGACTATCAGAGAGGGGATGGGATGGAGGGAAAGATTTTGACTCGTCTAAGTGAGTCGTGCAAAGAACCACACCGGAAAAGATTTACTTCACAGGAAAACACGGAATTGGAGAATAACAGGGAAAACAACATGCTATACAGGAAAATTGTGGAAGCGGATGATCCTACTTCTCCCTCACATTCATACCGATTCTTTTAAACTCCAGCTGAAAAATAGAAATGGGACACACGTATCCCAAAAACATAATTTGTCGTTCCAACATCGTGCCAAGTATTGAGCATCTCACTCAAAATCAACAGCTGGAAATGAGTGGAGTATCCCCGTGTATTTAACTGAATGACTTCACGTCTCACAATGAATGTGGAACTTTTCTAAAAATACTCTTAACACCCCCTGACGATAAAAAAAAAGCATGTACGTGACTACAGAGAAAACCTGAAAGCCCCGATACCATCTTAAACTACTCGTTTTTAATTCTCTCAGCCAATGTAGTACACAAATTGCAAAATGCAACAAAAACCCTGCAGTCATTCACCTGCAGACGCAACTCAGCCGGCCAACCGAGACAGAAAATACCCATTACGGTCCACAACATTAGAGAGGGCGTCGGGACGTACCAATGGCTCAGATCGAGGAGGAAGGCATCGGGATCTAGACTGGCATGGAGAAGACGACAGCGCAGCAGCAAGGAATCTGAGGGTGACAATGACACCGGAGGACGATGACCGAAAACGGCAACGGCGCACAACAGTGGCAGGGGACGCCGACAGATCCTTCGGAGATCGGAAAGAAGGAGCGATCTGTTTTAGGTTGAGAGGATCCTGGGTAAGAAGTAAATTAAAAAAGAGGGCATAGGCTCAACCTTGCTGATCACGCGCACCAGAGAAAGTTACACGACCGACGACGGCAGCGAGCAGGATTGCCGAGGACGACCGAGGATGGCCCTGGAGGGAGGTCAGTCTAGGAGTCGGGTCTCTCCGCCTCCATGGCTCTGCAATTCTAGAGGAGGAGAGAGAGAGAGAGAGAGAGAGAGAGAGAGAGAGAGAGAGAGAGCACTGCTCACATCTGCCTGCTCTCTGGCTTATTGGGCTGGCCTTGACTTATCGGTGCGGCTCGCTTGGAGTCCAAAATGAGAATATTTGAAGAGAGATCGGCCAGGGGCCCACAGCGGGCCCGCGAAAATATCTTCCACAGTGATGCCAGGTGGCATCGGCCCAGAGAGACGTGAGACGATACACAACGAATGGACGGTACAGATCGGCAGAAAGTCGAGTCGTTTTCCTACAGGAAAGATGAGAATCCCCCAGCTCCTTTTCTCCTGTTCACTCGTCACCCAATGATCGTGCATTTTTGGTGCGATAAACCCAAGAAGTTTGCGTTCCTTCGGAAAAGACCATGTCAGATATGATATTCGAAATTGGGGCCCCATGTTCGAAAATATCTCCTCCCCCTCCTCCCGCCACAGGTGGCGACGTCGGAGGACCTAGAGAGTTGCCACTCGGGGGCCCGTAACGGCTCATGCCACGTCAGCGATACTTTCCATTTTCGCGTCGCGAAAATAAAAAAGGCGAGATGGCGAGCACCTCGTTATAAATATCTCAGCCGCGGCGCGATAAGATTTTGGCGGAGGGGGAGGGGCAGGGACAGTCTAGGAAGGAGACCATATCAGCGAGGTGAGTCGGCCATGCTGCAACGATCTCCTAGAGTTGTTCGCGTCGTTGCTCTTGGACTGCGTTCCAAATTTCTTCACTGTTTATTATGCATAGTGGTGGACGTCACCACCTCTGCACGTAATTTCTCCTATCGAGCGGTGATTGTGTAGGAAGATTACAGCGTGCTCTTGAACTGCCTTCCGAATTTCTTCACTGTTTGTTCTGCACAGTCGGTGGACGTCGCCACCGATCGAGCGGTGACTGTGTGGAAAGATAACATGCTAAGCTGCTCGTTAGAAATTACGTAATCACCTTTATCGTTTGCGTCGACTTGATTTCCTTAGCCTCACTTGGCGATGTGTGGTATGCTTGTAAGCAGGAACATCCGTTTCTGTTTGCGCTATTCCTCAGTTATATGAGGAATGCATCTGTTTTGGGCATTTTGATATGGATCCCCATCTAGCTGCCCCCCTCCCTTTCCTGATTATTTTTAGAGCAGTATAGTACGGCGTGTCCTGTGTGCCGATTGTCCTCGATATGGATCCCCATCAAGAACTTGCGGACATTTGCTTATTGGCCTTTTTCGTTTTTTCCAGATGGCATCGATACAGTCAGTCTTGGGACCCTTGGTCAGTAGCAAGGGGAACCTTTCTCCCTCAAAGTTGCCAGGCACATTTCTTACTGGATCGGATAGCGTTGGACGCATTTCAACTGCACGGGAAAAGGAAATATGCTACAATATGGCGATGAGACCCAGGGCCACTTTGACATTTGATAACTCTACCACTGAAACGACTAGGAACAGATCGAGGAAACACACCGTTGATCCTGCAGCCCCTGATTTCCTTCCTCTTCCTTCTTTTGAGCAATGCTTTCCGAAGAGCACGAAGGAGCACAGGTAACTTTCTCACTTCACGCCTACTTCTCTGTTGATCGCCAACCCCATAGATGCCATTGGAGCTTCTCATATTTTTATGGAGTAATTCTGCATTTTTTTTTCTCTGTTTGGCAGGGAAATCGTCCATGAGCAATCTGACCATGTTCTTAAGGTTCCATTCCGCCGTGTCCATCTGTCCGAGGGTGAATCACACTTTGACACATACGACACCAGCGGTCCACAGAATATTGACCCGCTTGTTGGTAAGAATCACTTCCCTTCCTTATCCACGTATCGCTTTATTGCCTCGATGTGACGTACTGCACATTGATAATCTCAGTTAGTATGCTTGCCATTTTTAAGCCAGGAGTTTTTCTGTTTTAGAAATTCCTCAATTGACATTTTGATAGGCCTCCCTAAGATAAGGAAAGACTGGATTGAGAGGCGGGAGCAGTTGGGTGCCCCCAGATACACGCAGATGTACTATGCTAAGCAGGGAATCATAACCGAAGAGATGCTCTTCTGTGCCACGCGTGAGAAACTTGAACCTGAATTTGTTAGATCGGAGGTAGCCCGTGGGCGTGCCATCATCCCTTCGAACAAGAAGCACCTGGAGTTGGAGCCCATGGTCGTCGGCAGGAACTTTCTGGTCAAAGTAAATGCAAATATTGGAAACTCGGCCGTAGTGAGCTCAATCGAGGAAGAAGTGCATAAGCTACAATGGGCGACAATGTGGGGAGCCGACACAATCATGGATCTCTCCACTGGCCGACATATTCATGAGACGCGTGAGTGGATCCTCCGTAACTCTGCTGTGCCGGTGGGGACTGTCCCTATCTACCAAGCACTAGAGAAAGTGAACGGCATTGCAGAAAACCTTAATTGGGAGGTCTTCAGAGAGACTTTGATTGAGCAAGCAGAGCAGGGTGTTGACTATTTTACCATTCACGCTGGCGTACTACTGCGTTACATTCCCCTAACTGCGAAAAGAATGACTGGTATAGTCTCCCGCGGAGGATCGATACATGCTAAATGGTGCTTAACCTACCACAAGGAGAACTTTGCCTATGAGCATTGGGATGACATCCTCGACATCTGCAATCAGTATGATATCGCCCTGTCTATCGGTGATGGGCTGAGGCCCGGTTCAATATATGATGCCAATGATACGGCTCAGTTTGCCGAGCTTTTGACACAAGGGGAGCTCACCAAACGAGCGTGGGAAAAGGATGTGCAGGTAAATACTCCTAAGACAGAGAAACAGAGTTTCTAGTTATGTTTGCCTCTTTCTATATTTCTGCCTTAATTGTTCGATATCGGTTCTTACTGTTGCTTAGCTTAGTACTTATCCTGTCGATGAGGTTGTCTTATTTCCCAAGAAACAAACAATTGAATCAATCAAAGACACTTCATCGGTTCCCAAATCTGCTTCTAAATTTTTGTGGGTCAGAGACAATTTGTCAATTCTGATTTGAGTACCCTTTCGTGGTACCCATATATGCCTTTTTGTCTCAAGCCAGTCGTTTTTTTTTTTCTTTTTTCTGTTCACAGCGATGTTTCTTGTGATAAACACTACATGCCAAATTATTCTGAACATAATTTGGAAACTTCAGCATTTTCTCGTTTGAATATCTAGGTGATGAATGAAGGCCCTGGGCATATTCCAATGCACAAAATACCAGAAAACATGGCGAAACAGCTGGAGTGGTGCCATGAGGCACCTTTCTACACGCTTGGTCCACTGACGACAGATATTGCCCCTGGTTACGATCACATCACCTCTGCAATTGGCGCAGCTAACATTGGAGCTCTCGGCACGGCTCTTCTATGCTACGTGACACCTAAAGAACACCTCGGATTGCCCAACAGGGATGACGTGAAAGCCGGAGTCATCGCCTACAAGATAGCTGCCCATGCGGCGGATTTGGCGAAAGGGCACCCCCACGCGCAAGAATGGGACGACGCTCTCAGCAAGGCGAGATTTGAGTTCAGATGGATGGATCAATTTGCCTTGTCACTGGACCCCATGACCGCCATGTCTTTTCACGACGAGACCCTTCCATCGGACGGCGCTAAGGTGGCGCACTTCTGCTCCATGTGCGGACCCAAATTCTGTTCCATGAAGATAACAGAGGATGTCCGCAAGTACGCGGAGGAGCACGGCTATGGAACTGCGGAAGAAGCTGTGAAACATGGCATGGAAGCCATGAGTGCGGAGTTCTTAGCTGCCAAGAAGACCGTCAGCGGAGAGCAGCATGGTGAAGTCGGAGGGGAAATCTACTTGCCAGAGAGTTACATCATGGCGCACTCCGGAGAGACGAAGTCTTAAGGAGTAAGCAAAGCACGAATAGTATCCTTTCTTCTTACTAAGACTTCATCTTCGCAAAAAGTGGCCCATTCTTTCATTAAAACTGAGACCATTGCGTATTTTGCCTTCTCACAGAAGATCGAGCTGGTGGGTTCAAGAACGCAGACAACCGGTGGATTGGATCCACCGAGACCGGCACCCGGGATCCAGAGCCGCTACGTTTCTATTTGCTTGGGTAAGTAACGAGATCATCGATTTAATAAAGTATCCGAGGCATCTGATGCTTTATCTTCAATAATTTCCTAGTGTTCCAGAGTCTCGCGGGAATAAATAAAAAATAAAAAAAATCTAGACTTCGTGTTTTTCGTGCTCTATTCCCCGTTTTATATTCCCTCCAGTTTATTAATGCAAAGCTGCACCGGGGGTGCCTGGACCTGCCGCAGCCCGGCCCTCCTCCGGCCTGGCTAGATGAGGCAGGGACTGGCTGAGAAAGTCCCTTCGAACCTGAACAGGGTAATACCTGCGTAGGGAGTGTGCCGCCTTTCTCTCTCTTGTTTTCTTCTTCATGTGCTGCCGCAGGGTCGGATCTCCCGCCCACAGTTCGACCCGATCGATCACGCCGGAATTCTCAAAACATAAGCCCCCACAAGCGGCCAGGATCACCCCCCCCCCCCTTATCTCCCTTCCCCTTCGTTGTATCTCCTGTCTGCCCATTCGGATCAGAAGATTGGATCTGCCGGATGATCGATCATATGTTCATAAAATTCCCCTTTATAATGTTCTAATGGAGGGTTCCTCCACGCTTTGCTGATGAATGTTGGTCGTGCAAATGGGTTTCTTCCGTCTTAGCCGATTTAGTCGCAGAAATCTGCCGCAAATGAACGACTCCTCGGCAATGGCGGAAGCCAACAACCAGATAACTGCGAAAGGGAAGGGCTCACAGCGTTGCACAAGACGTGTGTCAAGGAAGCTACAAAAAAATGTCAATGGGACAGCCGCCGGGTCTGGTCTCCGCGTGCACAGAGCCTGTCGGCAGCTGAGCGGCCACTGGTGCGCCGCCGCACCGGCTCAGTTTCCCCGGCTTCAGTTCTGATCTCCACCATCTTCCTCCCCTGCACGAATCCCCCCCAAAAATCAAACCAGGCCAAAGCCACCGGTGACTAACAGATTTCGCGAGCAAAACAAGGAACTGAGGCAATACGTAGTATAGCACAGGAAGACCAATTAAGAAATCGGTGGTGACCGCATTGTGCATAAAAGAAAACGGATGAACGGCCAATGTGCGATCCCAGATAAAAACAAGATTAATAAACAAAGAAAAGGGAAATTCTTGGGCAGCCTTACTGCTGTTCTCAGACCGGATCAAGGGCGTCAACGGGCCACACCCAGATAACTGCTTACAAGACCCGAGCTTCGAGATCCCAGAAAAGGGGCCTCGATAAACCCAAATATGCCCTAATATATACATATAGATGCATCAATAAGATGGAGAGCATGGGTGAAAGGCAGTCTGAGGCTTGAGAGGAGATCTTTGGAAGACCCTCGGATTTGCCATGACTAGTGGACTTGTTGCTTATTTTCCATACAATATCGATATATTTGTTGGAGCCCCTGAGGAAGTGGAAACGGTTTCTACTTGCCAAGAAATGAGACAAGGAAAGCAAGCCCGGGATAGCACGGTTTCTTGTCCATGTCCAGAGTGAACTGGCGGAAAAGAAGACAGCCCAGTTTCTTCGTCTGCCACTCGGGTGGGTTGCTGTTAGCTGCCTGATCACAGAAAACGCTTGAAGAGGAAAGGAAAGAAGGTGAAGGGACTGAAAATGAAGGTAACGCCGACCACTCTCAAACAATGTGGACAGAAGAACTCAATAGGTGGCGAGAGCATGGCACATTATCCTACGGGTTCAAGATCAAGAAGCCACCTCGGAACAACAAAGTCCGGGGCGAGGCACAACAAGGACGCCTGGGTAGATAACCAAAACGTATTTGCAGTTGTGATTCAAGGCACAAGCTCATCTGAGAAAATTCTCTCCTGCTCAATAAAGACAGAGGGAAATATGCTCTCTCTCTCCCCCCTTCAGAGTCTGTATTTGAACAGTCTAGATTTTGGTAAGAAGCTAGTTCCTCTTCAAATAAAAGATTATTCACAAATCCTCAATGAGGATGATAATTCTGCCCATTTGCCATTCCAATCTTGGTAAGCGCGCGAAAAAAAACCATTGTCATTGCATGCACTGCAATTCAACATGGGCACTTCGCTCCCGACCAAAGAAAGCTCATGGGGGAAGTTGAAGTATTAAAAAACCACTAAAGTGACCGATTTCAGCCAATCACAGATGATAGGGACCCGCGATCTTGACGAAATATAACTTTAGAAGAAGAAAAATTAGATCTCACGAACCTTCTTCGTCTTCTCCTTCTTCTTCTTCTGTGTCATCAGCGTCTTCGGCGTCCTCCCCGTACACAGAGTTGAGGTACTCCAGCGCTGACCTTGTGAAGATCAAGTTCTTGGCATCCAGCACGTCAAACAGGTTCAGAGTCCTCGGAGTCAGCACCTTCACGGTGCCGATGTTCCTGCACGACAGTAAGACATTCTCGGGCACCTCCGTCATCATAAACGTGACCTTGTCCTTGGGGTCCAGCCCCCACCGCTTCAATGCCGCCACAAATTCCTTAGTCTTCGGCGTTCCCTGCAGAGATCAGTCGCAAAAAGTCAGACGAATCTGTCGATTGGGAAAAGACAGAAAAATAGGAGGTTGTAAATTGCATAAGTCTCAAAATCAGAAAGAATTCACTCACGTCGAATGCATCCCCGAAGTCCTCGACGACGAAAGCCTCGGCATCTTCCGCCGTGGCGACGTTCGCTATCGCCGTTGACAGGGCCAAGCGCTTCTCCTTGCGGTTCATCTTTATGCTCCAGTCCTTGGGCTTGGGGCCGAAGATGACCCCTCCCCCGGGCCGTAGCGGCGTCCTCTGCGACCCCCTCCGCGCGCCCCCCGTCTTCTTCTGCGGGTAGGGCTTCCTCCCTCCGCCGCGAACTTCCCCACGGGTGAGCGTCGAGGCAGTGCCCCTGCGCTTGTTCTGCATATGGGTGACGAGGCCACGGTGGACGACGGCGCGCGCCGTCTCAGGCGGCGCTGAGCGGAGGTCAAGCGCCGCCTCGCCCACCTTCTCGCCGGAGAAGGAGAGCACCGGGAGGGTGGCCAGCTCTGAGCGCACACCCAGAGAGGGCCTACCCGCTCTGGAGGCATGAAGGCGGGTGCAGGGAAGAGAACAGGGCAATTGCTTTGGGGATGAGCGATGGAAGATGGAGGACGACAGGAAGGCGAGGGAGGTGGAAGGCGCAGCCATCGGCATCTCTCACAGTCTCTCGCTGCTCGCTCTGCGGCTCCGGCAGGGAAGGAAAAGAACCTGCTTGCCCTTGTAAAAGAAGGGCCTTGCGAGGCGACATTATCCGTTCTTTTTCTTTTCCCCTACATTAACAACAAATAGAAACCTCCCCAGGGAAAATGATAGGCCTCCAGTGTCCCGCGCGACAACATACTGGCATATTATTTGGGCCTGCATCGGCCTCAGAAGCCGGCCTTTTCCGTATTTAATTCTCAATAACAAGCCCATAAAGAAAACCACGCCTGGCCAGCCCAGGCCCACCACATACTTGAGCCAGATGGGAAAAAAAAAATCGGCCCAATCAGGAACGAACCGTGCCCATCATTTTGGGCAGAATCGAACCATTATTCTTATTTCCATATTTACAGCATTGCCTAGAGGAGTTGACTTTGGCGAATGTAGTGCAGATAATCACTCGCACGTGTTGAGACCTCGTGCGGACAGCCGCCGGCATGGGTCATTCCTATTTCAGAGGGAGAAATTCGGGACCTAAAAATGTTTTTTTTTTTTTTTGGTAGAAAAAAGAACCAGGGCTGGCTACTGGGATTTAGATCTCGAGGAGCCGCCTCCAGTCAGCCCGAGGTCACCGGTGACCAGCAGACGGGCTCCCTTCACCAGCTCCTCTTTGACCATGAACAAGACCGCCGCCGCCAGCACGCTCTGCATGATCTTGGTGCTCATTCCCTTGTAGAACACCGAGAGGCCTTCGTGATAGATCATCTTCGTGATGGCGTCGGCCGTCCCTGCAGTGAAGCCGGGGGATCCAGGTCAAGGGGTGTCGCAGATTCATCTATTTAAGGAAAGAACTTTTCTCCAGGTCAAAGCCTTATACAGTGGGCCCACAGCATAGAAGCCAATCATCCTAATAATACCTCTGTAGTGATGATTCTTGTCACTGCTGACCACCTGTTTGGCTTGAAGTCTCGACTGAAAAAGTTCAATGAACAGGCGACTTAGTAGAACTGTACTCGCAGGTTAGTTTCCCAGGAGACCATAAAATTCTTTTTTTTTAAAAAAGAAGGAAAAATGGACATCTGGGATTTCAACTGGTTGCATTAAATCCAGAGATGATAAAATAAAAAAAAATATATTTTCTGAAAATCTGGCGATCATCCGGAGAAATTAGAAGAAATCAATGCCACGAGGTGGGATTGGTGACAAGCTAAACAGATTCTTACCTTCACGACCAGAAGAGGATATGTTGCAACAGTAGCTCCAAGTTTAGCAATTGCTCCGAGAAGGAAAAACTGGAGAACAGGTCAACCCATCGCTTTAAGTCAACACTAAAAATGAAATATATCAAATATATATATATATATATATATATTGGCAGCATAACCAGGCACCATGGAAGCATGACACTAGAATACATCTATAAATAATATACACACTCAAGTAAATGAATACATATTACAGGATTAATTATCTAACAAACAATATATCATTAAAAATTATATTTCTACTGATAGGTTTTTTTCTCTTTTATTGTATTATTAGCATGTGGCATGATCAATCTGTATTATTAGCATGTGAAACATAAAATTAGAGCCTCTCGGCTCTTTCTCATGAACAGATTCACGAGTGTCACATTCCTCTAAAATTTACCTCAAGGGCGGTTACTGCATTGCTCCCCTTTGCAGCTCGTCTGGCCTTCAGTTTCTTCAGGAGGGTTTCATACAGCATGAACTGTATGGAGGGATTGGAGACCTGCAGGTAGGGAGGGCGAAACTCATTACATTTCATCTGGCAGCAGTGTGGAGAAAGCTTCGTGTTGCTTACCATAATAAGAGCTGGGAATACGCCCTTCCAGAAACCAAAAACCCCAGCTTCATCGTAGATCTCATGAACCTGTCATTGTTAGCAAGAAGAGAACTTACTGGCACCGATCATAGGAAAGTATTATTTCTGATCTACCATGCTCGGATTCAAAAGTTCTCAAAATTTTTCTACTGTTTCTCGCCGATTGGAAACCCAAATTCTGCTCCAACTATGCACCAAAAACAAAAAAAATCACGATCTAATGAAATATTGAGATTAACTATCATAAAAGTACCTAGAGTGCATACATGTTCTTGTCCGAGAAGGGTCTATACGCACTGAATCTTTACAGAATAAACAGCGTAGCTCACATCTTTACGAGTACTGACCAACATGAGTTGACCTTGGATTAGGAAGAACGAATGTTGAAGAAATATTCTTGCTCGAACTATTGGAGGATGAAGTCAGGGGAAAAAAAAGGGTACAAGACTCAGAATAATCATATCAATTGGGAAATTATTGGAAAAAGGTCGTAAAAGTTATAATGTATTCACCTAAAATATACATGAAACATAATATTAGTTGATGTGAAGAGGGTGAAAAATTAGATTGCTTCCGTGATCATCCTCGAATGTACATTATTTTCCCACCGTGTGGATGAAAATTCACACACGCATCGGGGAAAGTCCTCGACAAGTATTGCAGAAAAATGTAGCTATGACGGATAAATTAAAGCATGAACAAGAAAAAAATGAGAATCTAAGAGTTTAATCAGTTAAAAATTAATGCACATTAGCTTGTCTTCTGAATACCATCCTTATTTATTTCTCTCTGCTTCTGTTATTGATCCTGCTTTAGGGACGTTCTTGTCAGTATAATATGATTTGTCTACAAGAATAGCATGCATTTTCTGGACGTCGACAATGCGAATTGGTTCCCAGAAATTAGATAAAAAAGAAGAAGAAAGAGGGAGAGAGCTATCCAGTATGCTCTCCAGTGTTTGATGTCGAAATTTTTTATATCTACTTCCTAAATTTACGTTCACTATATTATTATTCAGAAGGAAAATGTCCCCAGTTTTATGCGAACTGATTAAACACAGGCCCCAATATTTTCCTAAAACAGTCGCAAAAGCTATGAAGATCCTCAATCAGCGTTGACTGGCAGACACGAGACACTTCTCACTTTAACGGCATCTCAGAAAACACGTGCCCCATTATTTGTTTACAAAAATTTACCCCCACCCCAACCCTCCCACCACTGACACAAAAGGGACTTCAAATAGATTCTTGATGCAATTTTGAACCTAGAAAAAAACGTACAGGTTATTATATAAATTTAAAAATAAATGGCATACAGTATGACTTGTTCCATAAGAGGGCTTCTCAATTGCCGCAGTCTGGATTTTGACATTTAGAACATCTGGTACGGAAGGATCAGATTGTATCCTCTTTGCTCTTGTCGTCTGAAAATGAAGAAACAATAATGTTTTTTTTGACAGGAGTTCACACGGTGTAATGACTTCGGTAAAGCAGATTAGACAGAAAAAAGGAATCCGGCGCATGAACTTGTGAAGAGAGAGAACAGAAACAGTGGGATGAGAGAACGCTGCCATAGTTAATGCTACATTTGGTAAACTTTTACCTGCATACGTGTGACTATAACCCATATAGGATTTGTCAGCAACACATTCATGCATCTGTACCAGAGGAACAAAACTATCAGATGTTTAACCAAACAACGGATGGAAAAATTACGCCACATGGAGTATTAAGAAAAAAGAATCTAATGCAACTGAAGGCACATACTGAATTAGTAGCACCGATGACTTCAAAACAGAATAGCTTACCCAGATAGTGCGGCTGCAACCAGTGATTGAAGCATTCCAACTGATCCATCTCCAGACCCTCTCTTCCATTTATCAAGTGCAGCTTTTTCTGCACGGCTCCTAAATATTTGATAGAAATAATAATATACACCCTGTTCCAAGAAAGAGCAATTTAATGATGAAGACGAGACACAACAGAATCCACTCATAGGTCAGCCTATCACAGAGCTAGCAGAAAATTCAATAAATAAGCAGTAATGATGACTCCCAAATCACCGAGCAAAACCAGCGAGTGAAACATGAAAAACTCTTATACGCAATAATGTTAGATGGAATTAGCCCAACAATTTTGAATGAGAAATAATTAACCTGGAACTAAAGTACTGATTGTAAAGGAATAATAAGCCTCTGGCATGTTTATACTCCTATTTGAAAATCAGAAAGAAGATTACTATCAAGACCATTGAATCAGGCAGCTGCATCATAATCACATGCCATTAGCCCAACTGAGTGTATGCATTTTCCCCATGCTTTGTCTACTACTGTGGAGCTCGTTTACAGTTCGAATAAAGGGCAGGAACACGCTTTATAAACTTCATGACAGACATAAATTACTTACTCGAGAATACAAAAAATCGGTGCGACAGACAAATTGTGAAGGTGAGTTTTAGAAAGCAATCCAGGATAAATAGACAGTGTCAGCGGTATGACATAGATAAGCTCTTCACAACCTAGGCACCAATGCGTACTGCGACGGTACAGCATCTGAACAATGTGAAAAATTGCACCATCGCAAGAAGTTGATTCTCGTTTTGAGAAACCTGCGTTCGTTTCCCAACCTACCGACACTAATGTTGGCGACATTTGATTTTAACTAAATCGTCTCATCCGGGTTTTCAACTGGAAGTAAGTATCCTTTTTTTATCTTGTGAAGTAACGAATCGAACTCGGCAACGCACATCCACAAACCGGAGCAAAAAACTTCATGCTAATACCTGCGAAGCCGCGGTTCCGAACATGGACGGGGCCAGTCCCCCGTAGAGCCGCTGCCATCCTTCCTGGTGGACAACCTGCATCAGAACAATCATAAGGCGAACAAAAAGGAAGAAGCAAATCATCGCAGCCGCTTTTACACGGCAAAAAAACAGCTCGAGTGTGGATCAAGCAGCGGTACAACCCCAAACGACAACAAATCCTGACCTGGTACATCTGCGCGACGGTTCCATCTCTAAACCCCGTCTTGCCCCTGCCCCGATCTGTCTGTTGACGAGTATTGACCTGAGTAAACCGGACATCGGATGAACCAACTGCCCCAAATCGGCATACGGAGAACACAAAAAGAAAAATCGGAAGACAACCAGAGGCAGGAAGGGAAAGTCCTAAACGGAGGAAATATGCGGGGAGGAAAATACAGTTTGGAGGGGGTATGTGATGAGCTGTGCAATGATCCCCCCGCCAGCTCCGGCGAGTCCGTTGATCAGCGCGTCCGACATCTCCCCCCTCCTCTCCCTTCCCCTCGATCACCGGGAACCTCAACTCAACGGAGACGCGACTGAGTCTTTCGAAAGAAAAACCAGGAAATTCGTCGCGTTAACGACGAGGGAAAACAGATCTGAGATTGTAATAGAGAGAGAGAGAGAGACGTATAAGGAAAAACTAGGAAAAAGGGTCAATAAATATCTGCTATTTTGGCTGTAGTTCCGAATACCTGCTTTTGACAGCGACCGCCGACAAACGTTTTCAGTTCTCCGGCAAGTTCTAAATTACGGCATTGCCACTGGATCGTGGCGTCTTGGGGGATGGAAAACTTAAAAGGTTCGAGCACTCCGCTGCCTATTTTTACCGGAATGAATGGGACAGAAAAAGAACCGTTGACTACCACCAGCCCGAAACCCAGCCCATTTGGCCCAGGAGAAAAATGTGGGCCCACAGAGCTCAAATAAGTCCGACGAAATCCAAAAGCTTGGACTTCTCTCTCTCTCTCTCTGGACCGATTAAGCCCAAAAGCTTGGCTCGTTTTCCATAGCTAATTGGGCCACAATGCCTCTCTGCCGAGTGGCCCAATGTCATTGGAGCCCAGGTCCAGTCACCCTCGACTTTTGGGGCTTTCTCCGGTTTCGACCCTACCCAGGCCTTCTGGATTAAAAGTACTCACTATCAAGGGTCTAATGGGCCGATAGATATTCGGCCTAATGGGCAAAAATGAATGACTAAGAGAAATATCGAAATGAGCCAAAGTGCGACAATACTTCTGCGTTCGTATGGTTTTGGCCCGGTCCTTAGAAAATATCTCTGCGCTGGGGTTAGTCCGACCCGTCAACGCCTCTGCCGGCGGTGGCTCACTAGATTTGACACGTTGACAACCAGGAAGACGTGGGGAATTTGGACAAGACAGATATTTCCAATCTTGTCCACTGATTCTGGCATTGGGATCGACGTCCCCCTTGTCCCGGAAGCTGATGGCACTGGTCCAAGCCGCCTACTTACAACGTATCTGGCGCCTGTTTCAATCATCTCGAAAAAGGCCTGCAGAGTCCTCTGTGTACGAAGTCAAACAACTCTCTATCCACGTCGTGTCTGCTAGTCAACGTCGTCACCATCGGCCTCCAGTCAATCCCAGGAGAGGAGAACAAGCCGAACCGTTGACAATCAGAGGCCCTCTTCACTCCACGGTCAAAATCCTCTCTCTCTCTCTCTCTCTCGCTCTCGCTCTTCCAATGACCGATGTGCCCTATTGTCCACGAGATCTTACACTACCAGCCATTAACCCCGTAGCAGAGACGCGGAGAGAGAGAGAGGGAGAGGGGGAGAGAGAGAATGAGAGGTGTGGGGGGAAGACTGTTTGACGATCACCTCGAAAGAAGAGTGTGATAAAAAAAAGTATAGCAATAGAGAAAAGCAGACCGCAGATATCTTGGTTCGCCCGATTAATATTATAGTCATCCAGTCGTGGTTATTCCATTTCTCGCGGTGATGTAGTGGCACTGAGCAAGACCAGCTGCCCCTCTTCCGCCACAACGCGCTGAGAAGGGCCACGCCTCACCCATGTGTCGTGACAGCCTACCACCCCACGGGATAGTTACTCTTAGGTGGACTTCCCCCCGCTGAACTTGGAGTGTAGTACTTGGATAGACAGTAAGACATTCGTGGACGCGTCTATTCTCTCTCTATCTTTCTCTGGGTTAATGTCCCAGTTCCAAGAACCAACGCGCAGGACAGATAGATCACGAGTCACGAGAGGGAGATGGAGAGAGAGATAGAGAGAGATGGGAATGAGTACGTGGTCGAATCCAGGCGTAGTGTGGAAGATGATTGAAGGAGACGTTCAGCTTCCCTCCAGAGCAAAGACTGATGCACAAGACTCTGGACATTCAATACTCAGACAATAAATAATCTGTCGGAGGGATTGAGAGAACACCCTGGACACCCAGTTATTCCACAGAGATCTATCATCCCCGATCTCGCAGAAGCTGACGGCGTTAAAGAGGCTCCCCAGCGTGATCTACCGTCCCCAATCTTTCGGAGGCTGACGGCGTTAAATAGGCTCCCAGCGTGATCTATCATCCCAGATCTCTCGGAGGCTGACGGCGTTAAATAGGCTCCCAGCGTGATCTCTCATCCCCGATGGACAGAATCAACAGGAAAAAGACCCGTAATTCTAAATCTCTCTCTCTCTCTCTCTGTATTACGGAAGAGAGTTATCAGGCTACATAAGGAGAATATTGTAGATAAGAAGGCTTGAGATAACCTGGATGACCATCTCTCTCTCTCTCTGTATTACGGAGGAGAGTCATCAGGCTACAGACAGAATATTGTAGATAGAAGGCTAGAGATCTGGGGAGGGGAACCTGGATGGCCATCCCTCTCTCTCTCTATATATCTGACGGAGGAGAGCCATCAGACCAAAGAGAGAGAATACTGTAGATAGAAGGCCTGAGATTTGGGGAGGGGAACCTGGATGCCCATCCCAGGTGCAGCCATCCATAAGCAATTAAGGGATAAACCGCCGCTCGCGTCACCGAGAGTAAGATTACCAGCTAAGGATGATGCAGGTGGCCTCGCTCGTCGCATCCTTTCAAAACCGTGCTTGGGTGCCAAGAGTTTACATTTTGGGCAGTGAGTTCAGCTGTCAGGATCACAACGTCAGCCTCCAGCCTGGCCCCATCAGAGGGCCGGCCCTTAAAGCCCTTTTTTCTTGGAATGGGCAGGGCCGGCCCGGTACTCGTCGGGCCAAGTCGCCACTTTCCGTAGCTTCATAAAGCGTGTTATCACCTTGGCCAATGGATCTAACCGGTAAGGGGACCACTTCCATTTGTCGCTTTTGCCTTATCCCCGCATTAAACTACCCTCAACTGTCCACGTGGCCTGCCCTTGAGCAGACAGCCGCTGGACACGGGACAACTTGCCGGGGTAGTATCCCACCCATTCACCTCGCTCCCAGCCCACGACAGTTTAAGAGACGTTGTAGCGCTAAAATATGCAATCAGATAAGCGACACCGTCCACACTCCAAGAGATGGAGGGAGATCTAACCTTGTGAGAAATGTGGAAAAATAGCACTTGCATGGGTGGGTCACCCTCCGTCCCTTTCCTCCCTCCGTCGTGTTCTCTATTCCTGTCTTCTGGCCCCGGATGGAAACAGCAGAACGAGAAGGGAGGGGCCGCCGTCCAATTCTCTGGTGCATGAATCTATCGCTCGTCCGTTGCTCCCTCCCTCTATAAAGCCTGGCCGCCAGAGAGGAGAGCAGCAACGTGAAGAGTAGAGAGAAGAACGAGAAGAAGAAGATGGAAACCAGAGTCGCTTCCCTCCCCCCCATCCCGGCTCTTCACTCTCACTGTGCTCACTCCTCGAGGCCCTCGTCTTGGGTGCTCGTCGCCAAAACCATGGTCTATCCCTCGCGGAAATCCGCCATAGGAGAGCTCAAGCTCTCCGTCTCCGACATGCCCATGCTCTCCTGCAACTACATCCAGAAAGGGCTCCTCTTCCCCCGGCCACCCCTCCCCATCCAACACGTTCTCACCCTCCTCAGGCGCTCCCTCTCGAGCGCCCTCTCCCACTTCCCGGCCCTCGCCGGCCGCCTTGTCACCCACCGCGACGGCACCATCTGCATCTCGTGCAACGATTCCGGCGTCCCCTTCTCCCACTGCACCCTCGCCGCCGCGACTGGCGGTTGTGGCCCGGTACTCAGCCTCCCCCATGTCGCACTGTCGATTTCTACGGTCGACGTGCCAGTCGCGGTCAAGGAGTTCCTCTTCGATCTGGACGGCGCCGTCAGCTACGAGGGCCACTTCCGCCCTCTGGCAGCCGTCCTAGTGACGGAGCTCTCCGACGGCTCCCTCTTCATCGGTTGCACCGTCAACCACGCCGTCGTCGACGGAACCTCCTTCTGGAACTTCTTCAACTCGTGGGCGGAGATTTGTCGTGGCGGCGCTCTCGACGCCGCCGGCAGCGTCTCCCGGCCGCCGGTATTATCCCGCAACTTCTTCGGCGAGTCCACCGCGGTGCTCCGGTTCAACGACGACCAAGGCCCGACGGTGACCTTCGACGTCACCGCCCCCCTGCGTGAGAGGATCTTCCGCTTCGAAGGGGAGACCATCAGGAAGCTCAAGGCCCTCGTCAACCGCCCATTCTCACCACCCGATTCGAACCGGGCGGCGGAGATATCCTCGTTCCAGTCGCTGTGCGCGCTGCTGTGGAGATCGGTGACCCGGGCACGGCGGAGCAGGCTCGGCGACGACGCCACGGTGACGCTACGGATGGCGGTCAACTGCCGCCACCGGGTTGAACCACCCGTTGACTCGCTGTACTTCGGCAACGCCATCCAGAGCATCCCCACATCGGCGCCTGCGGGGGACGTGGCGGCGCGGGATCTGCGGTGGGTGGCGGCGCTGGTCCACGGCAGCGTGGCGGCGTACGGGAAGGAGACGGTGAAGCAGGTGGTAGCCGAGTGGGAGCGGGCCCCCAGGTGCTTCCCTCTGGGAAACCCGGACGGGTCGGTGCTGACGGTGGGGAGCTCTCCGCGGTTCCCCATGTTCGACAACGACTTCGGTTGGGGCCGGCCGGCGGCCGTGCGGAGCGGCCGGGGCAACAAGTTCGACGGGAAGGCGTCGGCGTTCCCGACCCCCGCCGGCGACGGCGGCGTGGACCTGGAGCTCTGTCTCGCCCCTGACATCATGGCGGCGCTCGTCTGCGATCCCGAGTTCATGGCGTACGTGTCCCACCCGTAAGGTTATTCTCCGGCAATGCCACCTATGTATGAATAGATATCGATCACTCATTCCCCAGAAACGCCGTCTTGTCGGCGGGGACGCAGCGGCGGAAGGGGATTGTAGCTCTTTCTACGGGCTCCTCTCCGGCCACGGCCATCTGGGCCCGGCGGCTGTCAGGTATTCTCCTCAGTCGGCATTGCGTAGGGGCTAGCTCCATCGTGCCATCCATCCATCCATTGACTATATAGCAGCGTATCATCATGCATACATCTTCCCGGACCTCTCGGCCGAGCTGCACAAAATGAGACAAAATACGCACACACCGGCGGCGCGGTGTCGCCGAAGAGAGAGAAACCCGCTTGCCACTACATGGACGGCACTGGAGCGCATGCTCACGCGCCGAGTCGGTCGGACGGTCCCTCCGCCGACCCCGGGCGGCGAGAGTCTTCTTCCAAACCCTCAATGTGGCCGTTCGTCGCGTCTCTGATCTCCAGTGTGGTTGGGGGAGGAGACGAGATTCCCAGAGGGTGCCCGCACCTCGTAGTGGCGTCCACGTCCTTCGTCCCAGTGTAAAGGCCTCGGCTTCCGACGACCAGCACGCCGTGGTTCAAGCCCTGCGTGACCCAGACAGATCAGACAGAGAAGAATGAATGGTAATTGGGCAAGCGCCACACCACGCGCGGGTGGCGGAACGGAACAGAGAGAGATGCTTACGTGGTGCAAACAGGGGAAGCCGTCGCTGACGGTGGTGAGGACGGCGGGGATCACCTCGATCAGCTGCGGGGTGGCGGGAGCCGACGCCGCCATGAGCATCCGCAGGGTCTCCCTGGCGTTCTTCTCCGCCGAGGACTCCACCTCAGGGAGGAGGGGGCTGACGATGCCGGGGTGGAGAGGGGGGACGGCGGAGGAGATGGCGGGACCAGCGCTGACCAGGTACCCCTGGCCGCCGGAGGAGCAGACGTCGATCACGGGGACGTGGACGATGGGGTCGGACATGAAGGGGGTGAACGTGGGGATCTGCTGGGCGCTCGACTTGGCAGCAAAGGAAGGGAGCGGGAAGATCAACGGGAGGTCCAGGTCAAGCGCCGGGCCCTCGGAGAGGTCGAGGGGTGGAAAGAGCAGGGTGCCCTCGGAGGCCATGGACGGCGGGTGGTGAGGGGGAACTGAGGGGGGGTTCTGAAGGGAAGAGAGAGGGGGGCACCAGCAGTAGTAGGGCGAGAAGAGCGATGGGCTCGGAGCGGCAGGGACGACCTGAGACGGGGAAAAGGAGGACGAGAGATAGCTCAGGTTGGGGATCTCCGGGAACCGGAACGGCTGTGGTTGGTGAAGGGGCCTAGATCTGCTGCACTCCCGGGCCTCGTCGTCATCGCCGCCACCGCCTCCGCCGCTGGGAGACCCGCACCGCGCCGAGGAGGTCGAAACCTCCGCAGGCGGGTCTCCGGCGCCCGGCGGCGGAGGGCCGTCTTCTCCGCCGCACCTTGGGTTCGAGCTGGTGGCAGTCCTCGTGGGTCGGCCCACACCGGACCGGGCGTGGGAGAAGCTTGGGACGGCGGGCGCGGGCCGGCTGCCGGGGTTGGACACCGGAATGCGGGCGGTCTCCATGAGGACGGTGGAGGGATGAGCTCCGGAGGAAGCTTCAATGGTAATCGGAGGGCGAAGGAGGTAGGCTCGGAGATGAGTCGCAAAGGAATCGAGTCGCAGCTCGGAGATCCCTGTTAACTGAGATAGAGACGGCCTCCTCCGAAGCAAATCCTTCATCTGCCTCCCCCCCAGGGGAAAAAAAAAGCACATCAGAACGTCTGTCAGCGGAAACTCTCCAAGGGCCGACCAAAGACAGTGAAGCTCATGCTTAAGGGTCGGCTTTGCGGAGGTGGGATCTCCGAACCACAGGATTTGGCTATGTATACTAAACACCGAGGAAAACACACCTTCGACAGGAGCTCGGACCCGAGAAACTGAGACTTCTCTGAGCACCAGAAATAAGCCAGGTGGTTCACCGAAAGCCTCAAGAGGAACGTGCGACCAGTGCCGTCGGCCGAGATCTCTTCAATCATGACCTCCGAATCCCCCGCAAGGTGGCTCACCACGGCCAGGCTCTCCTTGACTCCGTTGTCCCCGCAGAACGATAGACGCATGTCAGAGGTGGGCAGGAGGGTGAGCTGAAGATAGCCCCTGGCAAACATCAGTGTACATACAGAGCGGGTCAAGACCGTGTCGAGTTTTTTTTCAGCAATTTAAAAGCAGAATGAAGAAAGAGGAAAAAGGAAAACTCAAGTTCTTCAAATCAAACACGTGCCCGATTCCGCGCGCAGGAGATTGCGGGCAAAACAGCATGAGGTAACCGCAGTGTCTTAAAATGGAAAAAAATGGGAAGGACCCTGAGATGAAGATAGTCTTTTCAAAAAACAACATAGGAATGAGGAGAACCCAGGTGATAGATCTGAAGCTGTGAAAGTAGAATCCAATTCACCGGGTGCTGAACTCCAAGCATCAAGCATTCACGAATGAAAACATTGTATTCCCTCCTGGTCCCCGATCAGTTGCTCGGCAATCACCACGAAATCTGAAAACCGTCGGTTGCAATGACAAACAAGCTGCCTCATGTGTTCAAGTTAATGGGCCCAATAAGCCAACCCCCGGCACTCTCCTACACGTTGGCTACTATTCCGATACTCACTTGGGGTGGGGGCGGGGGGGTTGACTTCTCTGGCAAATGGGGAACAGAGCGTGGAGTAGGCATCTAGAAGCTTCTATGAATTCCAGAGTAGAAATAATTATTAAGTAAATCAAAGCATAGGCATTTAATATATAAAAAGGCATACATTGCCTTCACCCTGTTGGTCAAAGAGTCGAATGAACCATCATAACATAAAAAAAGAATCGAAAAAAATGCTCTTCGGTGTGTTCCCAACAAAATGTTAGCGAGAAAAAATGGAACTGACACGAGCATAAAAAAGAAAAAATCTACCCTCATGCTCACTAAAGCTAAACAGCGTCTTGACCAATATGAGAGAGAGAGAGAGAGAGAGAGAGAGAGAGAGAGAGAGAGAGAGCAGAAATTATACAGGTCACAAAGGGGAATCACAAAGAACAGAGGGATAGAGCGTCGGATGGCATGATCCTACATAAAAAAATATCCGTCAGACAATCTAGCATGCTTCGGAGAGATATCTCACCCAGCAGGCAGACTTGTCAACAGGTCAACTGATAACTGAAACCGGCGTTCACAGGAAAGAAGTCAATATCAGATTACGGCAAAAAAGGAAATGCAGGTGTTCAACAGGAGAGGCTTCGCAATTGATATTAGACCAATAAAGCCTCCCTGTCGTATCTTGCTAATGGTGTAGAATAACATCACCGTCCAGATGGCGAGAAAAGGCGATAGAGAGGAGAAGCAGAAGAAAGGAAAGCGTGTTACAGGGACATGAAGAAACTACCTTTACCTCCTCACAATTCAGAGATCATTACAGTACATCAGACACGCCCAGTTTACCTACAATCAAAAACATTTTCATTTGGGAGGATGAACATTGTCACCGCTAATAAGTCGAAACACGCAATCCTGCAACTTTTTTTCCGTAAATGATAGCAGATACAGAACCCACTTCGGTATTAATTTACAACTAATGAAATGCAACGCTAGGTTTAGAGTTTCAAGTTAGCAAGTCAACACAGCTAATTTTTTTGTTAAGGAGAAATAGCAAATAATCCTATTTCTCATTGCTACAGGTCACCCAGTTACACAATACGGCACAAGTTTGCCCAAGTGTTTTCTTACATTATATACGACAGAAAGCAAAGGAGAAGGAAAAAATGAACACTCAGAAAACAAAACGGTTTGAATAGTTACGCTACTCGTGAATAAGATGTAAATATGATGCGCCAAAGTCGTCATCCCTGCTAATAATTGGATCAATAATATCCAAAAACCTAAATAGTCCATAAGAAGGGAAGAATTAAATATGTGCTCATCCTGGAGAGAATGATACTCCAATGCTCAAAAGAGATTCCGTGTGTATATAACATTTAGATTTTAGAATTGGAATTCTCGTTTTCTATGCTTGCACATATACAAACTTGTACAGTCAAATATACGCAATCAAGACAGCGAAAGGATGTGAGCAATTGAAAAGAGATAATTGAGACAAGACGATGGCATAAATTCAGCCAGTAATGTTCCAGAATGGCGGTGTCAAGAAAATATCTACCGTATTTCATTTGAGTACAAAAGGGCACCTGTAATTAATTTCCCCGTCGCCATTTAATGCAGGATGCTAAAATAAAATACAAAAAAGTGTCCAAAATTACAAGCAAATAGCATTATTTGCATGGAATCCAAAGGCAGATTAATCCAAAATTACGAGGGGAAGGAGAATAGGACCAATCAGGTCTTCAAGCAGCGAAATTAAACACAAACCACAGACCTGATCCCAACTGCCGTCATCTAAGCTGAGTTCAGCAGTATTCCACAACCACAGGGGTCTGGAATCGTTCTATCACCTTCATTTCTCCCTTACTTTTCACTGGTTTCCCATTTAACACACTTATTCCCTCAATAGCCTTTCTGTTTTCCCTCCTCTGGCATTTGAACTCTAAAATTTTTGAAAGGCCAAGAGAAGAATGAACGACCTTCCCCCAGGATCATAAGATTTTCTAAGTCGATAACGATCCTAACACAGAACTGATAAGACTGATTAAGAAAAGCAAAAACTTTCCCATGGCCATAGCTACGACACACTAAAAATAACTGTTGAGAATATAACAGTCAGAAATGGCATGTGTAAGAAAGCTCCTCTACACCACCAATGTCACCCTTAAGAACCAAAACGCACTAGCAGTGCAATCTCACCGTCCCCACACCAGAAGTGCGTTTATATTCCCATACAGCTTTTCCTACAATTTTACAGTCAAACAATTTGCGCCAAGGTAGACGGCGGATTATATATCATAGTGGGATGATATTTAGTGTATGAACAGAATCCCAATTCTTTAGCATATGTATGCATTGAGTAGAAACAATATCACATTGAAACAAACATGAATAACGGAGCATAAAGTAGTCTGTGAGATGTATGGGACCTAACTCTCTAGCAAGGATTGTACTGTAAAAATATTTCGTTCCAAGAATTTGAAGTGTTCAGGGAACTGTAAAACATCAATCCCTTGATTCCATTTTATTAAATAATTGACAAACCCAACTTAAAACCCATATTTCTAACTCAAATCTGACAATCCTTTTACATATTTCTAAATAACATAAGAATATTATGGAGCCAAAGTATGACAAATATAAAAATCTTCAAGTCTCCTTCTTTGACTTGGTTCATTATCTGAGACAATGAAAGTAACAACCCCCCCCCCCTCCCCCTCCCCCAAGTCGGAAGACCTTTGGCTGAGATGCGTAACAACAGTAGAATCTCACCAGCTTGACTTCTCCAGTCGTGTCTCTAGTAACATAGGTAATTGTAATGTGCCCAGATCATGTTGGTGACAGGCCCTACGGCCTACATGTCAGTTAACATTTCCATGGCATCAAAATTCACCTCAGCCAAGAGTTATTTCTCCACCAGACCATTTTCCCTGTCATCAAAGACTTGTTATAATCCATACCTGGGACTGAATGCATCTGTGGATTAGGTGGGATGTTTTTCTTCCTCTACTACAGACCAAGAGACGCTCAAATATCCAAGGAATCTCTAGGCGCCATCTCTTCTTTCACACTTCCCTCCTATCTACGTCCGATTTGATACTTGAAAGCCTAACTGCAAGGGATGGTTTGAGTTTTCAAGTAAAATTTTGGTCGCAAAAACTCCCAAAGCAAGCCAAACACTAGCATCACAAGATCTTCTTGAGGTGCACCTCAGGTCCCTGTTGAGCCCGAAGCCTCAACTGGTTTTCTTTTTAACCAAGAAAAAATGTTCAGCACATAACATACATCAGAATAGAATGCTACATGCCCTCAAATTGTGGCTGCGTCATTTAACAGAAACTTCTGACAGAAATAATCACGAAAGGACCATGAATGGTATTCCCAAGTCATTAATCATAGAATACTAACCGAAATCTTATACAATAATGCCAGACACCAACGACGAACCGAGAGTGTTGCAAAATGAATAAAAAGGCACCGTTCTTGCGTTCTTCGATATGCAGTTATATACAGAGATGTAAAAAAAAAAAACCACGAAAATCGAATCAGACAGACGAAAGGCATGCGATAATACAAAAAATAAATCGTGCCGGTGAGAAAGTAAAGCACAGCTAGAACGGAGTTGAAGTATGGTCAATTACTTTGTAGCAATTGGACATAGGAGAGCCCCCTCCTTGTTGACCCTCCCGACGCGAACTGATACAAGGGGAACACAAAGGCATCTTGCAAGTGTTCCGATTTCCGTGGCCTCAAAATGCTGCAAAATAATGCACGAGATAAACTTAGAACGTACCGAAGCTCTTAACAAGAGTCGTGTGCGAGAAACTGGTACAGATAGGAGAGCCGAGGCCGTTAATCAACCTGACTCAACTGAGCAACTAGCCGATCCTCAGCGATGCCGCTGGATATATTCAGCTTAAAAAGCGGCTTCAGCCTCTCGTCAACCCGGCATGCCCCGATAACATGCAGATCCAGGGCTCGCAGCCATTGCAGCACCCCTCTCTCCAACTCGTCACAGGCCAATAAGAGATCGCCGTCACCGCCTTCCGTCGGAGCGTCGGCGAACCTCTCTCCAAGTCCACCGGCAGCCGTCCCGCTTCCCTGACCCAACCCTGATGTCTCAGACGAAACGGACTCGTTAGCGCCACTCGATCCCTCTTCCGCGGAGCTATTGCGGCGGTCCAGATCGTCCCCTTCCCCTCCATCGGTGGTGTTCTCCCTGAAGTAGACCATCTCCGACAACCAAATCAGATACGGAAGCCGCCAACTCCGAGCACACTTCGATCTTGAATATACGCACAACAAAACCTCCGACAATTGCCCACAAAAACACAGACAGCAACTGGAATTGACAAAATCAGTCAGGTTTCCTCTTAGTTAATTATTCTGCTCCCCTTCTTGCCGATTGGCTCGGACGCGCGGTCTCCAGCCTCCGACGATCCCTCCTCAACGCTCCCGCCGTCGAAGAGAGGAAAAAAAAATCTGTGCGCGAATGTGAGGACGACGAAGGGCCGAGCTTATTATACGAAACGATCGGACATGAGACGGTTCCTCAATCATCCATTCTACTGGAGTTTCGAATCCGGCTATCGCAGTGGCCAACTCGGATCCACGTCAGCCTGTTCCAATCGGGCACCGTTCGGCGACCTAATTTGGAACAAATGCGGAGGTTGGGATGAGAATAATCGACACCTGTCAATCTTTCATTGGCTGTTCCCTCGTTCCGCTCCAGGTCCGTTGGATCAAATGGTCATCGAACGTGCACGTGGTGAATCTAACGACCACAGACTCGGACGATGTTCCAGACTGTTGCTGGTGACGTCATCCGGGTGGAGGTAATTCAAGTGACAGGTTATATTTGGTCTGGTGTTGACCATCCAATTGTAGAGACAAGAGGCCGGAACTGGACAGCCACAGACCTCTTAGGAAGCTTAGACTCGGCCCGAACCGTCATGGGCCGAGATATCGGGCCTTCGTTGTCCCATGTGCTCCCCTATTTCGGCGGGGGGTGTCTGGATCTGCTGATTCGCCTGATATTTTTATGAATAAAAATATTTTACGGATTGGTCATTGGAGAAAAATGAGGGGAATTCGTTGGTGCAGCGTTTCTTTTCAATAATAATTTATCGATTTATAGAAAAATGGAAAATAGATAAAATCCTGTAGATGTTCTTCCTTATCTGCCGTCCTCCCGCCGCCAGCAGCAAAATATCCGAAAGACCTACCGTTCGTTCTCTCTCCCTCTCTCTCTCTCTCCGTCGCTCTCGCGGCTTCCTGAATTCCATCCCCTTCCTGCGTTCTCTGCCTGTGTCTTTGTGTTTAGGGTTTGAAGGCGGGGGAGGAGGAGAGCGGAGGCTGCGGTGTGCCCGGTGTCATCTCTGTTTCTCGCCCGCCGTGGTATGTCCTGCGCAATCGAGTCGGTCCAACATGTCGCTCACGGGAGCTTTCCCTCGACCTCTCAGTCCATCAGGAGCAGAGAATTCCGCCACCGATCGGTGCCCTTGCTCGGTCGATCGCGTGACCTGCCGCTGGAGTCGGCGCGGCTATATGGGAGCCCCCGATATTTGTCCGTGATCCATACGCAGAGAAAGGCTCGGGTTTGCAGGGAAGGGGTCGACGTCTGGGGCGGCGGGGTGTTCGGGAACGGTCGACGGCGGGAGGAGAGGCAGAGCCGAGTCCGGGCCGCCGACAGCCCCCGCGAGCAGGACAGCGGTGGCGGCGACCCCACGGTCGCCTCCGGAGAAAAGAGTGGGGAGGCTCCACCAACGGAGGGCGGCGTCAGCCCACCCACATCTCCTTCTGGATCATCGTCGTCTTCAACCTCATCGTCTTCCAGAGGAGAAAAAACGTGGAAAGGTGGGTGGTGGAAGAGGGGGAAATGGCAGTGGCAGCCCATCATACAGGTGCAGGAGATCGGGGTCCTATTGCTGCAGCTTGGTATCGTGATGTTTGCGATGAGACTGCTGCGGCCGGGTTTCCCATTGCCGGGCTCTGGGCCTCGGGTGCCGATAGCATATGTGAGTGTTCCGTTCAGCGATTTCTTGAGCAAGATCAACAACAATCAGGTGAAAAAAGTTGAGGTAGATGGTGTTCATATCATGTTCCGTCTAAGGTCAGATGAGCTCGTAGCCGATAAGGATCCCACCGGGAGCCTAAACGTGCAAGAAACAGAGGCATTGCTCAGGAATGTGGCTCCCACTAAGAGAGTTGTGTACTCAACTACCCGCCCTGCGGATATAAAGACTCCATACGAGAAGATGCTTGAGAATGATGTCGAATTTGGATCACCGGACAAGCGTTCTGGGGGATTTTTCAACTCTGCCTTGGTAATTCCATTTAGTTTTGATCTAAAGATAGGACATCTAATGGATGGTCTCAATATTTTCGTGATGGTATTGGAAGTTTGGAATAATTCTTCATCATATCTTTGTTATATTCGTCGCTCATCTGTTTTGTTTAATATTCTCGTATTTCTTTCTTACGCATTAGAGGATACAAACCAGGACTTTTCTTTGTGCCTCTGGCTTCAACTGCTCTGATCATCTGTTACCCATCCAATTACTGATCCGACGGAATATCAGGAAGCTGGTGGCAATGTGGGTAAATAACTTTTGGGTGTTTTTTTGGAAAGTTGAAGCTAAAATACGTCCCAGGAGGCTGTCAGCCTATTTTAAGGAGGTCAATACGCCGAAAACCAATGTGAACTGGTGTTTCATAACCAGAGAAATTCTTGTGTCCGAAGGATCTACTGATATCGATTTTAATAGATTTACGTCCTTGATGTGGCTAAAACACATAGCTAAACGGTGGAACCCATCCTTTGAGAGTGGGTTGAAAGAGAATACTATGAGATAAGGTGAATTTAACGAGGTTGTATTGATTTACTTCGATTACGTTTTTCATTCTCTCTCAAGTTGATTTCATTTACAAAAAAAATAAAAAAAATAAAAAAAATCCATGCCTTTTTTCTTCTTTTTTTATACTTTTGAGTTCAAAACATGACGTGTTCTTAACCTTATTTTAATATTCAATGCCTCTTCTCAAGTATCTCCGTTATTCCCTATGTCTGGAAAGGTGGTGCAATGTCTGAAGTTGTTGTTGCTTTATGGAGGTCTTGTGCCTCACATTGGATCGTTTCTCAGTTCGCAAGAATCAGATCTGTTTTTCTTTGCCATGCCGCCATGTGCCTTCTGCTTGGTAGAGAACATAGAAATCTTCCCATGTAGTCTTTTTGGTATTGAACATAGGATGTACATTTTTGTTGCATTATCAAGTTTGTTCATGTCATTGATTCATCAGCTTAAATAATTTCTCCTCATATGTATCCATACAAACTATCTGATACCTCCTGTGTATCATGGTTGTGTATTCCTATTTTTCACTTTATCAATCGCTTAATTTTTAGCATAATCTTTCGTTTACGTTTCACAGGATCTACTTTCTTGGAGTGTCTATCCGTTGGCTTTCATTTCAGAGCTCCAATAATTTATAGATTAAGTTGTTTTGAAGGAAAAAAAAATCTACGTCTAATGGTTGGGAAATTGAGTTTGATGCCATTCTTCTTACCTTACACATCTATGTTGGACATGTCACATGCAATATGCTTGTGTATTTCTGGCATTATGACTATATTCCTTACATGTAAAATTGCATCTATCAACGAAGCATTATTCTAAAATTTCACATTTCTTTGCAAATTTTCCTTCGGATTTATTTCATGCTGTAGAGAAGTAAAGTTATGGTCTTTGTCATGAACGAAACAAAAGTTACCTCAACGGTGCTCGCCCTTGTGATAATGGGATATTTATAGATCAACAAACTGATTTCGTTGGGCATTGTGGAAGCCAACTGTGGTGCTTATCAAATCCCACAGAGCTGTAGCTACACATGAGTTTTGCCCATCATTTGTCAATGTGTGTTTCTTTTTTTACTAGGACTAGTCAGGGCATCTTTTAGTGTTTATTGATGTTCTACAGGATTCACTTTCATCATTTGATGTTCTATTGAGTATGAACCTCTCATCGTGTATATTTTCTGCATTTTCCGTCAGGTTGCCATTTTCTACGTTGCATTGCTTGCAGGGCTGCTTCACCGTTTCCCTATAAGCTTTTCCCAGGTATTGTGAAGCTCAAAAGTATTCCCGAGTACTACCATACATTTCATATGCGTTGGTATTCCTAAAATTTCCGTGAATTATGCTTACTGTTGGAGAAAGCTTTTAACATGCATGCTTATTCTTTTCCAGCACACAACTGGTCAGTTGCGGAATCGCAAATCTTCTGCTGTGGGGGGCACAAAATCGTCAAAGCTATCTGATATCATCACCTTCTCTGATGTGGCTGGTGTTGATGAGGCAAAGGAGGAACTAGAAGAAATTGTGGTATGGTTGATTCTGCTCCTAAGACAAATATCAGTGTTCCTTTGTTTTTTTATATTTCATTGGTACGAAACCGAGGCGGGGGAAACTTTTGTTCACTTGGTCTTATCTAATGCCCAGGAATTCCTTCGGAATCCGGACAGGTATCTGCGCCTTGGTGCTCGGCCTCCTCGAGGGGTTCTTCTGGTGCGTTTCCCAATGAGACTAGGGGATTTGTTTTTTCTTCTCTGATCTCGACCGCGGGCAGAGGGCTGAAGTATTTACTGCTTGATATCTCAGGTTGGCCTTCCAGGGACGGGTAAGACCCTCCTAGCAAAAGCTGTGGCCGGAGAAGCTGAAGTTCCTTTTATAAGTTGTTCAGCAAGTGAATTTGTGGAGCTTTACGTTGGTATGGGTGCTTCCAGAGTTCGAGATCTCTTTGCAAGGGCCAAAAAAGAGGCCCCCTCAATTATTTTCATTGATGAGGTTGGAAGCACGTCTGCATTTTTCATATGATATGATTTTCCACTACGGCGTTCTTCATGGACCCATCTTATGTAAATTCCTTCAACTGCCACGTTATCTTCCCCCCTTCAGATAGATGCGGTGGCAAAGAGCCGTGATGGCCGATTTCGCATCGTTAGCAATGATGAGCGTGAGCAGACGCTCAACCAGTTGCTCACTGTGAGATGAATCTGCCTGAATCCTTGAATCCCCTGCTCTTGTTGCCCCTTTTGTTCGATACTAAATTCTATGGAACTCAATTCAATCGTCAGGAGATGGATGGGTTCGACAGTAATTCCGCTGTCATTGTCCTCGGAGCAACCAATCGTGCAGATGTTTTAGATCCTGCACTTCGTCGTCCGGGGAGATTCGACCGCGTGGTTATGGTTTGTGTTTCTGTTCCAGCTCGAAGAACGCAGATGCCTTAGCCTTGCTGTGCCGGAAGTAAATGGTTCTTCTGGTCCAATAACTTGAGTATTTTCGGTGGAATAGGTGGAAACTCCTGATAGGCTCGGAAGAGAGGCCATTCTCAATGTTCATGTTTCCAAAAAGGAACTTCCTCTGGGAGAAGATGTCAATCTCAGTGAAATTGCTTCCATGACGACTGGCTTCACTGGGTGCGTGGCCATCTTTTTGTCGTCGCCGTGACTGTCAACCTGAAATACTCAGTTATATTTCTCTTAACTTATGCAGAGCAGACCTAGCAAACTTGGTCAATGAAGCTGCTTTGTTGGCGGGAAGAGTGAACAAGTTCGTCGTGGAGAAGGTTGACTTCATCCATGCTGTGGAACGGTCCCTAGCTGTAAGCACCCCTCTCACCGCACTACCCAGTGTATGTCAGTGTATGTCAGTGTATGCCGATTTCGAGGAAGAATGATGCACTGTTGTTCTTCAGCTGAACTTGTGGGGTTCATTTTCTTATTTTTATAGTATATCTTATGCCAAGTCAGACCCAGAATCACACGCATTCCGGCATTGATTCATGGACTTGATGCGAACTCTGGGGGACTTACCTTTGCAGAGATGCTGTTCATTCATCTGGTTACAGAAACAGTATCTAAGATCCCAACTGGGCTTGCTTTTTTTGTCGTGATTCTGAGAACAGGGTCTCTAATTGTTGATTGCTAGTGTCATCGGCATTGTCGCTGCTTTTTCAGACCTATGGAATCATTCTCCTGCTGTCTGGATCTCTCATTATGGCAGAAGGATATGATTTTCCATGCAATGAGGGGGGGTCTCGGGAATCTCCACAGCCCAGCATCTGAATCATCTTACAATCTTAAAATATGTCTTCAGTTTATTATTTTAATCTTCTAAAGTAGCATATCTCTGCCCCTGTGTGCTTCATTCTCTGAGAGGAGAATCATAGCTCCCGTGTTCTTTCAGGGCATAGAGAAGAAGAACGCGAAGCTGCAGGGGAATGAGAAGGCCGTCGTCGCCCGCCACGAGGCGGGCCACGCCGTCGTCGGAACTGCCGTGGCAAAACTGCTCCCCGGACAGCCCCGTGTCGAGGTAAGGATCCCAGCTTCTACGATCAGTCCTCAATGCTCATCACAATTTATTTAAAAAGTCTTATTTCCTCCATTCTGTTCAGAAATTGAGCATATTGCCTAGATCGGGGGGGGCCCTGGGATTCACCTACACACCCCCAACAACCGAGGACAGATACTTGCTCTTCGTGGATGAATTGCGCGGGCGCTTAGTGACACTTTTGGGTGGCCGGGCGGCCGAAGAGGTCGTCTATTCAGGTCGCGTGTCGACAGGAGCTCTGGACGACATCAAGAGGGCCACGGACATAGCTTACAAGGCTGTAGCCGAATACGGGCTCAGCCAGAACATTGGGCCGATTTCTCTGGCGACCATCTCTGGCGGCGGATTGGATGAGTCCGGTGGAGCAGGCCCGTGGGGAAGGGATCAGGTTCGCCTCCAGATTATTTGATTCCGCTCTTGGAAGCCTCTGCTGGTAGATAATCTTGGTGCTGTAATAATGTCGGAGCGGGTTGACCCAGATTCAGTGGTGTTTCAGGGGCATCTAGTGGACTTGGTGCAGGGAGATGTGAGGGCGTTGCTGCAGTCGGCGCTCGAGGTGGCGCTCGAGGTGGTGCGGGCCAATCCCACAGTGCTGGAGGGTCTCGGCGCCCACTTGGAAGGTAAGAGGCCATCTTCTCTCCTCTTATACATTCCCTGATTTTTTGCTGAAATGGGTTCCTTTTAAATTACATCTGAGATTCGGCTGAATGGAGTCGCAGCTGAAAGAACCCATGGTAGAGAGAGAGAGAGAGAGTCAAACCCGGCTTCTGTTTTCTTCAAGACTGGATTATGAGCTCCGGGTCCTGGAAGGAACGGGACCGACCCGCTGATGGACACCTCTAAGATTAGATTTCTGTGTTCCTTTTCTACAGAGAAGGAGAAGGTGGAAGGCGAGGAGCTGCAAGAGTGGCTGAAGCTGGTCGTCGCCCCTGCAGAGCTGACCCTCTTTGTGAAGGGTACCCCCCATGAGAACCTCATCAGGTTTGACTCAGGCCCTTAGTGAAACCCACCATTTCTGGTAGGACAGGAACCCCGCCCTACGTCTGCTCCGGCGGCTCCCCCACTGGCTGCCGTCGTTGCCTCTTTTAGAATGTTTTATTATCATCGGACTCACTGGGGGAGGCATGGCGTCTCTGTATGGTGAAAGGAAGAGTAGCGGGAAGCCACCTTGATGATAGAGAGAGAGAGAGGCTGTGTACGTGGGACCTGGTTCCATCTTTAAACTATATAATGTATATTTTCTGCTGGTTTCCTAGTGAATTCAAATGATTCATGCTCGCCCGACGTTCTCTCTCTCTCTCTCTCCTCTCGTGTACTGTTGGCGGATGCATGCTCCGGCCATAAAACAGTGCAAGTTGGCGTAGATCTCCTCTCTGCGAGCAGAGTAGCAGGCAAGTTGGCGTAGATCTCCTCTCTGCGAGCAGAGTAGCAGGGACTGTAGACAGTGTGAATGCCCGTCTGTTCTTCGCAGATCCCCCAATGATGGTCTTAATTTCTCTCTCTCTCTCTCTTCTGTGGCTACGGATGTGAAGGGCCAAGGATAGAAGAAGGTTGATCGCTAGCAGAGGGGGAGGACGAAGGAATGGGTAGAATAAAGGCGGTGGTGGTGCCTTTTCCGATGAGAGGAGACTGCTGCTCCCGGTCCCTGTCCAAAAGAAGGGCGGCCGCGTCCGTCTTCTTCCTTCTTTCCAGGGAGGAAAAAGGCGAACATGGCTAGGCACTAGCTAACTCAGCTCCACACCACCACCTCCCCCCATTAATAAAACCTAGACGAGAGAGAGAGACGGGCACTTCAGAGGCCACCAACACCGCAGAAAGGAGAGCCGTCTTTGTTTATTCTAGCTGTCGCTTGTGCGACAGCCGATAAAAGCAACTCCCAGGAAGGGCATTGAGAGAGAGAGAGAGAAAGAATTGTACATAAATGTTATCATTAAATAGCCGGATTCGTCTAAGAACTAAAAGCCATATTCTTCATTAAATGTCGCCCTGTTGCCCTCTCTGGGCCTTCTGTGAGGCCCTTGTCACCGGCCCTGGGCTTCTTCCTCCGATCAGAAATCAGATGCGCCGCGGTGGGGAGAGAGAGTGAGACGGGGGCCTCACCCTTCGTATATCGGAGTGAGGGAGCCTCGTCTCCGTCAGCCCCAGTAAAATAGAACAGGGAATCTGCGTGATTCTCCGGGAAACTCTTGGGTGAGAGCCCAGGAAAGGCAAATCGAAACGTGCGGAACGAGTTCATAGGGCTTCCCGGGGGGCGAGCCATCGCGTCGGCTCGTGCCCAGCAGGGCCCCACCGCCGTCGCGAAGAGAGGGCGTACCTGGGTAGTGGACAGTGGACTCATCTCCGACTGAGAGACAGAGAGAGACGGTGGCCGTCGGAGAAGAAGGCGGCGGAGATGTGCTAGCGTGAGTCAGCTCCGCCGGAGAATGCCATGGCGAGAGAGCCCGCTGAGAGGAGCAGGAAGAGCAGGGATCAACGAGTATCGATTAATACCCGGAGGAGGGGTTTATTACACGATACGCTCGAAATTAACAAGATTTCTAAAAAATTATGCAGATGTGGGATTCCTCCGGAGATTGATTGTCGTGCGACGCAGCAGAGGAACAGCGGCCGGCCGCTCTTCCTCGCAGTCTTCGAGCTCGGATTCCTCTCGCCTGGGGGCAATCATCGGAGGGGGGGGAAATCTGACGGCAGAGCTCCTGGATTTCAGGTCCTCTGCTCTTCCTTTCCCCCCGAAGGCTTTCCTTCACCTGCGGGACGGAGACCCCGATTCATGGAAGAGAACTCCCATTCCATGGCCATGACTTATTGCATCTGGAAGGGGAGGGCTTGTTCTTCCCAGGGGCCGGAGATCTCTGGAAGAGAACTCTGAGCTTCGAATTTCACTCCGTAGGTGGAGATGTCGTAGGAGGGCCGACCGCCGCCGAAGGGATTCGGCGGCGCCGCCGGCGGATTGTAGATCCCGGCTGCCTCACTGACCACCGCCGACACCGAGGTCTGCGGCGGCAGCGGCGCCGCCGCCGTTTCCGACATGTTGACGGTGGTGATGTCGTGTATGCTGGACCTCCTCTTGTCCTTGCCGCCGGAGCTGAGCCTGATGAAGTACTTCTGGGCGTGGCTGGCCACCTGGGTCGGCGTCCTTGTCGTCACGAAGTTCCTGGATATGTTCCTCCAGTCCCCCTTCCCATACTTCTTCAAGCCCATCAAGAACTTCCTGCATTTCAACCACATCGGAATCAAATCCCAGGTCAATTAGTCGAGGAAAGATCGCCAATTGGGTGATCCATCTCACTTGTGTTCCTCCTCCGTCCAGGGGACCCCCTTCTTCCTCTCCTGGTCAACGGGCCTTCCACCGGTCCGCTTGCCGCCGGCGAGTACGAAGGGTTGCTTCAGGCCCTCCATGGTGAACTGCGGCGAGCCGTATCCCGGCGGCGGGAAGAGCCCTGCTTCAATATGGCTGACGTCGTTCTCCAGCACCTGGTAATGGCGCCTCACGTCGTCGGCGGTCTTCCCCGGGATCATGCTGGCCACCTTCTGCCACCGGTCCGGCGTTCTCTCGTCGAACACCGCCAGCGCGTTCTCGAACTGTTTGTTCTCCTCGTGGGTCCATTGGACGGCGCCACGGTTGCGGGCGGTGAAGAGAGAAGAGGTGGGAAGGCACGCGGCCGCCGGGGAGAGGATTTCCATTCCCGACCACATGATCTTCTTCTTCTGCTGCTGCTGCTGCAAAGCTGATACTTCTTCCTTTCCTTCTATTCAGGCGAACAATTCGAGGAGCATAGTTCGTCTCGAGGAGGCCGAGGGTTTTGGAGAGAAAGTGGCGCCGGTGAAGGACTCCGAAAAGGACCGCCGCTCCTTTCGAGCATCCGCAGAAGGCCGTCTCTTGTCTAGAACTTGGCCGCAAGAGCCGTCGACATTCAGGGAAGGGGAGGAGGAGGAGGAATCCACCTGGGCACAGGGAACCGCGGAGAGAATGAATTCGAATACCCCGGGACGACCCACCACCCAGAGACCGAAGAAGAGCAAGAGGAGGAGGAGGAATCCAGAAAAGAGCGGCGGACCTTGAAATCAGATCGAGGAAAGAGAAGCCCCCGAGAGAGCTCCCCCTTCTGGGCCTACCGGAGGACCAAAACCCTGGGAAAACCCCACCAAGAAACCAGTGGGCGTGTGGAGGGCCAGGCCGAAAGCGGAGGGATGAGAGGGAATCTGCAGTGGGAGGGGGGGAAAGGGCTCCGCCAGGAAGAAAAGAGGTTAGCAGGGTGAAGCGAGGTGAATCCACCAGTCCTTTGTCTTCTCTGCCCTCATCTCTGGGACCTCCCCGGGCCGGTGGAGACGGAGACCTGCGATTGGCCCTTGGTGGAGACAGCGGCAACTGCAGCCCCAGACGAAAAGCTTCCCCCATTAAAAAAATGCAGGAACGGTATATAAGCTGTTCTGCTCCATAGCCTACGCACTCCTCTGCTCTTCATCCATGGCGGTCGTCGCCGCCTCCTCCTCATCGATAGTCTTCTCCGGCATTATCGTCGAAGAATCTCGCCCGGGCAACCTCCACAGTCCTGTGAGGTCTCCTCAGAGAAGCTTACGAGAAGATTTACCGACATCTTTCTCAGAATGAGGGGATCATGGAATTGAGAGCTTTCCTCTGTGCCTTTCACCAGATGCCGGGCTTCTCTGCCTTTCCTTTTGGCCGCCATTCAAGGAGACCCTCCCTGGTCAGCGGCGAATGCGGTAACATCACCTATAGCATGATGGGATGCCAAACCCATCCAGCATCTCTCCCCATCTCAGGGGAGGTTCCCCTCCGCCTAATGCAATATTCGGGCGACGTGTCAACTCCTACGTCATGCTGTCAATCCCGACTTACCAAGGACTCTAAACTAACGTTGAACCACATCTTATCTCCCCTCTGACGGACGACAGTACATTAAATAGAACAATCTCATTATCCCTCCCTCATGCTTCATGCATTCATCTCTCTCTCTCTACAGCTGTCCATCACAGCTCATCCTCTAGTTGTACTACATTTACGCATGCTGGCCTGTGCTGCTCCAACCAGCGCCCACGGCCAAGCCTACCGCCGCTCGCTCGAGTGGGGCGAAGAGGAGAAGAAACTCGCTCGAGCCGTTCTCGTTAGACGGCGGACGGATCGGCGCAGGAAGACAGAAAACTGCGCCGTGGTAAAACCCGAGGACCGGAGTTGTCACACCGGCAGATTCCCCCGCTCAGGGAAGCAACCGTCGCCAGGTGGGTCTTCCGATCGTTCCGTCCCAGTGATTAATCATCCGAGCGATAGAGATAGAGTGTGAGAGGCAGAAGGTTTGCCACATGACGTAGCGATTAGTGTGTGTAGGTATGTGCAATGATTCTCTACTGTCCAATGTGTTCCATCATCTTGTCATTAATACGAAGGATATGGAGTCGGAGAGAGAGCGGAACCTGAAGAAACGCCGAGCGGTGACATCCATCCATACATTTCGGTCCGATCAACCCCACCTATCGTGTCCCCGAGCTCGCGGGTCGACGGTGCCCCGCCCGAGTCATCAGACGGCCGTATCAAGTCGAGGTGGCGATCCGCAGTCGATCCGTCGTGCTTCACAAACGAGGCCTTTCCTTTCTCCTGCGTCAAATCATGCCGACGATACATCCTATCATAGCCGGAACTGTTATAGACAGAAGAGAGAGAGAGAGAGCGGCGCTGGTGGTCGTCGTCTGTGGACGGCGACAAGGGGAGGAGGGATCATGATTAATGTGAGTGTTGGCGGGTTGGTGGCGTGGGGTCCACTCGCGGGGGAATCGTCCGCATCTGAAACTCGGGCGCGAGACTCGGACGCTTTTCGAGTCGCCCTGGGGATACTTGACCGTTCCGGTGGGCCTCCAAAATGGGACATTACTGGGCCGTTGTTTTAATGAAATACAGCCCATACAAAATTGCCGTTGACGGGGCGGAGCTATTAAAGCTCAATTTTGTGTCACGTTCGTTGGGCCCAACTCGGGGCACCCGGTCACACTGGCGGAGGAGTAAATAAATAAATATGTATAATCAGGGGCTTTATATAAAATGAATGGCAAAAAATCATGGCGAAGTTGTAATAATCCGCTCGAGAAGGCCCAGTTTGCTAGCTACGAAGATAATCTTCCTTGTGCGAGTAGAAGACCGCCCGCCGCGCTGCTTCTTCCCCAGGCTCCGGCGGCGAAGACTGACGCCGCAAGGAAGCCGGCCAATCCGGCGGAGCTCCAGTCACGAGCGACGGAGGGAATCCGATGAACTCCCTGAAGGCTGTGCAGACCTGTTTCTTCCCGATAATCCCCTCGTTCAGGTCGAAATCCCGGAGGAAGCCCACCGCCGTCTGTCGAGGCAGCTCGAATGGCTCCGATTCCGACTCTTCTTCTTCCTCCTCCTCCCCGCAGGAGGGGGATAAGCGGAAACAGGAGATCCTCGCCCGCATCGTGATGCTCCAGACTCAGAAAGTCCGCCTCACGGACTTCCTGGACGAGCGATCCGCCTACCTGACACAGTTCGCGGAGGACGCCAACGCGGAGTTCGACCAGATCGGGGAGGAGGCACTCAAGGAGCTCGACGAGGCCAGTGCTCGGGTCAGGCGTCCTCCCTTGGACCTATCCCCCAGCCGGACGGGAGCGGACTTGCTGAGGAATTGTCTCCGGTAGCGCTTCCTGGCTGATGGCCTCTGCCTCTGATTTCGCAGATAATGGGGAACTTGGAGGCTCGGATGCAGGCTTTCGAGGAAACCGCGGAGGAGAACAGACAGGAGATCGAGAAGAACGAGAAGATTCTGGAGGAATTCGAAGAGAAGGTGGAGAGGGACAGGAACGAGGGCCTTTTCTTCAAGAACCTCGGTGGTAAGAAGCCACAGGACCAATCAGAGGCGAAAGTAGCCGCCAAGTTGGAGGCGAAGAAGCTGAAGGAGCTGGCGAAAGAGAAGGCCGGATCCAAGGGACGGAGGAGCATCTACCTGGCGCTGATGGCTCTTCTCGGCGCCGGCATCGCTAACGCCGCCTTCGGTTATCCGGCCGTGGAGTGGCGGAAGGCAGCCGCCCTGGGGTTCCTGTTCCTGGCTCTCCTCGCACAGTACGTCTACGAGCTCCGGCTGTCGTCGGAAGGCGACGAAACCAACGAGAAGAAAGACTGAAGCGGGAAGGAGATGGCGCAGCGCGGGAGAAGAGCTACTTCCTTCCCCGGGACTGACGAACAGTGCCTCTGTAAGCAGTAGACCAGAAGATATTTGGGATCGGCCCGTTTAATATTTATTGGGCCTAAATGTGGGTTGGGCCCACTATTGCGGTGCGGTATCTTATGTCCGACTCTCGTGGAGATCACGTGCCTCCCTTCTTTATCCGACGGATGTATGTAATCCTTTTATATTTTGAAATTATATTTTTTCTAGCGTCGGTGAATATCTCTTTTTTAATAAATTTAATCTCTTTTTTTATGTGAGCGGATAATATTCAAATGTTTTTGGGCATCGATGGGCCGGGCAATCCGCTCCTCATCTGGCCCAGCTCCCCGGCCCACTCAAGACAAAAGGAAAATGGGCCTATCTCTGGGGGGGAGGGGAGATCGGTTACGTAAGCACGTCGAATTTAATGTTACACGTTCCGTGCATCCAAATTATCACCCGCAGTCAAAACCAATAATGACGTCATAAATGCGGATGCGGGGTTCACAACGTGCCAATTATTCTAGAACCATCGTTCGCCCGAGGTGGAGCCATCGACGTGGGTTTCTTTTCCTGATATTATAAATAACTATATAAAAATAAAATAAAATTAGATCCGGGCAGCTGTCTGGGCTTCGCGTGCTCTCGTCTTGGCCGTCAGATTAGGATCCATGCGGACCGTCTCGCCTACGTTTGATCCAACGGCTGTGAATATCGGAATCGGTCGGTGCCCGGATTTTCTTTTCTCCGTGGTAACTTTATTTTAATCATACTCGTCACCAGTTATTCAATTGGTCAGTTTGTAACCACTTTGACTGTCGTACCCTCCGGCTTCTTCCCCAGACCTCCACTAACCTGTGCGACCGATTGCGAGGCCATATTGGGTATTTCTCCCACAGTGATATAATTGACCATTTTAAAATTTTCATTCACGAATTTTAATTTAGAAATATCCACGTTTTTAATTGAATAATAATAAAATAAACACCTTGTCTTTAAAATAAAAATAAAAAGGTTTAAATTAAAAATGCCACGCATGCTTAAGCGTCCGACTATATCTACATAACATCGTGCGGGGAATCGCCGATCGGCACAGAATATAAAATATAAATTTCCCCTATTCATCACATTTATTATTGTTATCTGTTTTTTGTTTGTTTCCCAACGCATTAAATAAATAATATAAAATGTTTTATGCCACGTTAAAAAAATAAAAAATAAAGTATTAAAAAGGAAGTCCACATGCAGCAGCCCACAATATTACTTTGACATATTATATTATGAACGAGGAAATAATATTATATATACAAAAAACAAAGAGTAATTAGGCGGTGGGCTGGTAAAAGAGAGGAAGGAAGGAAACCGAGAGGGACACGCAAATCGGAGGCCTAGGGCAATGGCGATGGCTGTGCACGAGAGGCCGGACATGGCGGAGCTCTGGCAAGTCCGAGAAAGGAATCCCAGTGATTCTTCACACTCTTCTGCCCCCACTAACACCAGTGTCCTTTTCAGGTCAGGAGAGTTTCCTAATTTTCTGAATTTTGTTTTGTTTCTGCCTTTTTTTCCGGATTTATATCTACACCTCGCTCCCGCGACTGTTAGTATCTCGACATTCATTCTACTTAATCCGCGTGCTTCACCGATGGATTCCGTTCATCTGCTCGTCATCTTTGAATTTTCCCGATTGTTTCGCTTGTCAGGACAATATTTGCGTCGATTGTCCGCATGCAGATAAATTTGGGAAAAAATAAGTTTCTCGTTTCATCTGGGCGTTTAGCGAAATCGGATTCGGGGAGCTCAATCTCGGGCTAGGGCACGAGTATTGACCGGACATTCCAATGTCGCCTTCTCCGTAGATTGCTTCTCCCCAATACTACCTTCCGTTTTTCTGCAGATTCTGAATTTCTCCCCCTCCCTCCCTCCCTCTCTCTCTCTCTCTCTCTCTCTCTCTCTCTCTCTCTCTCTCTCTCTCTCTCTCTCTTGTGGTCACACTCTCTCTTTATCTTTCTATTCACCCGTATCTCTCTCTCTTGTGGTCACACTCTCTCTTTATCTTTCTATTCACCCGTATCTCTCTCTCTCACTCACCGTTTTGTGTTAGCGAGAAACGGGACGGATTCAGCGCGACCGGATCAGAATCCTACGTTTCTTCCTCTCTATTTTTGATGTTTTTTTCTTTCTGCAATGTTGGAACTACGCAATTTGACCCACGCCTGCCTCCGCGAGTTCAGAGAGAACAAAAAGTGGCGCCAACATGCGACGCAGGCGAGCACGGTTGACGACGGCGGGAGGAGGGTGCGCGTCGTGCTCACCGGAGTCAGAGCGAGGGTCCGCCGGCGGCCGCCACCGCCGCCGCCCCTCGTCTCCCCCGCCTTCCCGTCGCAGCAGTACAAACAGGTCAGAGTAGCGGCAGAAGGAACGCCTGTGGCAGTTGCCGAAGGGGCGGCTGCTGTAGAGCCTCGAATTGTTGCCATCCCCACGGCCGGGAAAACCCTCCGGCAGCCCTCTGAGCCGCCAGGTTATTTGGTTGTCGAAAACCTGGAGGAAGAGCTCTGGCGATTGCTCGATCAGATATCCAAGAGCGGGGAACCAGTGTACCGTGTCCAAGCAGGGTTAGCGACGGGCTCCGAGCACATCGAGTGCTGCGACGAGCTAACTCAGTGGGCATTTCGGCTCCTCAAGAATGGGCCCGGGAACGACGAGTGGCGAATGAAGATCGAGAGGATGGTGTACAAAGTCCTCTTTGAATACATCAGGAAGACTCACTCTGATGGTAATTCCGACTCCCGCAGTGGAGCTGGCTGCTCAACGGATGCGGAGGAGCTGGAGGTTGTGGGCACCGCAAGCAGCAAGCCAGAAGGGACCCTCGTGGAGATGCTGTCATGGTTGAAGGAAGCGGCGAAGAACCCCCAAGAGCTGAATGTGAGTTCAGACAGCCGACAAGGCCCCATGCAGGGTCTGAATCTGAACGAGCCTCCTCCTCGTGATGTAAGCCTCAGAGGATCTCTGTTCCCGTGCGAACATCCATCCCTCACAGTTTCCTTCGAGGTTGACGTCATGTTTTCTCCCCCTTGGTTCTATTCCCTTTTCAGGATAATTTGCCGCAGCTGAAGAGAATGGCCATCTCCGCTCGAGAGGCGCTGTTTACAAATGTCAAAGAACTCTCGGCAGCAGAAGACTTTCCATATAGAAACAGTGTGAGGACCTCCTCTCTCTCTTCATATGTCCATTTTGTGCCTGTCGTTGATGGTTCTAGTGTCGAGTTCCTCACGTTGGTGGGTCGTAGCCTGCATAGGCTTACTACACTTGGTCAGACCAGGTAAATTCTTGTGTGGGTTGACTTTTTAGTGTCCATTGTCGACGGCCTGCCATGTGGAGGCTATATAGACATGCTGATGAACCCTTTTGGAGAAAAAACACAGCCCAATAGTAATGGATATTTCCATTGAATCCAGTGAGAAACTCAGAAAAATCCAAGGAATCATACCCTTGATCACCGAGTTTCTAGCATGCTGGGAGTTATAATCGTTATCGTCGGCCTAGAGAAACTTGATGAATATCACAGTATGGAGTCGCCAGAGCTTTATAGGAAGGATCAGAGTTCTCCTCCGATTGAAGGGCTGTCAGACCGCTCTTCCCCACCAAATGACCCTTTTTCTTTTTCTTCTTCGTCGGAATTCTTCGGCATGCTCTTTTTTGGCACCAAGAGTTCCGTCGCAAGAACTTTCCAAATAGGCCGAAAACTGGGAAATAGTTCCTCAATATCGGATACTGTGATAAGACATCGAGCAGAGTAGAGTAGGGACATATGTTTAATCACATGATTCAACTTATCCAAAAATGTGGTGGTTTGATTCTCAAAATGAATAAACCACCTCATGATGAAGTGCCAATTTGATTCTAGGGGCTGAACTGGTCTGGCCCCTCCAGAACGGCTGGCTAGTCAGGTTCATGGGCTTGGATTGACTGATTTGATCCGGTCCGAATGGCTATGCGGATCGACGGTGGCTGATCTGCTGATCCGAGTCGATCTTCCCACCCTTCCCACATAGGAAATTGCGGGACGTGGTATCATGAGATCCCAAGGTCCTCCTTGGCGATGTCCATGTGTACTCCTGACAGGGGATTCGAGCGAGACAAGCCAGACAAGTAGACGCCTTAACCTGGACCTTCATCCTCGGGTAACTGGGAGATTCTCATGTTGGTGATGACCACACCTGCCAGGATTGAGGGGGCTCATGTATTTACCACTCACTGAATCTCATCCCTGCAATCTAACCCCATCCTGATGTTATGGAGAATTAACAGATTAGGGAAATGCGCACTACATTAGGATATATGCATATCCCTTCAGTTATTTCCTTCTCATTGCTCTTTCATTGACTGCATCCACGCTATATACCATGGTAATTTCATATGAAACTAATTCATTTAATGATTCTCGTTCGTAGTTCTCTATTTATAAAACCAAAATATTACTATATATCCCGAGCTGTTGAATAACTCGCCGGTGTTGTTCAAGTGATAATTTCTGAAATAAACTGTCAGCCAAATGCTCGCGTGATTAATGGAGCTTTTGAGTTAATAGAACTAGCTTTCAAGTTGAGCATGCCGAGTGTCTCATCGTTCATATCCTTTGTTTCACGTGGTTCCTAGAGGGATGCTTAGAGTGACGAAAATGGCTTCGGATGACTTCAGGGACCCAGGCTTGGAGGGATGGGGCACACCTTTTATGGTTCCTGAACTCCATGCCTTCTTCTTATGGCACTTTACTACTTGGGCTATGCCCTGAAAACTATGGCAAGGGAATCCAATCCATCAGATATCTTTGTCAGGGTTTGCTGAGCTGCTTTTATGGGCTGGGCCAGTGATCCTCATTAGGCAATTGCCCCTCAGTTTTTGCATCACGACATCATAATCAGCTAATCTCCCGTTAATTTATACGCAGTTTTCAGATATATGTGCGTCAAATCGTTGTCGTAACGTTGACTTGTTTATGGGTAGAAGCCCAACGCATCCTCGTGGGTTTCCAAAGTCAACTTTTTCCGTTCAAGTTTCGTTCTTGCAGGATTAAGCTCTCTGCCTCTGATTTCTGAGTCTTCAGCATGGGTGTCTATGATTTCTCCAGAAAAGCGTTGCTGACTGATGTTTTTCGCAGAAGAAGCAGAAGACCCAACACCACGTGGGTGACACCCCCAGAGCAGCTGCCGGAGATCTGTCTCTGATCGAGCGGGGCGAATCAGCCGATGGTTCCTCATCCGTCAATCGTATTCTGCGGCAACCGCAGAGGAGGTCGCCGAGATCACTCTGCCTGCTGAAGTTCAGCACCTTCGAGAGGAAGCGCGTCCCCGTCGGGCCTGCTTTCCAGGCCGACATCCCTCAGTGGAAAGGCCGGAGCTCGAAGAAATGGGACAACTCCGACGAGTTGCGGCGGCTCGGAACCCTAATCTTGCCTCCGTTGCTTGACCTCCCCCGGACGAAACGGGAAGAAGAAGAAGAAGAAGCAGTCATCCGGAGAGGAAGGCCGGAGATGTGCGGCTGCTCGTCGCCAAGGTCCGTCCTCTGCGTCAGATCCCACGTAGCCCAGTCGAGGATTGAACTGAGGTGGAGCCTGGGGAAGGCTTTCGGCGCGCTGGGGTTCGACGGCATGGGCGAAGAGGTCTCTGGTTCTTGGACCTTGGCGGAGCAGCAGATATTCGAAGCGCTGGTCCGGCTGAACCCTCCCTCGGACGAGAAGAGCTTCTTGGAGCCCGCGTTGAAGCTGTTCGGGTCCAAGACCAGGCGGGACATCGTGAGCTTCTACTTCAACGCCTTCGTCTTCCGCAGGATGGGCATCCAGACGAGGCTGATAGGTTGCGACGCCGACAGCGACGACGACGAGTTTGATGTCGAGCCTTTCGAGGATCTCTACCCGAGGGCTGCTTACAGAGTGTGACCCACAAGTTCTTCTCTGCAGATTCCATGGCGATGCTTCTGCTCGAGAGTAGCAGGAAGGGCCCGATTTATTCACCGGCGGTGATCTCCGGGGAAGGAGACCCTCGTCGGATCCGTGTAGATAAATATATACACAGGAAGCCGTCGAGATGGAAGAGTTTCTCGACTATTCTTCCTCCCCAAGGTCGCATCTTTATCTGTCTAGACATCGTTTTCTTCCCTTTTTTAAACTGGGTTTTTCTATGCAATGGTCCGGGTTGGGTACCTTCTCTTCTGCTCTCAATTGGCGTTGACCTGTGATTTCTTCCTTTGGATGGACGCTTTCATCTCGTTGGTTTTGCTGTGCCCAAGAGAGAGAGAGAAAGAGACCCAGCGTTGACCCAACAGAGGAGATCACCGCATGTTTGCTCGTAACCTGGTCAACGCAGTTCACCACTGGCGGGCGTCATTGAGCAGCGGGATCCGGCTCGGTTTGCGTTCTCTTGGCAGCCTAAGGGTCACCCTGTTTCGCGTAATTAGCAAGAGAGGCTGGCGAGGGTATTTGTGCCAATTACCTTACCCCAAGGGTAAGCATGCGATTTTGAGGGACGGAGTGGTTGCGAATCCTTAGGCTCCTCGGATATCGATCCCAAACAGTTCGATTCCTTGGGATTCCCGAACAGATTATTCAAAAATCCTTTACTCATGGAGGACAGCGTGTGGGAGGGAAGAGTATGAGGGTGCAATTAAAAGAGTTATTCAGGAAGAGGGCTTAAGGTAAAAAAATTCCTCAATCTTGATCCGCGCCTCACGGTCGCACGTGCATTAGACCCTTACAGATATTTATTTCTGATCATAACCCTACACTGTCTTCGGGTATACTCCGTAATATGAGCTAAACAAGAGCGAATTTCTCAAGATTCAGGTCCGTCCGGGTTTTTATGATTTATTTATTTGCGGTCTCCCGTTGACATGCGAAGGCGGACCGTGATGGCTTCCAGTGTGGCCCAGTACTGGGCATGGGCTTCGATTATTCACACATTTCAGACTAAATGGACCACTGGGCCCATTTAAGAACAACATACTACCCAGTTTTACTCTCCAGACCCCAAACAAGCAGAGAAAGGTCGGCCTCTCTCTCTCTCTCTCTCTCGAAAGCAAAGAAAAGAAAAGAGAGAGAGAGAGAGGAGCCGTCTTCTCCGGGGTTGACGGGGGCCGATGGCCGAGGGCATGGCGGGCGCGCACGCACGCACACAGTGCAGGCGGCAGTAAAGAAACAAAGCGAGTGGCCGAGGACAGGCCTACGCTTTACACCCGGGATCCTCTCTCTCTCTCTCTCTCTCTCTATCGCGGAAAGGAAAAGAAGTGGTAGAGGGCGCCATGAGCCCCCGCTTACAGAAGCAGCTATGAACCAGAGGGGACGAGTGCCCGGCGTGTACCACCGGAACCACTGTTTGAAATGGGAGGAGCATCCCTCGCTCCGTTCTCTTGCGAGCAGGCGGAAGCTCCTCTCGTGAGGAAGGCTTGACAGAAAAAGGCCAACACATGCATACACAGACAGAGAGAAAGAGAGAGAGAGAGAGAACGATGGCCATTAATTGCAGAGTCCCGAACCTTGGCTTTAGCAGCCGCGGGGAGCAGAAGCTGCTGCCGCTGCGACTGTGAGGGTGCAGTGACGGGCTGATCCCCCGCTGCGGCGTCCCTTCCCTCCCTCTCTTTCTCTCTCTCGCTGCGTCCCCCTTCCCTTCCCCTCTCCTATCCTGCTGCATGCGCTGATGTTGTTCTCTTTTGCCTGGAGGCTCCCTTCCCTCGCGTCCGTACCGGCGGCCCCGCCGCCGCTTCGATTAGAACAAGCCCATCACCTCGACTCCTCGTAGCATTACGAAAATAATGAGTTGTTTTTTCCATATTTATTAATGTTTATAAAAATTTGGGTAAAAAACCTTCCGTCGAGGATTCCGTTTTTCGGGTACCTCTTTTTTCACCATGCAATTATTTTTCTCACGCTTCTCTTTAATTAGCCTTTAATATTCTTTATATGACGTCAGCACCTAAAACTCGGCTTATTTCTGATTAGAGAAAAGCCCAGAATAATATAAAAATAGAGCGAAAATTAGATAATTATTATTACCTCAGAGAAAATAATAATAATAATATTAATATTGGAGACTAATTTGCTGGAGATGGAACCGCCGCTCCGCAGCCCGAGGCACTCGGGAGAGTTAATCGCGCCAGCAGAACGTTTCCTGGAACTAAGTAAATAATAATAATAATAATAATAATAATAATAATAATAATAATAATAATAATAATAATAATAATGAACATCGGACGGCCATTGCAATTGTCAGATGAGATCGGAACCGTGAAGTCGGTGCACTCCATTCGTCATTAACTTGGGCGGTGAGCGTAATTTGGAGGGGAACTCGGCGACTAGGACGTGGGCAGGCGCGATGGGACTCGGTGATGCGATAGCACGACGTGGACAGACCCTGACCACCAGATCTCGTCACAGAGAGGGCCGCCTTGAGATCCCCGATAGTCGTCTCACCCTAAGCGAATAGCTACCGCCCAGCCACCAAACAACAGCCGCTCTATATATATATCTAGCGAGAGAGAGAGAGAGAGAATAAAATTTACCCAAATAAAATTACCCAAACGAATTATAACGGGATCAGGGGAAGAGCGAGAAAAGTAAATAAGAGAGAGAGGGAGGGGAAGGACGGTAAGAAGGAGGGTGTGTACATAGCTTTTCGGCGACCTCTCTCTCTCTCTCTCTATCTATGTGTCCTGTGTAGGTTGGGCGTTCGTCTTGCTCAGAGGCACGAAGGTAGGGGGCTGCTACGAGACCAGGCTATCGGAGGCGCCCGTCCCCATTCCGAACGTGAGGGCGGCGGCGCACGGGAGAAGCGGCGGCGACGGCGACGGCGGCGCACGGGACGACGACAATAGAGAGCAAGAGGCGGTCCAATCAGGTCGGCCACCGCAGGAGGCGAGAAAGGGGGTGAAGTCGGTGTACTTCTACTGGTTGGTGTTGGTGGTGGTTACCGCCTTGCAGCGGCGCTAGAGAGGAGCTTGATCAACTAGCTGCCCGATAGCAGCGACAGCGGGGGAGAAGAGGGATGGAGGGTAGGGCGCCGCCGCCGGCGTTGTTGATGGCAGCTTCGGCTTCAGAATGATGGCGGTACCGTTCGGTGTTCGACGGCACCTTCCGCAGCCGCCGCAGGCTCTGGGCGGGGTTGCCACCTGTGACCGCCACCCCGAGCAGCCCTTCACGGGGTTCTGCTCCTCCTGCCTCCGCGAGCGGCTTGCCGGCCTCGACCCCGCCGCCGGCCTCCTCAAGCCCTCCTCGTCTTCCTCCTCCGCCGCCCCTTCCGTTTTCAAGTCCTTCTTCTCCCGACCCGCCGCCGGCGACTTCGCCGGAACTTCCGCCGCCACCGCCGCCATCGCCGCCACCGCCGCCGCGGGGACCTCGTCCTCGTCGCTGCCGGAGTTCCGTCGATGCAGATCCTTTTCCGGGCCCGGAGGAGCCCCACCCGCCGCCGCCATGGAGCCCAAGCGCAGGTCCTGCGATGTCCGAGCCCGCAACACTCTCCGGTCGCTCTTTTACCTCGACGACGGGGAGATCGGCTCCACCGTCAGAGCCAATGACGTCGAGGCTCGGAGCATAGGATTAGTGCCCCCCCTCCCCGAGGAGGAGGACGAAGACGAGCAGGAGGAAGATGATTTCCAAGATGCAGAAGACATCATCACTCCGACGAACGGGCAACTAGGCAGTAGAATAGGCGACGAGATAAGAGCAGTGCTGGCCGAGGAGGGTCTGAGGCCGATGAAGGACCACATCAATCTCGAAGCCAAGAGCAAGGCGGCACCTGCCAGTGACCTCAAGGAGTTCCCCGGGAGCTTCTGGCTCGCTGCTTCCGTCTTCAGCAAGAAGCTCCAAAAATGGCGGCGGACGCAGAGGGAAAATGGCAGCAAGAAGCACGAGGGCAGTACCGCCAGCAAGGGCTCGTCGGCGGCCGTAGCAGCGGCGGCAGCGAGGTCCTCCTCCCGGTCCAATCACTTCTTTCGGGAAACCCAGTCGGAGGTCGCCGAGGATGCCCTGGGCCGGAGGTCCTGCGAGACTGATCCCAGGCTGTCCCTCGACAATGGCCGTATCTCCTTCGATGCCCCACGCTACTCGTTGGACGAGGCGAGGGTTTCTTGGGACGGCTACCTCGCCAGCGGGAGCCGGCCGGCACCTTCGCGGCCGCCGCCGATGCTCTCCGTCACAGAGGACGTCCCCGCCGCCGCCCTCCGCCGATCTGACAGGCAGATTCCAGCGGAAAAGTGCTCCTTTATTCCCGGCGGCACTGCCCAGACGAGAGAGTACTACTCCGATTCCCTGTCGCAGCGCCGTCGCCGGAGCCTCGACCGGTCGAGCTCTGTGCGGCGTTCCTCCGTCGACGGGGCCGACGATCTCCCGTTGAAGCCCACCGCTGGCTCCGTCGTCCGGATATCGCCCACCGCCGTGGCCAACGAGTACTTCCACCACCATGTGAACAGGTTCGAGCGAGACGACGACGGCTCGGAAGCCTTGGAGTCCAGGTACGACGAAGATCGCCTGCGAGGAAAAGATCCCCCGAAGGGATTTCGCCGATGGGGCAGGAGTCTATGGGGTCTCATCCACCGGCGGGAGCACAGTAGAAGATCGTTTGCAGGGAAAGAAGGGTTCGACCGGAGCAACAGTAGCGTGGGCTCGAGGCGTTCGATGGATTGCCACAGCGGCGGGGTAGGATTGGACGACGCGAGGAAGAAGGGTGAAGCTGGGAAGGAGAGGAGGGAGGAGAAGCTGGAGCGCAGCCGTGTTGTCCGGCAATCGCCGGGCCATGCCGACGGCGGACTGCTCCGATTCTACCTGACGCCTCTGGCCGGCAGTCGGCGGAGCAAAGGCCTCGGGAAGGGCTGGAGCGAGGGCTCCTCCCATCATTCTTTCGCAAGGGACTTGCTCAGGCTATACTGATCCGGGCTGCTCCTTGGAAGCACCCCATCGCATGCTGGTTCTGTAACCGACGAAGAGATTCGAAGGGCGTGATGCGAACTAAGGTTGGCGCATACACATATATATATATATATATATATATATATATATATATATATATATATATATATATATATATATAGACATTATGCTGATCGATCTTGCAGGAGGCTGATTTTCTGTAGTATCTCTCTTCTTGTTCATGTGGACGATCTGTGCTTTGCAGAACGAAGCTGGAAGCTGAATCGTGATGATCGAGCCCTTATGGAGATCATGGAAGGGGATCATTCCTTCTGGTTCTCGCCCGATAGGCCCGGGGGCCGAAGCTTGGGGAAGAGGAAGGAAGAAGGAAGATCGCAGAGGGAGGCGGGGAGGCGAAGAATTTCCTTCTATGGTCCCCTGTGGACCGTTCCTCGCCTCGCGGCGGGAATCGGCACGTGGGTTCGCACAGTTCCTACTGGTCTGAGCAGAAGACTGCCTGCAGCAGCTCGTGGATGGTTGATGGCGTTGGTCGCGAGGTTTGAAGGAGAGGAGAAAACGGTAGGATGGGGGGAACCCTAGATCTCTCTCTCTCTCTCTCTCTCTCGATATATATATATATCTATCTCTGGAGGGGAAGAGGTGACGTACTCCGCCGCCTTCACGTTGTCTCTGGGCTCCGTCTACCATAGCTTATCTACTAAACTCGTGCTATTTCGTGTGAATTCGGAGGAGGGGAGGCCCGTTTCTGAAAAATCTGGGAAGGAACGTCTCCGTGTTTTTCCGTAAAACATCAGATAGATAGATGGATTCGAGCCCAAGACAGGAAAATTTATCATAATCGAAAATACAATTTCATAGTTGAAATCCTCTTCAGAATCCAAGAGAGAGGGGAAAGGAAAGCGGCGCCGGAGGATTCAGAACTCACGCGGCGGCGCCGACGGCGGTCTCCGCCTTAAGCCTGGAGGAACCGTACATCGTCTCCTCGAAGCGGATGATCTCGTTCTTGGAGCCGTAAGCGACCTGGGTCCGCTCGTCGAGGGTGGTGATCACCTTGTCCAGAACCGACTGCTTGCCGTCGCTGCTGTGGCCTCCCGCCTTCTCCACCAGGAACCCGAGCGGAGCCACCTCGAACAGCAGCCTCAGCTTTGCCTTGGCGGTTGGGGACGTCACATTGGTGAAGATGCCCTTCTCCTTCACTATGATCTGAGAGTAGTCCCCGAGAGAGAGAAACAGAATCGTAAGGGGGGAAAGTCTCTGAGAGTTCCAATTCTCCGCCATGTTCAGTGTGGTTGATCTTGTTGGTAGGTGGGACAGAGTACCTGGTTGACGTCGGGAACCATTCCTCCGGTGTAGCGGAGGGTATACTTCTCTCTGACGTAGTAGTCGATCAGCTGCAAGATCAGAAAATCCCGTCAAGCTCATCTTCTCCGTCATTTGATCCACAGGCTATCTATGACGCCAAGCTCTCGAGAATCCTCGAACAAACCTTGGCGTACTCAGGGTTGTCGGTGGTTGCTCTGAGATTCCCCGGGGAAAACATCTTCCCCTCACCGATCGACGTGGTGTCCTTGACGTGCTGCCACTTCCCTGCAGTGGAAATCGTAAGAAAGACTTGCGATTTTCGCCCACAGACCATGCAGGGATAGAGAGATAGAGAGAGAGAGACCGTCGTCCAAGAGAAGGAATTCGTGAGTCCCGGGGCAGTCCTTGAGGGCGATGATGTAAGTCGTCCGGGGCCCGTAGATCCCCATTGCAGCGGCGACCTGATCTCTCCCCGTCACGCCGGTGAGCGCTTTGCCGGGCCAGACGCCGAAGATGGTGCCGACGGTGAAATTGGTGTCAACGATGCTGGAGCCATCGAGCGGATCGAACGCCACGCTGAATCCGCCTGCCATGGTGAAATCCTCGCGTGCATCAACCTCGGTATGAATCTCAGTTCGGCTTAGATGGAAGGGTGGAGTGAATTCAAAAAGGATACCCACCCTCTGCCGGTCCTTCCATGTCCTGGAGCTCGGGCTCCTCCTCGGAGCAAGCGTAATTGCAGAAATGAGAGTATCGCAGGGCCTGCAATGCAGTCCGGGTTGAGGCCAAGATGTAAACAAGGAAGGAGACCGAACCAAGGAGCGGGAAGGGAGGAGCGGCGATCATCAGGTCGAGTTCTACCTCGAAGAGGAGTTTGTCCGCTAGGAGATCGACGGCGAGCTGCTCGTCGCCGAAGGTGTTAACACACGCAGTGCCGCCGCAGGACGCCGTCCTCACCTTGAAAGAGATGGTCCGCAGCGCCTCTCCCATGCACACCAGCAGCCTGATCAGGCCCTTGTCAGGGGTTGCCTTAGACAAGAACTCCTCCTGAAGAATTCCAGATCGCATGAGGACCTCCCAAGGACTCGTCAAAACGTCGCACGCATACGAGACCACTGGCTCTCCAGACGATTTCCAGAAAAAGGCTCACCAAGCTGTCACCGAGCTCGCATCTCGTGACGGGGGAGGATCCCCCAGCGGCCTTCACGGCCCTCGACGAGGATATAGATGACGACACCTTGAGCGACTCCCCGAACAGCGAGCTCGACCTGAGGCACTGCAATGGCAATCAACCAGCGAGAAACAATCAACTCCCGCCTGAAATCGGCTCCACGATACTAATCCAAATCCCTAATATAAAGATGTTAGCCGATCATTATCAGTTCAGTCCCCACTAACCAGGGCGCCATTCAACCGGAGCAGGGGAAGGGCGTGGCCGGGGGCGGTGGCTCGCCGGGACGAGATCCCTCTGGGAAGCACGCCTTTCGCATAGCTCGCCACGCCGGTCTCCATCGTCGCCGGAGAGAGTTATTTCTCTGAAGTTCTTCTTCCCCGGTGGTCGCCGGCTCTGCTGCTCTTCCCCGGCAACGCGAGATGGATACCTCGCGGACTCGCACTTCGCAGTATTACTTCCTCCCTACCTCCCAATCATCCACTATGACGCCACGTAACCGCATGAGGGCATTATCGTCCAAGAGCCACAGGTTTTCTGTTTCCATTTCGTACGTGGCGTCAGAGAAGGAGGCTATGACGATAAGGCAGGGGGGAGTGGAGCGAGGAGCCCCAACGGGGATCAAGATAAGCGCCCTGACCTGTGGCTGCCACGTGGATGGCGGCTTGCAGATAGCCCTCTCACTGCCACCGCTCGTTGCGTTGTGTGGCTCTGAGATGTCTGGCGCCCAAGTGAGGCCCACTCGGCCCATTTTTATCTATTACCTAGCCCGGCCTGCCTTTCTGGGCCGGCCGCCCGCCCGTGAGGCCCAAATTGTTAACTAGCGCGACAAGAAGATAAGGTTATCTGGCATCCCTCTCTTCCGCCGGCGCGAATGTGCGTTTGACGACAGGAGAGCAGGTTGGTAATTTAAAAATTCTCCAATTATTCTGTATCCAGGACTATTCATTATATGAAAATTTTCAGACGCCGACGTCATTTTATGTTCGTTAAACTGATTATTTTAAGCTAACTCAATTTTTAGATTTTCAATCATTATGCCATTCATTGTGTGAGATATTTTTACAGCTCTTGTCGCAGGGATACGGCGTATTGATGATTTCAATTATTTCACAGTAGGTTCCAAAATATGTTCTCAAGCGGGATAGAAAAATTTACGAAAAAATCCTTCTCACGAAGATCTCCGAGGTTTTTCTGCAAGACTACCGGATTTAAAGAAATTAACGATCTTAAGAACAGGATGGTTCTCACTTTAGAAACGAGAATATGGGAGCCATGCCTTAACACAGATGCGGGAGCACGCAATAATTGAAGACATGAGACGCGTACATGCAACGCCATCAGGGTGGAGCGAGCTCTGGGGGTGACCTATGAACCTGAGAACGGCTGTAGGCATAGATAGATACCTGTCGGCATCGTTATACGGCGAACATGATCCGAGCAGACGACCCCCTAGAAAAAAAAAGGAAAGCATTGTAAGATACCGGGTGCACATCATTAAAGTACAACTTCACATGATTTGAATATAATAAACAACTGCATTGACCGTCTAATCCCTTTTGTTATTTTATCTTCCGGGCAAGTTATTTTACTAGAAACAACGAAGACTCACAGCAGTAGACAACTAGATGCGGAAGTCCAGCAGGGTCGACGAGATTTTAGGGGGACCCGGAGACGGAGCGGCTCATGCTGCTACGGCTGTGAGAGTAACTCTCCCGGGAGTAGCCCCTGCATCGCCTAGGAGAGAAACTCCGCGAGGGGCTCCTCTTGGAGATCGCGGGCCTAGGGGAGTAGCTACGGGAGTAGCTCCTCGCCCCAGGAGAGACGCTCAGGGAGTAACTCCTGCGGCTCCTCCTTGACCTAGGAGACGCGCTGCGCGAGACTGAGCGACGGTGCCGCCGCCTGCTGTAGTAGGGTGAATAAGAACGTGAATAGGACGACCTCGAGTCACGAGAATAAGAACGCCGGTATCTTCTGCCACCAGACGAACGGTCATATCGACGGCTATGGTAAGGTGACCGGGAGCGGGATCGAGAACTAGAGCGAGCGCCAGAGCGGTAGCGCCTGCCATAGTGGGGGGAGTAAGACCTCTCCCTGTCGGAAGAACTGTGCCGGCTTCTGTAGTACGGAGAACTACTGAGAGAACGATGGCGATCTGAGGAACACAAGCAAACTGCACTGGTTAGGATCAGAAGTGGAGGCAGGAGCTTATAGGAAGTATTTCGTAGCAGGAATCCCTGAAGATGGAAACGGTCGATTCTTACCACGTCGGCTCCTCAAGCCAAGATATCGGCCTGGGGTCGGAGTCCTGCCCCTTCTTCGCCTTGCCTGAAGATCAGATAGGGAGAATAAGCTCGGGAAGCTGTGGCGGCGGCAAATACGGAATGGATTTTCAAGAATGCCCCAGGCAAAGGAAATAACAAATGTTGCATGTCTGGCGATTGCGATCATGTCAGTGATGAAGTGAGTACGAAAATAAAGAAATAAACGCGTGGACAGCTATGGAAGAAGAGTAATGCCAGGGCATACAACCCTCTCTGTTCGGGGTAGGTTGAATTTGATTAGTTTTGAGGTAATTGCTTTCGAAGCCTGATGAAGAGCTGCTACACACAGCTAACCTGCTGCCAAAAACACTCCACAGGCGAAGAACTCTCAAATACTGAGTTGTGTAAGTGGCAGAAGCATTCCATGATTCCAACATAATAAACACCTCTTCCAGAAAAACCAAAGGCCCGAGACAGATGCCATACATTACCTTTTCCACGGTGATGACACGACTTTCGAGAACAGAGCGGTTAAGATACTTGATGCATCTGTTAGCGTCTTCAACACTGGCCATGGTCACAAACCCAAACCCACGTGATTCTCTTGTCCATGGATCGACCACCAGATGGACGTCAGTTACCTGAAATATGGTATGAAGGCATCTAAGAAATGATGCGGAGCAGATAAGAACATCTTGACGAAAAATTGGGGAGAAAAAATTATATTGTTTCCTCGGCAGCAGTACAAATGAAGATGACCGCCCTTTATCAGATAGATAATCTATCTATACGCAAATCGAGTACACAGGGACCTGTCGACATAGGCGTAGTACATGCGTCTCACTCACAACTGAACACTCAGATTCACCCACGAGAATGAAACAGGTTCATCAAGAAGACGCTAGACAGCGACGCTTAAAACTAATCAGGCTGGTTATCAAGAAAAGCTAACCTACCTTCCCTTCACTTTCAAAATGGCTCTCAAGGTCGTCCTTTGTAACCCGAGAAGACAAACCAGTGACATACAAATTGTTCCCTGGATTGTCAACGTCACTGGACCCATAGCTCCTGCCAAAGAATACACATGTCTTACGGTATTGGAAATTCAAATCATATCGGGAAGAAAATACCAACGGCCACAACAAGATGGATACACGCACCAAGAACGGCTCCTTGACCGCGACCTTGAGAAGGACAACGACACGGATCTGTGCGATGGAGAACGAGAGTACCTGGATCTCCTTGAGTCTGACATCTGAAACGCAATACTGTATTTAATAAAATGAAAAATTAATCTGAAAATAATAACTAAAAGTGAGCTATTGAAATTATGAAAGAGATGACATCACATTACAACATCAAAGCAGCCTCGCAAAGGGTGAGATTTCGTTAACTGACAGGAAATGATGACGAAATGATGCTAACTAAAAAAACAAAGAATCGACGAGTAACTGACTAATTAGAATATGCATTCGAATACAGTGCACGGAGTCAAAACTAGAATAGTGCAATTCTACTCAATCATTTTATGAATATATGATTAATGTGACATAGGATTAGAAGAGGCCGAATGCGCCATAAATAAAATGAGAGATTGAGAACCGAATGCGCCATAAATAAAATGAGAGATTGAGAGCCGAATGAAAAATAACACTGAATTCAACAGAGAAAGAAGCCTGTGGGAGCCCTTGCGCCAGGTAAGATAATGTTGGTGAGGAATGACAGGTGCAATGAGGATTAGAGCTCTAGCTAAGGTAAGCCGTCCATAAAGATAGGAATCAAGGAATCCTGAGCCATAAAAGTTGCACGAGGTTTAACTTTTCTTGCGCGAGGATAATGATCATAGCAAAAAGCGCGTGATGAGAAATTAGTAAATCAAAACTTGGTTTAGGGGAAATCGACGTGGAGAAGTGGAGAAATTGTGAGGAAGATATGGATACCAGCATAATGGAGCACCTAGATCAACTAGCATATATTGGTGAGAAACGTCGACAGGAAAAAAAAAATCCACGTGTGGAAAAATAATTCTGAGAATAACAATTGCAACAGGTAGGTAGATATAAAACTGAGTACAGGGAAATGGAATAGATACAGCATGTATCGCTGAAAAAAGATACACCTAAGATCAACTAGTGCCCATTCGGCGATCAGACTGTTCATGGAGAAAAAGTATCACTCAGATGGAAATTTAAGAAATCAGATCTGAAAAAGATAATAACAACAGCGTTTTGTTCGATATGATTGCGCAGAACTTTCGTGCAAGTGGGGAAAACCGACTCCTCTAGTAAATAGAAACGACGACAGATGAGGAAACCGACGGCTACGGAATTTCATCCTACAGAAGAGCCGGAATCTCGCATGCGAAACAAGTCGATCTTGTAACAGAGTATGTGCATTTCACGCTTACCATTTCGCTACGTCCGTGGTTGGACAGTACCCGGTCCTCTTTCTCTCTCGTTAACTCTCTGCCCTCTTCCCCGCCTCCAACAAGGGACAACCCCCACTTAACCAGCTTTCTACGTTTAAATAGGAGGGGGAGGGGGGAAGACGGAAGCTTCTGGACTCCGCGGACGCGAAAAACACCTTAAAATTCGATTTGTATGTCTTGCGCGGGTCATACGCGTGGCAGTCGGACCTTTGCAAGAGATCCGAACCGAAACCCCACGCGATCCGATAAAAGCTCTCGTGGATGGAGAGCGTCGTTTCATGCTTTTAAATGATGCCTAAATTATGTTGTGATCCACCAAGTCTAAATATATTACGTGAAAAAAAATTCACTATTTAACGAGAAGTGGACTGGTTTTATTTTTGTGCTCCTAATTAACACGAAATTGCAATTACGATGGCATAATTGAAAATATGTTATGTTAGGAACAATATAAACTATAGCTCCATTTTGCCTCGTGATATGAAAATTCATTTTTAGATATGCAATACGGATTACATTTAATCGATTAAGTTCTCATTATTTATCTAATCCCAATCACACAAGCGTTAAGCGCTTCTTTGGTAAGTACTTTAATGGACCAAAAGCAAGCAATTTCCTTTTCTTGCCCTCACGCACACCGCCAGGGGCCCGGAGTTTCTACCTCGTCGTTCTAGTCCTCTCTCTCTCTCTTCATACAGTCGTCTTCTCGTTGCATCGATTCGGTCAGGAGTCTGCCGATCCTGGGAGATCTCGGAGCTCGCCGAGTTCAGTTGTCGGACGGGAGAAGAGGGGGCGTGGGTGCCTAGGGGCATCCGTGCTCGTCAGCCATGGCGTCCGGTCAGGAGTCCGGAGGCACAACTCTTATGGATCTCATCACCTCCGATCCGACGTCGGTTCCCCCCAGCGCTGCTCCTAGTGTAGCCCCCTCCGCACCAGGGAAGCCGTCGGCGGCAGATCGGAAGACGAGGAGGAGCACTCTGATGCAGATCCAGAGTGACACGATCTCCGCGGCAAAGGCGCTGAACCCGGTCAAGACCAGCGTCATGCCTCAGAGGCGCAAGAAGACGGTCCGCTCCAATCTCTCTGTCTGTCTGTTTCCCCTCTCTGCGTCTCCCTCCCTTACCACGTGCCATCACGAATCGTCTGAAACATTGACTTGCCCCTCGTTCATTGTCATGAATGTATCGCCGAGTGACCAACCAGGGATTGAATTTTTTACAATGAATTTTATCTTGCTTTCAAGAGAAGGCGAAGCAATTAGTAAAAGACGGTTGGATATGGTCAGTAAGTATGTCTGGAAAAGTTGTTTTCTCGAACATATTTTGTGCTCCACGTATTGTTTTGCCTTTCAATTGGTTATGTTTTACGTCAGAGATGCGAGTACGCAACCCAGGGAGGGTGAAAAACACAATGACATGGATTTGACGGCAATATACTCAAATGTATCTGTTCGCATTCTGTCATCTCGAGGCATCATACGTCTCTGATTTGCGACCGCGTAAAATGAACCTTAGATGATCACGTCTTAAAAGATATTGTTGCGTGATCCAGTTCATAAACTCCCCTCTTTAGCAACCAGACGAACCTCACCAATGTTCAGGGTTTAATTCACTGTTTTTTGTTTTTATCTCAGACTAATGTCATAATCCGTTATGCAGCCTGTTTCATATTCACAATTGGCACGAAGTATACACGAGCTTGCAGCGGCATCAGATCAGGTTCCTCTTTGCAAATGCTGAAATTAATTTTTTTGAGGGCTTCTTATCCATTCCCTAGTGTTTTCTTGTATTTACTTGCAGAAAGTCTCCCAAAGGCAGCTAGTGCATCAAGTTTTTCCCAAACTCGCCGTGTACAACTCTGTGGACCCATCTTTAGCACCATCTCTTTTAATGGTATTTTTTATACTTCAATTTTTTTTACATACTATTGTAATTCCCTCTTATTGGTATGGTATTGTGATTTTCAAACAAAAGTCGCAAAATGATTTTCGAATCCCTTGCACAACATGCCAGTTATGCTGCCACTTGCTTTCTGTCTTCAAAATTTGCAAAGGTAACGACCATTCATCAAGTCTAGTGCATGTTTCAATCTCACGTTAAGCCTCCTTAACGTTTTGCCTCTAGACCTACAAAAACGAGACGACACTAGCATTTCTTTAATTGCAGCTGTATACATGTGTTTTCAGTCAGTGAAACAGTATGAAACGAGTCACTTTGTGATTTTTAATAAAAGTGTCATTTGGTAATATTCTTCTAGGACTTTTAAATCCATCATATTCTAATCGCTGCTGGATGACACACCGTTCATGGACAGAAGTATGTGTAATAGGATAATGTGCATAAAAGGACGTGCAAAATGATATTTTCTTGTTACAAAGCAGCCCTTTTTTCTTCTCTTCCTTTCTATTTTATGAAACAACCGTCTACCAGATAGCTATGGCTACTTCATAAGACTATAAGTGAGATAGAAAAATGTGCATCTTGATATCTGTATTCTGGTAAATTGAATGTCGTTTGGCATGTCATGATAAGCTGGTGCGGTGATATAAATAGATTGCCAATATGCTTAAATCATGAGTTTAACTGATATAAACTCATATCTCCATTAGCAATAGGCATCTGTCAATCAGAAAGGAAAAAATGAGCATCTTAATATGAAATATCTTATGCCATTTGTGCTTCAGAGGCATTTCATCTGGTTAACGCCAATTTGAATTTATGTACGTTAGCAACAATATTAATCGTTTTGTGTTTGAACCCTTCAGACATTTGATCCTACATCATTTTATGGAATCATACTTAGTTGAAATTCCACTCATTTTAGAGTGAGGTTTTTGGCTGTCAATGAACACATCTATTGTACTATCATTCCAGGTTTCAGTTATTTGTCCAGTTTCTTTTTCAATGGAGGTATAGATGAGTATCTGAAAGTAGTCAGATTCTGTTTGAATTCAGCTTAGGATGATGTCCTTCATGAGAAACGAAATGTTAACGTTCTTGTTTTTAATTATTGATAAGCTGATTTATGAATTGAATTCAGGTTTTCAGTATGACCGTAATTATGAATGTGGGGGTGATATGATATTTTTTTATTGCTTTTAGTAATTAAGTTTAGTCAATGTAAAAATTGTGGTTTGACATTGTCTATGAAGTGTCATGACTTGTTATTTGTTCCTCTTGTTGCATTGCAGCTTCATCAGCAATGCGAGGACCGAAGTGTTCTTCGTTATGTCTACTACTACTTGGCTAGAATTTTATCAGATAATAGTGCTCAAGGTATGAGTGGTGGTGGGGGAATTCCGACACCCAACTGGGATGCCCTTGCAGATATCGATGCTGTTGGTGGTGTCACAAGAGCAGATGTTGTCCCACGAATTGCTGAACAGCTAACTTCAGAGGCATCAAATGTTGACCCTGAAGGTAGATGAAAACTATTGCGCCACTGCCATAGATTGCCTTTTCTGTATTATTTTGTGTTTTCTTTTCACTCAACAAAGTTTCAGTTCAAGAGGATACATACCTTGCGAAATAAGTGCATTAATATTCCTTTCATCCTGTGTCATTCATGGACTGTCGCCATATTACTCATTAGATGGCCTTTGAGAGTGACAGGTGGCAGGGTTATGTTGGGTAATCATTCCATTAAGTGTTTTTCATTTTGGGTTGTCTTTCAAACGTGGGAACTATTCCTATGTGCAATACAAATCATATGTAGGTTTCGAAGTTGAGGTTTCTTATGAGATAATTGAATGTATGGACTCTTTGCCCAATTTATCATGACATGACTTGTCTGTATGTGGTACTCTAATTAAATGAACGTATTGCTGCTCATTAACTTCAGAGATCATGTCATCACATACTGCTGAAGTTCTGAACGTTTGTGTTTATTTGCAACTTTTTTTGGGCAATTGTGGTCATCGTCCAAGTTTTTTTTCCGGGTTCAGTTTGACGAATATTGTGCAAAGAAATGCAGTTTGGGGTCTTCCTCGTTTTTCTGTCAAGCAGTGCAGTAGCCATCACTGTTGGCCCTACAAACTGTTCCATAAACAACATGCAGGTCTAGACTACTCAACGCAGCCATAATATCATTAAAGCAATCATTTTGCATGCATAAACAAACGTTGTTCATAAACGGCTCTATTCTTAGAGCAAATCCCCAATATAACTAATTCCATCTGTGCAACATCCCTAGCTGTATATTGAAGGCTGAAAACAAGCTTCTCCAAAATGACAATGAAGACATCCCTAGCTGTATATTATGAGATAGTTTTGACCAAATCCTCTGTATTTTTGCATCCTCTGTTCACCTATCCCACTTGGACTTCTCTTTCCCTTATAGCCGCACTCGTAATTTTCGAAGAGGCGGGATCAGTAGGTTTTTTTCTTTGTACCTATTGCTTTTAACTTTTTGGATACTGATACTGGAAATTGTGTGACTCAGACCTGGGGTTTTTGAAATCCTAAAATTCAATTCTTCTTGCACCTCATTAATTTAACTCGTGTAAGTCACACATATTGTCATGGCATAGTTCCTGCACTTTTGACCTGGAGAGAATTTTGAACAGGAGAAAATTGGCACGGCACAATTCCCCTTCCTGGTTTTAACCAGGAGAAGTTTCATCGTCGAACTTGATGTGCTCTTAAATCTGCCTCGTTTCTACCAGACCATGGAGGCCTTGATTACGCTCATTAAATGGCCAATTTGGTTGACCTCGCGGCAAACTGCGCCTATTGTGCCCAATGTTTTCGCTGAATTGCATGAGTTGGCTCAAATTAGTCAACCATGGTTCTGAGATTGTTGACAAACTATTGGATGATACTTTTGAGTTACTCGGGATTTATAACCTCATGCCTTCTTAATTTTTGGTTTGTATTTAGCTATTGACATCGCATTTGTATGGAGAATTATCTTGAGGGCTGATTATATCCAGAATTATGTATCCCTGTCTCTATCTTGTATATTCTGAATTTATGGTAATGTTCACATTTGAAGTATGTCGCTACTGTCATGATGCCATCCCTGAGACAAACTTACTGCATTCACTAGGATGTCCCAATGATTGAGCTTTTTGAAAACAATTGCGTATAGTAATGATTTGTATAAAGATTGTATCCATAAGTAGACTCTACACACGTGCTAGATGCAACTGATAGTCTTTGATTTGTCCTAGTCTAGTACTAACCGAATTTCATTTTCTTTCGTTCATCCTGTTGAAGTTCATGCAAGGAGACTTGCTGCGCTGAAAGCACTCACTTTCGTGTCACCAAGCAATTCTGAGATCCTGTCCAAATTGTATGAGATTGTATTTGGAATCCTTGAGAAGGTACCTCTAATCACATTTTTAAGTGACCTTAGCATGCTGGTGTTTTTATAACGTTGCTTAATAATATTTGTTACACAGCCTTTGCTGTGTCAGTTGGCACCCCAAAACATGTCACATAATTTGCTTTATGATTTTTTTTCTATCTTCATTGAATATTCATCTCTCACAGATTGCAGACACAAAACAGTAAACGCGTTTTGTAATTTGAGCGATGAATTTTTTTCTTCTTTCTTGTCACAGGTTGCAGATGCAAAGCAGAAACGTAAGAAAGGCATTTTTGGTCGGCAAAGTGGTGATAAAGAGGTACTTTCCTTCCCTTGGCAGATGCGAACCAAGTTCTGGTAATTTTGAAGAAAGAGGCATGGGTTCTTTGCTCTTATGAAACATATGATTGTTTTAAATTTTTACTTTTACTTTTTATATTTTTACATTTTGGGTTCCCCTAATGAAATTTCGTTGATAGCTGATAGACTAGTTATTTATCTCGTGTATGTAAAACACCGCACATTGCAATTGTACAGCGCAGCTCATAAGATGAATACACTGCTTATTTTAATTTGTCTCAGGAAAGTTTACTTTGGGAAAAAAATTATCGTCATTGAAAACGGAAGTTTTTTTATTTGAATGAAAAGATAGATGTAGTGTCTTCGGACTATATGATCATGTTGCACTTTCCGATCTTTCATCCTTGTTTCTTTTAGTCGTTGAGAAGTGTGACCGTTTGACTTTTTACATTCTTCCATTCAGTCCTTCTGTGTCTTTACATATGTTTTCCATGCGTTTTCAGTCTATAATTCAGAGCAATCTGCAATATGCTTCTCTTAGTGCGCTGAGAAGACTCCCTCTGGATCCCGGAAACCCAGCATTCCTGCATCGAGCTATACAAGGGTATGTAAGCTATGCCACTTTTCTTACCTTGGAACTATGCGTTTTTTGTGCTGCTCTGACTTGAGTGAGGCTATCAGTGGTCACACATATACTATTAAGTAAAAAATACTTGTATGAGCATTTGTCTTCAGTTCAATTCAGGGCACCGATAACATGCACAATTCGTGATTTATCATCTAGGCTGGCTCTAGTTTAATGTATCCTAATGGTTCCACGCCAGTGTTTAACAGAACTTAAAATAGTGTTTGTCAAATGGAAAACATACACCAATTTCTGGACTTACGATAATATCCATTAAATATTTAGTTTGGGATATCCTAGGATGTACTCAGCTGAAGGTGAATATAGATAGACCCAACATTTTTATGTGTGCGAAAAATTGAATAATTACATAAGAATAATCATATTTTAAAAAGGGCTTTATGCTGGCTCTTGACTGGAACTCTTGCTATTGGCTTTTCCAATGTACTGCTGAATAGCAAGCTAAAAGTGCGGTTCTCTATTGATGTGAAATGCGCCAAATAATACAGTGGAAAATTGATTGAAAGGGCGAAATTATATTAAAGGGATTGCGGTTGGCAAGGTGGTACGACGTGGGGCAGTGGAAAAATATTGTACTAGCTGGTGTGTGAGGCCCTGTGGACTGGGCTTCTCCAAACATGCCAGTTGCGATCTTTCGTGTCTATAGTTTGGTCTTTCTTTTGGAGCTCTTTATATCTCCTTTGCCTTTTGATTTGATTCAATGAAATGCAGTTGGGCCAAAAGGTAAATCAAATGGCCATTTAATTTTTTAAGTTTAAAGCAAGCAGTCGTGTCAATAATCTGTTTCTCTTTCTGTGACTGTAGGGTCTCATTTTCTGATCCAGTTGCTGTCAGGCATTCTTTGGCAATCATCTCTGAATTGGCTACACGAGATCCTTATTCTGTTGCTATGTCATTGGGTCAGTTAAATCCACATAACTCAATGGACGCTAACGTTGCAATTAAAATTTATTTGAATGTGTATTTCATGAATATGTATGAGAGCACTTATGTAGGTCTTCCTAAAATCCTCGCGTATGTTTCTAATCTATATAGTACCCGTCTACTCTGTTGGATTTCTGACTCGTCATTATTTTGGTTGTTTTTCAGGGAAACTGGCAAATTCTGGAGGTATGGTTATCCTATATTTCTTGCATTATGTTTCTATGCCACAGTAAATGGCCTGGTATTGTTCGACTGAAAGTAGCATGAATACGGTGCATAAATTCCAAGTTTCATTGTTGTATTCCTGCTAGCTTTTTTTTGGCTTATTTTCCTGGTAAAGTATGTTTAGTCCTTATCTGATTTGACGAATAGAATGAAATTTCTTGTTACCTCATTGAGTTATCTGAAAACTGAACTATTTTGGTTTGATTTATTTCTTTTTTTGGGTCGAGAAGTTCCTTTTCTTTCTTTATAAGGAAAAGCTGTGGATATCGTCCTTCTCCTAGAATTTTCAGACTCTTTACTAAGTGAAGGCTGATATTATATGAAGCAGGTGCTTTGCAGGATGTTCTTCATTTGCATGATGTCCTTGCTAGGGTATCCCTTGCAAGGCTGTGCCATACATTGTCAAGAGCCCGTGCACTAGATGGTACCTGCACTTGATTGACATTTACCCTTGATGTAATTATTATTAGATTAATGCGTAGTATCCCTAGTTTGATTAAAAAAAAAATACTGGGTGTTGCAGAAAGGCCCGACATTAAGGCTCAGTTCTTGTCTCTTCTTTATCAACTTCTCTTGGATCCGAGTGACAGAGTGTGCTTTGAGGCTATACTCTGTGTTCTGGGAAAATTTGACAACACAGAGAGGTACGATTTGCATCTGCTGAGACAACTTCCACTGACATCATTAATGTTTCATTTATTTCTTGTTTAAATGTTCTAGTTGCAAGTTAGCTTGCTTATTTTTATTGCTGGAACTCTTTCAACAACCTAGATTGTTTACCATAGGACTGAAGAACGAGCAGCGGGGTGGTTTAGACTGACGAGAGAGGTTCTGAAGCTTCCCGAGGCACCCTCTGTATCATCAAAAGAAAGTAACGCTCAGTCAAAGGATGCCATTCCACCGAAACCAAAGAGTGATAAACCTGCTCCCAGACCAAGACGACCTCAGCCTCTTATAAAACTTGTAATGAGAAGGTGCATTTTATTTAATTATTTGCTTCCTACCATGTAATGGTCTTATTTTTGCTGAGATGTGAATTGGCTTTTGCTGTTCTGATTCATATTTTTTTTCACCCTCTTAGACTTGAAAGCTCGTTCCGGAGTTTCTCTCGTCCTGTGCTTCATGCAGCAGCGCGGGTTGTTATGGAGATGGGAAAAAGCAGGGCTGCAGCATATGCTTTAGGAGTGAATGATATCGATGAGGGAACATATATTTATTCATATTCTGATAGTGCTGATGCAACTGATGGTGAGCAGAATGAAAGCTCACAGTCAGAAGGTATTAATTGTATAACTTGATCGCGGGTAAAACTTGTCTGTCATTTATCACTGAACACTGCACTTCAACGTAGTGTATGTGAAGTTATGTACATCGTTAATTAATAGAGGATAAGGTTATTTTGTTTCTGCTTTACTTGCTCAGTTGTAAACTTATAATGTGGATTATCTAGCCATAAAGTTTATGGTATTTTTTCTTTTCTGCACAGGTTCCCGAAACAGATCACTGGCTACTGTTTCAAGCGGAAAGGACACTATTGCAAGTTTATTAGCTTCACTAATGGAAGCAGTGCGCACGACTGTTGCTTGCGAATGTGCTTATGTTCGAGCGATGGTGATAAAGGCCTTAATATGGATGCAGAACCCACATGAATCATTTGAGGAATTGGAAGCTATCATTGCCTGTGAACTCTCTGATCCAGCATGGCCCTCAGCTCTATTGAATGATATCTTACTTACGATGCATGCACGATTCAAGGTATCCCCCTGTCATGCAATTCTTTATAAAGAATGTAGATAGTTTACTTCAAATGCACACGTTATTTAAGGTATTTCCACAGTCATTAAAATTTCTTTACAGAACGCGAGGACTCAGGCCATTGAAAAGTCTTCTAACCTTCCTTGAAATGCATGCATTTTGTCCGCAATGTCCATACTAGGTTGGCTATCGGTTGTAGAGTTCTTGAAGTTTTATTGTGGACTGAAATAATCGTTTTATGGTTTGCTGATTATAATTCTTGAAGTTGCTTTTATGGTCATTTGTGGCACTATTTGAAATGCTTGTTATTAATTTGCTTTTTGTTTTTCAAATACCAGGCAACACCAGATATGGCGGTCACACTACTTGAAATTGCAAGAATTTTTGCAACTAAGGCTCCTGGAAAGATCGATGCAGATGTTTTACAGTTGCTGTGGAAGGTGGGTTCCTTTCTCTGCAAAGAGCCGTTTGCGTCAAAACAATTTGAAATTCTCCTTAACTCCTTGTTATTCCAGTGTTGCAATTTACGGAAATGATTTACTATGCTCAGAGTCTGGTCTTGATAACTATTTCCAATAAATCATAGGGGAAAAGATTAAAACTCTTGCAGGACCTTGTTAATTTCTATTTCTCTTGAAAGCATTTCGAACTGGTCTTGGGTTCATTGCCGAACCTCATTTGTGGTAGTTTATTAGAGGTGAATTTAAAATTGTATCAGATTTATGGCTTTTTTACTTGTAACTTGATGGGTTTTATTTGATTTCATTATCTGGAACTTCGTGTATAACTTTACATGATCAGGTAAATTACGTAATCTGATGTATTCATCTTGATTTCTTTTTCCTTCATTGTGGCATTATTGAGAGATTCAAATTGAGCGGTATTGATCTTTTTATCAGAGCCACTGAAGCTTCTCTTTGTAATTTTTTTGTCTGTCTCATTACTTGTTTTCACTTATCTGCAAACAAGAAATGGCAGTGTTGATATCTTGTATCCCTCATTGAGACGGCTTCATTAAGGGGTTAGCAAGCAGCTGGAAAAGAAATTATTGTCTCACTGATGATGGGAAATATTTATTTTTATCACGGCTTATTGGTTTCTCAAAGCAATCCACTTTCCATAACATTGCTTTGCCGCTAGCAAGTATCATGTGTTCTTGTATCTTTGAGTATCTCCACAAAAAGTTCATACCTCTATTGCTCTATTTGATACTCTGCAGACATGCCTTGTTGGAGCTGGACCCACGGGCAAGCACACCGCCTTGGAAGCAGTCACCATAGTTCTTGATTTACCTCCTCCTCAACCTGGATCAATGGGTGGAATAACATTGGTAGACAAGGTTTCTGCGGCTGATCCCAAATCAGCCCTGGCGTTACAGAGATTGGTGCAGGCGGCAGTAAGAATAATCCCTTTTTCTTGCTCAAGAATAATCATGATTTCAAAGGCCTTTTTCCCCGTCGGGAAAGATATTATTATTATGATTGCGTCTAACGGTCTTTTCAGGTTTGGTTTCTTGGCGAAAATGCAAACTATGCTGCATCCGAATATGCTTGGGAATCTGCAACCCCCCCTGGAACTGCATTAATGATGTTAGATGCAGATAAAATGGTAGCTGCAGCTAGTTCTCGGAACCCCACACTTGCTGGTGCGTTGACAAGACTTCAGAGGTGCGCTTTCAATGGAAGCTGGGAGGTTTGTATCTGACAAGCTCTTTTCCAATGCTAGTTCATATTATCCAGTGTGAAGTGATGTTGTTCATTTTTGAATTTTTATGATGTACACCGCAGGTGCGCATTATTGCTGCTCAAGCCCTTACAACAATAGCCATCAGATCAGGAGAGCCGTTTAGATTACAGATTTATGAGTTTCTCTATGCTCTAGCTCGAGGTGGAAATCAATCTCGATTTTCAGAAATTCAATTTAGCAATGGGGAAGACCAAGGTGCTAGTGGCACTGGCCTTGGATCCCTGATCAGCCCCATGCTTAGAGTTCTTGATGAGTTGTATAGAGCACAGGATGAACTGATAAAGTAAGAGATGGTATCATTTACTTCCTATTATGTTTCCTGGTTCCACAAAACAGCGCTTGTATAACTTCGCCTTTTTCGTATTCATCTGCAGAGATATAAGAACTCATGATAACGCTAAGCAAGAATGGACAGACGACGAGCTTAAACGACTATATGAGACCCATGAAAAGCTTCTAGACTATGTTTCCTTATTCTGCTACGTACCAAGAGCGAAGTATCTACCCTTGGGACCGATTAGGTGGGCATTTTGTTTTCTTATCGTACAGAATTAGAAGTTTCAATGTACAAATGATAATCTGGTTCGGTCTTACACTCTCAGAATCTTACTTGTTTCAGTTGTCCATTGCCGAGATATCTGAAATTGGTAAACGGTTCTATTGCAATCAGAGAGTCATGTCCGAAACTGGGAAATCCTGTCTTTATTAATGTCATCTAGAAGCTGTTGCCATTCTAGGGTCAATGATATGTTACATCTTGTTGGTGAAGTGCGTGATTACTTAGTGGAGAGTTGTCCCTATCTAGTTCTGCATTAATCCTCAATCATATCGCTGTTGATTCTTGACATGCATGGAAATCAAATCAATCATTTTCTTTGATCCGGCAAAGGAAGAAGTCTTTGCAAAAGATTGCAACGTAAAAATCTCCAAGGCATATTTTTCTTGAAGAGTTGGAAGTGGATAACAAAATGTCTATATACCAATTTTTATGCTCAAAGTTTGTCTTGTTTTCTTAGTCATCTCTCCCTGAACTTGCTCTGGAATGTTTGTTCCCTGTCGATTGATACATGAACTCTTTACGTCTGATGACGCTTTATATTGCTCACTAGAAGAAGGAAACCTAATTGTCGTACGTTTTTTTTTTTTTATCGTATTATCTCATTATTTTCGTATGTATACTCTCTAGTTAACACACGTGTTTCTCTTCAAAAAATAATCCTGTCATTTTCTTCTCTGTACTCTTTATTTAGTTTCCGTGTATCTTAATTCAGTAAGTTTAATGACAGAGATTGGATCAGAGTGCATTATTTTACTATGACTAGGTCTTTGTATGTTCTTCTGATTCCCTAAGTACTGGAATTTGATGTTCTTGTTAGGATTATCTACTCATTCTCGATATCTGCTTCCATCCCCGTTTTTTACTGCTTATGATGCTTTCCATTTTCCTGTTTGTTGATTCAGGCGATGATTCTGCCACACTCAGCTTCTTTTTTCATGTTTTGTTATCGGCAGTGCAAAGCTCATTGACGTGTACCGCACCCGGCATAATATCAGTGCCTCCAGTGGATTGAATGATCCAGCTGTGGCAACAGGAATATCTGATCTCGTGTATGAATTCAAAGAGCCATCCAAAAAGGAGTCTTATGCTATTGACCCCGATCTGGCAAACGCATGGGCTACAAACCTGGAGGACGATTTCTGGGGCAATAACGCGCCTGCTATGAGTAGAGTAAGCCATTTGCTCCTCTCGACCACTGAACGATTTGTGGACTTATTTGACCTGCTAGAGCTCATGCGAGGCGCTTTACTTGTGGAAAAAACGGAGGATTTAATGGCGTGATGCTAAGCAGATCACGTTTGTGAAAACCAACCAGAACCAGAAGCACTCCTTTCAATGAAACCTTCAGCTGTTTCAGCGGAGACCGTCAGATGTCTCACTGCATACGCCCCTTTTGTTGCAGGTAAATGAGTTCCTTGCCGGCGCTGGAACTGATGCTCCTGACGTGGAAGAGGAGAACATAGCTTCGCGACCCTCTGTTGGGTACGATGATCTGTGGGCCAAGACACTCTTACAGAACTACGAAGCAGAGGTAGTTTCATCTCATCGTCCTTGCAAATTCCGAGAACAATACCTTTATGATCCCTCTTCTGCGGCCCCATTTTTCAGGAGGACGATGGCAGGTCATCCGGAACCTCTTCTCCTGAGTCAACTGGCTCCGTCGAGACTTCCATATCGTCCCACTTTGGTGGCATGAGCTACCCATCGTTGTTCAGCTCGCGCCCCTCGGGCTATGGCGTTCCTCAGCAACCGGTACGGGACTCATAAACTTCGTGGGACAGCACTTCATATCATGGAGAAATCAATCGTGGGATGATCCTCTAACGAATCGAAAATTGACCAAACAGGAGAGCAAGCCGGCACCGGCCGCGAGCAGATACAGCAGGAGCACGTCTTTTGGTGGGCCGCCGTCGAGCTATGGGGAGGGCATCGCTCCACCGGTAGGGAATATTGATTTCTTGGTTTTTCTCCCCGCGTCTGGTTCCCGTTGATCTCACTCCCCGCGGTGTGTCCATCAGGTGAGAGAAGATCCCCCCCCGTCGTACAGCTCAACGGTGCAGAGATTTGGATCGTTTGAGAATCCATCAACCGGGCGGGGATCCCAGAGCTTTAGCTCACGAGACGATGAAGCGGAATCCGAGAAACCCCAGTTCGGGAAAGCCCTTTACGATTTCTCTGCCGGGGGCGACGACGAGGTCGGCCACTTCTACTCACCCACCCTCTTCTCGACCAATTATCAATCGCTCTCGCCATTTCCCTGCTGATGATGGATTCTCTCTCTCTCTCTCTCTTCCTTACCCCTTGTCACAACAGCTGAGCTTGGCCGCCGGAGAGGAGGTTGAAATCGAGTACGAGGTTGACGGATGGTTCTACGTGAGTGTTGTTCATGCGTGTGGCATTGCAGTGATTGATTCATCATCCCCTTGAGTCGATGTCCAAGAGCCGGAAACAGTAAGAAATAAACCTTCCATTTCGATTTCCATGTGCAGGTGAAGAAGAAGCGACCCGGGAGAGACGGGAAGCTCGCCGGACTGGTCCCCGTGCTCTACGTCAGTTCTTGAAGGAGCTCTGGAGGAAGGTGAATCATTTGCTCTGGCGGGTAGCGTTTATCTGTTTATTTATTTTCATTTTTTCTCGAAATTTGGGCGAGCCTCGAGTTCTGTTCTCCGCCGCCGCAGTTTTCCCGTGTATATGCCAGCCGCGCGTTCTTGTATTCTCCCCGCTTGATTCCGCTCTGGTTGTGCCGTAGGAAGCGGGCCGGCCCCTGCGCTGGCTGCTTCTGAGAATATTTTTTTTGCTTTGGATCTTTTTTCTTATATTTTTTATTTTTTACAATGGGAATATTTGGGTGGTGTCCATCTGGTCAGCAGCGACAAGGCTTGCATCTCTCAGGGAAGTCTGAGCTACGTGCTCGTTTCTCTCATATTGTGGCCACACGAATGAATGGACGAAGCCTCTCCATCTCTCTCTCTCTCTCTCAGCGTGTAACGTGGGATGGGAATCTCGTATTGGCATCGGGAAACCGTGTGATTAGACGGGGGAAAAAATACAGAATCAATCGTTGTATGAGGCAGGGGATATAATAGCACTGGAAAGCGAATCGATCCTCTTCTTTGTTCGATAAACGCGCAGAGGAAAGGGATGTTGGTCGGGTAAGATTGTTTCTTTTGGGCTCATAATCAAATTGATGAACAGGAAGAGATGCGGATGGAATTATAGCCAGGGAAGGCGATCTCGAGCAGTTTCCCCACTGGGAAGCCTGTTCAAAATCTGCGCGGGAGAGGGTTCTGACGGGGCGGATGTTGATGGGTTTTCTTATGGGCTGGCAAATGGTTGTGCAGGGAGATGGATGCAGATCTCTAGATATGACGGGCATCATTGACGGGAATAGCGGTTTGAAAGCATAGGCACAAATACTTCGGAACCACAGTATTTCCATCTTCATCGGTCACAGTGAACCAGGGTGGGCTGATCACTGGGGGCAAATCATCTCTGGCTAGCTTTGGAGAAAAATCAACTGTTAGAGAAATTCAGACCTGGTAAAAAGCACATAAAACAGATAATACCTTTTTTTTTCCCAAAAAACGAAAATTCTTTTACCTCGAAAATGGTCAGCTGGGATACCTGGATAAGACGAAAGAGAATGAAATCTTTCCTCTCCGTACACAAGGTGACCTCGAGATCAGAGATCGGTGTTCCTCGAGAAGGACGGCAGGGGGGCGTCTTCCCGGGGGCGGAGGACGACAATCATGCCGAACATGCCGAGCATGGGGAGCACGAGGAGCCACTTGAGGAGCTTGTAGTAGTTCATGTGGAAGGTGAGGGAGAACTCGTCGGAGAAAAAGAGCCCGTTCCTATCGACCATCTCCACTATCACAGTTCCCGTTGTTCTAACGGGCACTGTGGGCAACTTCACCCGCTGCTTTCCCGGCTTGTGGACCGTCTGGCTGCTGGTTATGCGCCTCTCTCCTTGATAATTTCCGGGAACCAAGAGAGTTGTCTGTTTTTTCATCACACGAGAAGGACCCAAAAAAGGAAAATGTAAATTAGATCCATCAAAAGCAAAAGCTGAGTAGAGGGCGGCGGCGGGGGGAGGGGGAGGTGCTTACTGTAACATTGTAAGGGCCGTGATGCCCTGAAGGGACTCTGTGATTGTCAATGATCTCCATTTCCACCCAAAAGTGTTTTCCTTCCTCGTCACGGAAAGCCCTAGAAGAGTGCGATATGTAAATCCCTTCACGATTCTGACGATTCGCAACATTATTTCTTCCCTGGCTCGAAGATCTCCAAGCCTGATAAAAGATAACAAAATAAAAATAAAAATAAAAATCTAGCTTCAGATCTAATTAATTAGGAGCTGCATGCATCTCTAGAGCATCTACTAAGGTAGAGACTGACTCGGTAAAGAAAGCATCAAAATCCTTAACCAGAACTTTGGCATTCATATCATTAATGATGGTTAGTTTTCAGAGAGAAAGGGAGAGGGAGCGTTTTGGATCAGCCTGTGACACCTCTTGCTGCATCTCGAAAGGCTCTCTAATAACAGCTCCCTAGTCCCAGTCAATAATTGGCGCTGACTGTTTCCCTTTTAAACAAAGCAAAAGCATAAAAGGTAGAAGTTTCGGTCAACTAACACCTACCTTCAACGGGTGATGCGGCAAGGGAGTCGAGAAACAGAACACGTTGCCATTCATGGTTGTCACAATGAGATCGAGGTCGTCTCCGCCATCGACATTATCTGCTAGGACCATGCTGTATCTGCGATACCGGAGATCAATGTTAGGATGGGAATGCGAATTAAGATTTATTTATTTATTTATTTAGAAAAAGGGTTGGATGAAGGAGGGCCTACGATGTCTCCCCGATGTCAACGACGTCAGCACATGCCGTCTTTCCATCGATGAGGTACAGATATCCATCAAATGATGTTGTGACGAGAGTTAAGCTCTTCTGCTTCTCCTTGGGGCTGTTTAAATCGAGCAGAAGAACTTGGTTCATCACCCTCCCAGAAGTGCGGTAGGGGAAAGGACGGACAAAAGATCCATCCATGCCACTAAGAACATATATATTGCCGGATATGGTCGGAACCACGATGTCAGTGCGGCCATCCCCATCAACATCGCCGATGGTTGGACCCTGAGAAGTAACAAGCATTCAGCCCCCTTTTCAGAAAGGAAAAAAAACTGAAATATAAACCATTTAGCAACAGATTAAATAATCAGCGCTGAAAACTAATTGTGATTTCATCAGCGAAAGAGCATACATCTAGCTCTTTAAACATAGACCGCTCAAAAAGATGCGGAAGCGTGGAGCTGCATGATTTCTTGCTGGATTTTCAGGGATTACCATATATAAACAGTATTTGTTATTTGACGAATGGACCAGTAACCTTGGCAGGTTATGACGGGGTGGGTTTCAGTTTCAACAGTAGAAATTTAAGAACTATCGCTGAAACCATTTGATTTATTCGGTGGCCCTCTCTCTTAAGACCACGTAAGGATGCAAAACAAAAGCAACATAAAAAACGTCCACTTGGAACTTGAATAATCAAATAAAATAAAATGGGTAGCAGGTCTGCATAAATATTTAGAAATGCTAGAGCTCAGAAAATAGTAAACAAGCTAAGTTGGAGACGAAACGCTTAAGTTCATATCCTCAGGTTACAAAACTCACGTAGAATGTCATGCAATGCACGTGGAACAACCAAGGCTTAGGCAGAAAAGTCACCAGATAGATTCTGCAATCTTTGCTTCGATAAACTATTTAAAAAGATACCAGGAAGGCGTTCCCTTCTTTTTTGCTGATGAAATCATCAAGGTTCAAGGGATACACTAAACAGAAATCCTACAAGCTTAATACCAAAAAAAATCAGTCAATTTACTCTATCCACCCAGACAAGATCACCATATTTTTTTCTCCTTAGTATGGAATGAATAACAGTTAATGCAAACATTCTCACATCAGATTCGACTTCGAAGTTTATAACACGTAAAATATGATGTACGGCTTCTAAACCTATGAACGAAATTAGTTGATCTGACTTGCGGATGTAAAGTTTTGCCATTAGAGTGATTTTATTTTGAAAATTTCAGCGAAATCATGAAAATGAAAAATTATATAAGAAACATCTCGAATTTCATAAAGAAAAAATATCATGTCAATGAAAACTATCTCCTTCCCATTTTCCAAGGACACTACAGTCTGAAAGAAGGCATTCCACCAGTTGGATCTACATGAGATCAACTAAAATTATATCAGAATTCTTTGTTTCCAACAATCCTATATCAAGTGAATGACATGATGCCAATTTCTTTAAGGTCGTCCACAGATCTTGCTACAGCCGTCGAAAAAGAGGGCATTTCAGTGTTCATTGATAAAAAGGTTCCAGATTTTACTAGGGGTCAAAGCCACCTCTAAAAATTGTCACCTCATGAAAAAGATATCGAAACGAACTGCATGGATGAAATCACACCTAGCCAACAAATATTTTTTTGTCTGTGCAATATGCCACATGTCATCCCAAATAATTGAGCATTCCGTCTGCTTGTCCTTAATTCTTCCAGTGTAGCGTTTCCTCTGGTGGATTAAGCACCCTCCATTAGAAAAAAACGAACAGAAGGAGACAGTATAGCAAGTCGTCACAGAAACCTAGCGGTCCTCCGCAAAACAATTGGACGATTGACCTCACAGGATTGTGACGATGCCTTGTGCTCTGTCATGTGATCTTTAAGGTAGCAGTCAGATGAACCACTACCAGAGTAGAATAAAAAGATTTACCACCATCTGATGATCATTATCCAGAATACTTTCCATCAATGAAATTAGTTTATTCCAGCCAACAGCAGCAACAACTGACCATATATGTTACTCTCCTTGTTCAACAATGATGCATCTGTCCTTCAAAGACATTATTACTCCGACAAAAAAGAAAAGAAGATCAATTGCAGTTTTGCTTTGATCTCACCATTAACAAGCGCTTATGAGCAATCTCGAAGTATTTTTCATGATGGAGGATGTAGAGTAACAGTATTGTAAATTTCCCTATTTATCTTCATCCTATAGCTTTCCTTAGCATCCAATATCCAACTCTGCCTTAAGGTTCACCATGTTCAAATCACCCAACCCTATTTTAGGTAGGCTTAATATGGTTACATCTGTTTGGCGGCGTCAAAGTTGCATGTGGAAACAGAAACTAACCATCATGCTGAGAAATCACCAAGAAAATGGTGTCTACACATGTACTTAGTGACTAGTATACACCTACTATGGAGAGTAACACCGTCGTTTGTTCAATAATAGAAATTAGGCATAAAGGATCTAGTTATCTCCTGACTAACGGAAATTTGGCATGAACTTCATGATAACTTTTATGTGTTGATAACTCTTGCCTGTGGAACAAGACTCTTCAGATGAACTTCCCAAATTTCCTTTCCTTGGGCAGTCCAAGCAGCAACATTTCCATGCACGTCAGCTGTCACTATTTCGATTTTACCATCATCGTTGATATCTGCTGCTACAACAGGTGCTTGAATCTCAGCCATTTCGAGAGGAAACTTTTCCCTGACATTACCTAAATGCAGGAAGCAATTCTGTTAAGAATCGTATTGGTTGATGCAGAACAATATGCTGTAGGAATAGTGTGTGAAAATAGAACTGCTAACAGTACAGTGATGAATAAAATCTTCAGCATGCTTTTTTACACTTTCTTCGTCCGTGCATGATACGAAAGTCCATAGTTTTTAAGGGAGAAACAAGGTGAGGAAGATGTAACGTTAATGCTTTCAACATAACCAACATTAACAACGTATGCTTAAGCCGCTGTAGTAAATGACAGCAAACACTACGCAAACCACCAAAATAATGACCCAAAATTTGCGGTGCAGATAAGGAAAAAGAAACCTCTTACTGTCATGGGACATTCGAAAACGAATCAGTGTGACAATGAACCTATGGGAAGTGTTTCATAACATGCAATTTAAACACATTATCAACTTAAAAATTTATTCTCAATGAATGCATGATCAAGCTCATTTTATTGTATCTATGATAGAGTCACTTGGCATGTATCTTCTCAAACATTCAGATTGAAATTCCATTCCAAGGACTATCTTATCAAGATAAACATTGGTTAGACACTGTCTTGATTGGCGTGTAACACATAATCAGTTTGATTTTTTATATATAGCATTTCCTTCAATTTAAAAATCATATGGTAACAACAAAGTACCAAGGAAAAAGATTCCATTTTTACAAGCTCCTGTAATACAAATCCACATCTCTATTCAAGTCCTTCCGCTTCACTTATATAACTATTTAAATATTTTTTAGCGATTTATAATTTTTCATAATATTGTAATCATTTCTCCAAAGTCAATCACTAAACGCATTCTCTATTCTACGACATCCCTTTTCTCAAATTTGAATGTTTTAATCGATTCTCAGTAGATCCAAAAGTGAATTAGCGGCAAATGAAAATCATTTTATTTAGCATCATCTCATTGCTCCAATCTTTCTAAATCACTTCGGGTCAGCGGGGCCTTCAAGCATCCGAAATACGCCTGCATTTCCTTATTATATTTGTGTACCTTTTTGGAGTCAATTTCTTCCTACTGTCCAATAAAGCAAATATTCCAGGCTACTCTAACCGAATAGTATAAGAAATTTAATAATATCCCCAAATACCTAACAGTATTACTCGGAACTTATTTACTACTTTCATCTATTTTTTGATGTTTTCCCTCTATGATGGGCCTCCAAATCACATCTCAATGATGGACGAAACCAACATATGCATCCCGTGCAAAGATTCTTTGTTGTTAGAAAGTCTACGACATCCTAAAATAGAATCGTCCACTCTTTCGTTAATATGATTCAATTTTTTCTATAAGCCAAATCTTAAATAAATTTACTTTGAAAATGAACTCGAGATTGACAAGTGTATCCACTCACCCCACCCAATCCGCAAACCTACTATTTAAGTTTTGAGTTATGCATTAGTCCGTTCCGCTTGGCAAATGACATGATTCATTTTTCCTCACTACCAGTTATTTATCCCCAATATCTGATCCTAAACCATCAGCAATAGTGTTCTAATCAGATTTTTACTTGATGCTCCAATGGGCACCATGTGCATTTCATTCTCTCCCTCTGAAGTGATCCTGGGGGGGTAGCATTCTAGAGATGCTAAGTGTTTTCGTCTTTGGTACGTGGGATCATGGTGGGTCGAGGATCGTTACTTTTGTACGGTGTAAAGGACATCAGTTTTTCTTCGTTTCTTCCCATATAAATGAGACCAGTCACGCAGTACTAACAAATTTAGTGCTGCAATCCCATATTTTCTTTCAATATACACATATATATATATATCTATATATATATATATATGTATATGTACGCATGTAGAATAAAGACAGAATTCTGAGCACTTCTATTTCCCTACAGGCATGAAACATCTGTTCCATCTTTTACAAGACGGACAGTAAAAAATATTTCCGATAATTTTAGAACCTGGAGAGGGTCAATCTGAGTAGAGTATGTCCAAACATTAAAATTACCCGGACATGTGCCAAAACTATATTGAGCGTAACGTAAAATGACCTCTCAGCCCCAAAAAACATAAATGACAAAATAGAACATGACTTTTGATATAGAGATACTGTTAAGAACGGGTCAGGATAAGTAAGGCAATAATATCAGGGCAATCAGATCGTTCGCAGAAAACAGTTCTCACTGCAAGTAACCCACAAAAAAAGAGTAAATTACAAGAGTTCACCACAAACATGCACAACAGTTAGGCCTACAGCATTCCAAATAAAAAGGAATCTAACTGTGGAAGAGAGACAGTGACAAGGTAGAGAAGTTACCACGATGATCTAAAACGTAACAAAGCCCAAAGGAAGTTCCAACAATGATGTCCAAATTTCCATCACGATCCAAATCAACCACAGTCGGGGAAGAATACATGTATGCACGGAAAGTCCCAGTATCAATACTGAGGTCAAGCTCCCTTGTCCATTTAACTTGCTTTGTATCGAGATTGAACACGACAATAGAACCTGCAACATATTTATCAATGCTTATGCCTCCCAGTTCTGCTAGACGATCTGCGTTGTCGTAGTACCTGACAATTTGGCAGTAACCAATCATTTTGATACTCCAATTGTAGGTCAAGGTAAAGTCCATTACATACCAATTTAGAGACCACCTATACTTAAAGCTGCAAATAAGTGTAGGCATCCACTTCTGCAGCTGAGAAACTCTAAAGGGCATATTCAAGTGAAGAGAGGAGATGGGGCTTGTATCCATTTGGGGATTGATAATATTATCTAATCTTATAGAAACTGAGAGACATTTTTTTCTTCATATCCATGAAGTTGGGAGATGCATATTGGAGGCTAATGAATAAATTAATTCCTCATGGAAGGACTGGCAAAGATCTGAAGCAACAAATAATGAAAGAAGGAAAATGATAATTATACTTACAAACAATACTATTGAGGACGCAAATAATAAATAATCGTGGTCGGAATAAAAAGCTAAATCTCAGTGAATTGAGAGAACAATGAATCGTTATCCAGGGTGACTTTCAATCATTGATGCAACTCCAGACTAAATTCTCCTCTGCTCTCACCAATCATTTTCATGCCAAATAGCCCCTTTTCCCCCAAAAAATAAAGGCCTGCACAGGACTCGGACTCACCTTCCGGACTTGAAAAATATGACCAAAAAGAAAATTGGGCCAATCACATCGAATACCCTTAACCAGGATTAGAAGACAAAAAAAAGTACTTTCCTCGCCTAAATATATAAAGAAAACCTTCCTTTAACAAAACAAGGTATAAAATTCCCTGGGGAAAGTAAAAATGTTCATAATTGTCAACTGTATTACGCTAAAATATTAGCCCTTTTTCATGAAATTTTTTATTGTAACAACTTGGTTTTAAAAAATTTCAGATTTTAGAATAGCTAGCAACAACAGTGAAACAGACACCAACATGACTCTACATAGATCAACATTATCCTGATATAATACTCGGAACAAATAAAAGTAAATGGCTGCATACTCGCGGTCGAAGAAGTAGGAAACAGCAACAATCATCTCCGATATACCATCATTATCAATATCTGCTATTACCTGAGGAAAACAGAAAAAGAGCTAAGCCAATGAATCCATCCTCACTAAATGTGCGCTTATCAGCAGATGTTCATGTGCATAAATATGAATTATTAGGCATTAGTCATGAATGTGCACCTGAATACAGCAAAATACATTAAACATTTACCGGTGTACACAAGATGTGTGCATCAACGTCCACGTAATCCTCCATCTTCTGATGTGTTCCTTCTGCCCAACCCTCATCACCCCACATGGACTCGTCTACATAGTCATCGTAGTCATAATTGTATTCATCAGCCAGCTCTTCCCCACCACGTAATAAATCAAAAGATGCATCAGCATCTTCCGCCAAGGATTCATTGTTCTCAACAGTTGAGGCCTTTCCCATAGAGCCTTCAATATCTGTTTCTGATTTATGGCCCTCATCCTGTGGCCCCTTTGGATGACTATCTTGAAGGAGCTTTCTTTGGGTGTTTGTTGAATTCGTGCCATTGATACCTCCAACTGACTCAACACGCAAAGTTTCATTGCGCAGGCTAGCTGAGTCTTTGATAGTTTCTCCCGACCTAGGAGAAGTGAGTTTTCCTTCTGGTTCCATCTTAGATCCATTAACCCCATGTGTTCCCAGGATTTCAGATGAAAGAGATGCATTAACTCCTATTTTGCTGCTGTTCATTGCTGCGAGGGAACAAATTAACTACATCAGAACGCCCAAATCATGAACACCAATAAAAAATGGAATTCTCAGATTGCGCTTTCGTTCTCTACATATATCACATTATTAAAATAAGGATGAATTTGAAATACAATAGAGCACTCTCGTTGGATAGTGAGATCAAATGACGACACAGTAAAATAAAAGGGAAGAAGAGAGAAGAAGATGAAGATACCATGTATATCTAGTGCTGCATCTCCATGTTTCTAAACAAGATCATTCTCATCCAAAAGTCCTATTATACCACGCTGTGTTTTATTTATCCATCCAAAAATATACTCATTTTTATTTACTTAAAGGGAAGCCAATTATTACACAATAGAAAGACAGAGAAAGTATAACATTTAGAATGAAACCATGAGACGATGAAAAATATTGTACTAACAAGGAAATAGAACATAATCCTGAAGTATGAAACAAAACACTAAGATAAACATTAATCTCATGATAGCAGTCAATGAATTGATGGCAAATTCCTGATGCTCTCGGATTCCACTATTATGGAGACGATAGGAATTGGCAACAAAGAATAATGTGCATGAAACCATATAGAATGGTTTGAAACAGACAAAGAACACCTCTAAAAAGTTGGAAATCGTCTACATTAATGTTCGAAAAGATGTAGATACTAAATTATATTAGATAAAACTTGATAGATGAAATAAAATTAAGGCTATAGAAGGGATGCAAGGGATGAGCAATTTGATTTGATTTTTCGTTAATGAGATTATTCCCACTTAATAAAAAGAGTTCTCTCACGTAGTAAGCTTCGGATTAACATGTGGTTCCATGTGTCTCACAATACAGAAAGCGTCATACAGATGAACCTGTGTTAAAAACACCAATGATATCCTAGCTACGATTACTAATGGATGGGGAAATTGAGCACTAGTCTTCGAACCAGACAACTGAAAAGTAGCAAAGCTTATATGGGGAATCAAAATTTCCAAAAAGTCGGAACAGAAATCCTTTTAACATTGTTGGTTTTGCCTGATTTTATTCCCTTCTATAAAAGAATAGGGATAAGCGCTATTAATGAATATGATAATAATGTAAGCAGGTAGAAGGTCAGAATGAAACGCCCTTTAAAGCCACGTAGGTGAGTATTGAGTAGATGCATGTATCCACCAGTGAATCACCTCGAAAAATGCACATCCGATAAATGCACACCGTTAACATATGCATCACCTGCAAAAATGATAATTGAACGCAAAAGCAAGATTCCGAGACAAGTTTACTGACTTGGGTACGAGACCTTCTCAATTCATTCTAAAAGTGTTATCTTAACCAATCGACATCAAACTAGATTAAAGATAAAATGCTGACAGCTTCAACTCAAAGGTTATGGGCATGAAACATTAATAAGTTAATGAAAAAAACTCCGAAAATTAAAATGCATGATTTTTGGTTATAAAACCAAAACGATCACCTATGGCTGAATGAATATGTCACAAAATTGAGATCATCCCTGTGAATGCTTATTCCTCAAAATGTACCCACGTCATATTTCTAATATTTTTCCATGTCAGACATAGGCCAACATCAACAATTGACAGCCATATCAGCGTCCAAAGACCTCTGGGGTCATTCAAGCACATGACTGAAGTTTTCATATCTAACTTGTAAATTAAACTGAAGAAGTAACTGCTTGCGAAATAAATAGCTCATACCAGCACCCTCCTGACTGAGAGATGGATCATGAATGTCGGGGTGAGAACGATCGACGGGGTCTGGATGCAAACCAACATACCAGTTCTTTGGTATTTTCCTTCGAGGAACCTCTAACTTATCAATCATCATATATCCTGTGGGCCTGTAATAAAAAAGTAAACTAGTTGGATACGAATTCGTTAAACAATGACAATCAAGTCAGTGATTACCTGAAGAAATTGATGACACCATTGTAGGTAGCCAGAGCTATCTCCCGTGTCCCATCCTTGTCAATGTCATACAGGAGAGGGCTGGAATGTACAGTTGACTGATGGAAGGAAGGCCAGCCTGTGCAAAGGCACCATCCGATATCAAATGACAAACAACAGGCAAACAAAAAGTGACGACTGATAATGCACAGGATAGAAGAATCGGTTGTACTTGAACCCAAGTTCAACAAGTACCTCCATGTGATCATTTGCCAATATCAACCCCACATCCCTTCCTGGGATAATACTAGAGGATCGAAACTCTTACCTGCCAATTTATCTCCGTCAGACCCTTCCAAAGCCTCCAAGTAATGAACAAATGACGGAACCACCACCTCTAGCTTTCCATCACTGCAGCCAAAGGATAAAAAGCTGTTGTATCAGTAAATCCGAATATTAATAAAATTAAATTTTATCAGATAGAAACTCCCTCACAGATGAATTAACTAACCATATTCAAGATGAAACGACTTTAGGGAAATTATTTGTAAATATACAAGAAATTATGACGGTCGGCATTAAAAAAACATTTGAGTATTAACTTTCAGTATGAAAGGATACATCAGAACCTAAGGTTTTATGATTAAAAGGACCGATACAGAACTCATTAGATACAATATTTGATGAAAAGAAGATTTGAACGATCATTATATTCACTTCAATCAAAAGGTGCTCCAAATGGACTATCCCCGGTCACAATGCTTTAAAATTGAAGTAGATGGGGATGCATTCTGGGATGTGGTCAATGTGACTAAAAATGCTCAGCTAAAGTGGAAAATGTCAACTAGAGTAGCCTGCGATCATCTCTCATTACAACGCGATTTGATGGTGTTGCCCTCGGAAAATATCTCCGATCACTCAGTATAACGATAAACATAACCTGTTAATATCAGCAACCAGAGGTGTGGCATATACGCTGGAGCTGACTTCCGTCTGCCACCTCAGTTCCACATGTCTTGGGCATTTTGAATTCAGCAACGAATCCTCGTCTCTACAGCAAGTGAGAGGGAGAAAATTTCTAATATAAATATCCACTTCATGAATATAAATAAATTTACATGCGCAAGAGAACAAAACAACTGGAATAAGTGACCGAGAAGCCACCACTTGCAATCAAATCATAGTAGCACAGGTAGTACAGCACTTTTTCTGTCTGCAAGAGAACGTTCGAAACCAAAAAACTGGAGCAATGGAGCTCCATTGAAGCGATTCAATACACCCAGCCCCACAGCCTAGTAACCCACTGTGCGGGTCGCATTGGGAGGTGCTTCATTTTGCAAAATGCGACTGTTGAAAGTCTAGCGGTTCTATATTTTTGCTCTTCTGTTGATCCGGGGAAGGGTAGATGGTTTGGGGGTATCGAAGAAAGAATTAAGAGCATGCCAAGTAGCACCGGATAAGGTAGATCTTACATATTGGGATAACCGAGCAAATCGTCGCTGGCCTCGCGTTGCCGGAATTTGTTCTCCTTCCCATCTTGCTTCGAATCGGTGGCGCCATGAAGACCCCCCCACGAGGCAGATGCAAGGACCAGTAGCAAGAGAACCTCCACGGCGGAGGGCCTCATCCGGGGGCACTCCCTCCGATGCACCCGGCGAGAGTGTGGAAACTAGAAAAGAAAAGGAAAAAAAAGAAGAAGAAAACTGGCTAGGGTTTTTCCAATGCACTCATCGATCTCTGCGGCGAGGACCGTCTGGGAGGAGGAACGCGCGACGACGACGACGACGAAGACAACGAAGACGATTTTCCAACTCTACCCCTCCAGCTGACGAGCGCTGTTCTTCATCCCGGTGGAAGCCACGTGGGCGGAAACACGTCACCCTGAACGGGGCCCGAGCCACGTCGGCTTGGTTTACCCGAAATCAGAAACCAGTTACCACCCCCACAAAATAAATTTATTTTCGCACTCTTCGACCATAATTTTTTATTTTTCGTTCCAAAAGTATCTCCGAATTCCAAATTCTTTAACAAAACACCCTAACTTGAAACATATTATACATATATCCCTATCTCTCTCCTCTCTCACTCCCGCTAACCAAGACAAACAGAGACCCGATATAAAAAATTTATTGCGATAATTCCACTTAGCCAATGAGGAGCCGGGTGAGTAATTAGAAATGAATTACTTTAATGCCCAATGAGAAGCCAAAGTGACGAGAAGAGATACATATCTTTAAAATATAGTATGACGATGGCAAAACTATGACGCATTTGCATTTTATACATTTATATTAAATAAATCATATGCGATGCTTAGATAATATATTTATTATATCACGTCCGTAAATAATTTATGGGAAAATCGGATAATTTAGAGGGTCGTCGTCCTCGTCCTTGTCAACGTTTGACCGTTCTGAGAGCCAGGACGCAGGTTAAAACTAAGAGATGGTGCTAAATATTGAATCAAAGAAGAGAAGAGGGCTATTGGGAAAAAAGACCCACAGAGAGCACAAATATCAGAAAAACCTTCATAAACGGCCATTATGTCAGACCATTGTTCCCGACACAGACAGGGGAAGAGAGAGAGGAAAGAGAGAGAGAGAAGAAAGAGAGGAAAGCACGGTGCTAATCACGCCCGTCCAATCGATGGCTTACAGGTTAGAAGACGAAGGGTATGATGGACTTTCTGGACGGCGGGTAGCGGTGGCCGAAGTTCTGCAGATACCAGCGGCGGTGAGAGGAGGCCCGGGGGAAGAGGTTGGCGCAGGTGTAGAGGAAGAAGGCCAGCGCCGCCGGCGTGGAGGCCGCCACAGCCCAGCCCAGCCACTCCGCCGCCTCCCCCATGTAGTTGGGGCAGGCCACGAGCTCAAACCATCCGCCCTCCGGCACCTTGTAGCCGCCGCCCGCAGTATTCTTCAGCCTCAGCAGGGCCAGATCCGACGAGACGTTCACCGCCATCCCCCACAGGAACACGGCTAGCCCCGCCGCCACCCGTGCCCATATCCACCAGCCGACGTCTCCGGCCGGCGGATAGTGCGCGTAGTGGGTGACCGAGCGGGTCTGGGCGTAGGCGTTGAGAAGGTTGAAGCAGAAGCCGACGGCAGCGACGGATAGGGGGAAGCCCGCCTTGGTGCCGCTGCGCAGGAGGCGGATGGGGTAGACGACGGTGCGGTTGAGATAGTGCAGGAGGAAGGGGGAGATGATGGCGAGAGCTAGCGGATGGGAGAGATGGCGACCGTGGGGGAGGAGGAGGAGGGTCAGCCAGATGGTGGGGCTCTCTATGAGGAACCAGGCAGCGGCGGGCGGGAGCGGGGGACCCCAGCCGGGGCGGGCATGGCGGCCGTAGGGGACTGTGCAGAACTGGAGGTAAAGGAAGATTAGAGGGCAGGTAACGTAGAGGATGCCCACGGCAGCGGAGAATACGGACTCGTCGGACGGCATCCTCTGTACACTCGGAGAGGGGGAGATCTATCTCTATAGGGCGGCTGATAAAAAGCGACCGCCTTTCTCCCTGTCGGCCTCTTATAATCTCGTTTACCTTCCACTCGCCCTCGTTCCCCTCTTTCATGTTCACTCACGATCCGGTTCTTTTCCTCTTCTGACCGTGTGAGCTTCCTTTACGGCGGGGATGTGATTGCCCGGCGAGTATCTTTCTCCAAGGGCCGGCCAAAATTCTAAATCCCGAGATTAGGAGGAGAAGAAGCAGATGAAGACGGCAGTCGCAGAAACGGAGCTTGTCGAGTATTACTGAGAGAGTCAGAGCTCTAGGCCAGCGGCACAATTAGATCGCCGGAGGGGCAGACTTTCCGTCGAAGGGGTTTGAGGGCGTAGACGTTCCGCCGCAGGTGCAGACGTTCTGGTCGGAGAGGAATCTGGACAAGAAGAATCATCCTCAGGGCTCCGGGGGGACGAGGAAGACCCTGGCCCGGACGACGGAGCCGTCGGCGAGCTTGAACCCCGGGGCGACGGGGAACCCCACCAACCAGCCGGCGGCGACCCGGCTCCCGCGAAAGCGGACGACGCTCTCCATGAAAGAGGAGTGGAACTCGGCGCCCTGGCTCGCTTCGAAGTGGCTGGGCGGCGGGTCGAGGGCAAATGCCAGGAGATGTAGCAGCCACACCGCCTTGGCCAGCCGCAGGAACTCGCCGTAGAAGACGGTGCGAGGGTGGCCGCCGGCTTCCACCTGCCGCCGCTGCTCCTGCCCCCCGAACAGCGACTCTTCCATCTTCGGGTGCACCATCGCCAGGTACTTCCTGGCGGCAAACCGCCCGAACTGGCAGTCGGGTAGCACGCCGAGGAGCTCCGAGGGGTCCATGCCGCGCATGTCGCGGTACTGGGCGTAGCAGTCCTGTCGGTGCTGATCGGGGTTGAGGAGGGAGGAGAGGGTGCCCTCCAGGTAGAACGTCTCGTTCTCGAAGCCATGGAAGAGCTTCCGGTTGACGTAGGACTCCATGGCGTGCTTCGCCTGCTCGGGACCGACGTCGGGGAAGGGGGATCGGGGGCCGCTGTTGCCGACGGTGGAGGCTTCGACGATGGAGCGGACGGCGGCGGCGATGTCCCAGCGGGCGGCGCGCATGTGCGAAAGGAAGTGTGAGGTGAACGACTTTGACGCCTCCCTGACCTCCTCCATGCAAGCACGGAAAAGCTCCGGGGTGGGCTTACCCACCTGCAGAGGAGCTGTGTCCGGCGTAAAGAAGTTCAGCAGAGTCAATTCCAGCCGCCGACGGGGGGGAAGGGGGAAGAGGTGATGGCGAAGAAAGTTTTCTCACCGAGGGCGCTGCTGCAGCGGATCCTACTGCCGGAGCGATGGAATCTTCCCTTCCTCCCCGAGTCGAATCGCGCCGAAGAGGACCGCGGCGGCGCCGCCGTGAAGCCGCGGAGCCTCTCCTTGAGGTTCTCCACCTCCGCTTCCTTCACCTTGAGATCCCTCCTCAGATCCTCCAACGCCGCCTCGTACGGCACCACCGCTTCCCGAAGAGGCGGCGGCGCCGTCAGGGCCCACAACCTCCCTTCCTCCCCGCCGCTCCAGCCCCTCCTGAACCGGTCGCGGAGCCTCCCCAGCCGTTTCAGCTCCGCCACCACCGCCGCGTCGGAGATGCTCATCCTCTCAGGGTCCCACGGGGAATGGGCCTCCTGCAGACCCACGTAGGCCCTCTTCAGGCCCGCCACCGCCTGGAACACCTCCTCCATCAGCGCCTCCGCCTCCCTCACCCTCGCAATCTGTTGATCGCCGCCTCCACTCGCCGTGCCTTCCTCCAGTTTACGCGAGCTCCGTCTCGCTTCGGCTTGGTCCTCTTCCTCTACTTCTTCCTCTACCTCGCTCTCCTCCGTGTCGTTCCCTGCTTCAGAGCTGTCGTCGTCACCATGGCCATGGGTGAGCGGGTTGTTCAGGCAAGGACAGGCCACCCGGTGAATGAGATCCGATAGAGTGGAAACTCTCGCCGCCATCCTTCGTCTTCTCCGCCTCGCCTGACCGGAGAGAACCGACTGTAGAGAGAGAGAGAGACCTCGATCTGGTTGGTGAGAAGCACGCGACTCGTTGAGGAACACGGCTGGGGGGGGGGGTGAACGCTCTGGAGGGGTAGGATCTGACGGTGAGAGTTGCTTTAACATCACTCGAGTGAGCGGATTCGATTTACTCATAAAGTGAGACGTCTGTTCGTTCTGACAGGAGTTTAATTATTTTTTCTGGGGACAGGTGAAGGACAACGTGACGGGCATAAGCTGATCCTCGGGATCGCGTTGAATTATTTTTGCCCTCGCTATGGCCGGGAGTATCCAACGGTGCCCGTGGATCTTCTTCGGTGTTCCGGAGGAGAACGCTAAGATAACGATGCTCCGCGCCCAGAAACGTCGGGGTCTCGGGAGGACGGTACCTCATGAGAGGGTAACTCATTAAGATCGGGTCTGAGTTGCATGATGGGCCAGCCGTCAAGCCCATAAAGATGTCAGAAAAGATTAGCCCAATAACCCATTAACAATGTGGGACCAACGTAGCCCAATAAGAACGTATGAGAGGGGATGAGGTTACTCGGCGCCGTAATGGACAGGGATCTGGAGGGACAACCTCTCTCAGGAGAACGCTGCATTGAATCATCCCTCTCTCTCTCTCTCTCTTTCTCTCTCCTCTCTCTACCCCTTTTTGGGAGGCGTGAGCGTGTTCTGTGAGGCACAATGACGAGCATTTTGGACATGCCTTCCTGCGATGGACGATGGATCAATCGCAATTCAAGGTTTCATTTACGGTTTTACCCCGACGGGTGCTTGATTTTTGGGTGAGGGTGGGGAGAGGATAAGGGAGGCTTCTACTTCCCAGCGGTGGCTTCTCGGTTTGTTCTCTTCCGGGTCATGGACTTGCTTCGGCGTAGGCGACCTTCGAACGGTGGGAAACCCTAAACCCTATGTTGCATGTATTTCTGCGAATGGGTTGTGGTGCGGCGCCGTGCTCTTCTCACGCTCTTCGTCCTCTTACTTTCAGATGCTATTCTGCGGGAGCTGAGGGAAGGGAGCGCTCGGTTCGAACTCGCGCAGCCTCCCACGGCGTGTTCGTTCTCCTCTGCGGGTGCTCCTCGCTCGGGGTTCTTCGCCAGAATTGGCTCACCCCTGTGAGTTCATCTCCTCAGTCTAAAGGACCTGGTTCACGTTCTATTTATTTTGAGACTGCGTCGTGAATACTATGCGGCGGAGTTTCGATCGTAGTAGAGTTACAACGTAGACCTCTCTTGTTTCCGGTTCAACGAATCGAAGCTCCCCGGCTATGAAAAAGCTGGAGCACTACTCCGTCGTGAAGGTGACGGGTGACGGGCGTTGCATGTTTCGTGCCCTGGTGAGCCTCCGCATCAGTTCATCCGCTGTAAAAGAAGACCGATTGCATTGACCCCAATCTGGTGGCTTCCTTCCTCCCTCTTTCTCGCCCCCATCGATCTCATCGGTCAAAGCATGAACATTCCTTATTTTGTTGCTGTGTTATTTCTACTCGATCTAAAGACGGAATGGGGCCTGCAGGTAAAGGGAATGGCCATGAACAAGGGTCTGAAACTCAATCCACAGCAAGAGGAAAACGACGCAGGTACATACTTCATCTCATCTTCTTGGTGGTTCAACTTCACCCTTTATCTGGTTACAGATTTAATAATGCAAGACTGATTGATGGGTCCCATTTGATTCAGCAGATAAAATTCTTGATCATATGCGTATCAGACCATCCAGCTCCTAACCAATGTCCCTGTCTATAAAATCTCAAGATTGTATATGTATGTTCTTTCTAATTTGGTCCCTTTTTTAGCACTCCTCCTTGTATGCTGGCAAGCTCCGGATGAAATGGGTATGCTGTTCAGGGGTAGGATTTGCTCTCATAACGCGTTGATTGAATGGGTCGGCCATAGGCAAATCAATTGGAAACGAGAGAAGTAGACCCATGCATCGAGCCATGAAGTTCTGCTTACTCTCTCTCTCTCTCTCTCTCTCTCTCTCTCGCTGTAGATCTACCATGGGTGTTTGGGATTCCATGCTTTTCTCTCTCCTTGATTTCGCAGTTTATTTCCTGAGCCCTTGGCTTCTCTCCCTTATGGCATGCATACGCAGATGAGCTGCGGATGGCAGTCAAAGAGGTTATCTGTGAGAGTGGAAGTGGGCGACTTCAGTACGAGGAGGCACTGGTTGCAATTACCTCTGAGAATTCACTGCAAAGGCGAGCATTTTCGCCCCAAACCGATCGATCGCACCCACTTGTGACATTTTTTTTTCTTTTTTGGGGGTGAAATTGATTTCATCTGCATCTTTTTAGGTACTGCAAGCTCATTGGAAGGGCTGATTTCTGGGGTGGGGAGGCAGAGCTCCTGGTAAGGCCTCAGATGATCATCTCATCCCTTTTCTAACTCCATTTTCGGGGATTTTTCTCCAAAATTGGTGATTCCGTTTCTGACCCGAAAACCCAATCCATAGGTTCTGTCGAAACTATGTCGCCAGCCAGTCATCGTCTACATACCGGAGCATGAGGTGGCCTTTCTTTCTTCGCTGAGAGTCCTCTGCTAATAATACCTTGTATTTTTCAATAATATCTTGAATTTATTTATTTATTTATTTTGGTGGTCTATTGATGACAGCACGCAGGCGGTGCGCGGGGCCACGGTTATATCCCGATTGCTGAGTATGGGGCGGAGTTCAGGAGGGGGTCGTCGAAGAGGAAACCCAGGGGGCCGGTAAGGCTGCTGTACAGCGGGAGAAACCATTATGACTTGCTGGTTTGACTTCCCTAGGGTTCTGCGGAAGTTCTTCCGTTGACTCCCAGCATGGTCGTCTATTTTCCGTTGGCGGCGTGAATGGTAAAATGGGAAGTAGTTGAAAACACTGGGAGTCAATGGGCCTTGTCGCCTCTTACCGGGCCCGGGCCCTGATAGAAGGCCCTGGTCTGGCCTGCTTTTGTCTGTATCCACGCGCTCGTAGAGAGAGAGTAAGATTTAGCGTTATCCCACTACGGACATAATTACAAGCTCCGAAATGCAATTATGTAAAGGTATCCACCTGTAAGCAATAAACAATTATAAGCGAGGGGAGATGAGAAATTGTTGTGTAGGCCACCACTACCCGAGGGTCCACAGAAAAAGAGGGCTTTTGAGCAAATTCTTCCGGAATGAAGCGGCTCGGCTACATAGGTTTGGGTCGGTCGGGTCGCAAAGGGGGAGGAAGTGCTTCTGCGCGGGTGTTCCTTTTCCTTCTGCTGATGGTCTAGGGTTTCTCGTCGGTGATGGAGGGGGGATCGCAGAGCAACGGCGGGCTGCTGTACCACGAGGTGCAGGAGTCGAAGCTCTGCGCCGTCCACTGCGTCAACACTGTTCTACAGGGCCCCTTCTTCTCCGAGTTAGATCTCGCCGCGTTGGCTTCTGATCTTGATCGAGGGGAGAGACAGATGATGATGATGGAGACCGACGCGAGCCAGGTCGGGGGTGTCGGTGGCTTCCTCTCCGAGGACTCCTACAATGTTTCCGTGGACGGCGACTTCAGCATCCAGGTTGGGGCTCTTGTCTCACTTTTCAGTGTTAATTTTTTCCGCAGTGCTCGTTGATTTGATGTTCTTTTTGTGGCATTGAAAATTTGGTAACTGATATGTTCTCTGAGTTTTCCCGACGATGAGAAGTAAGGCGAATTCTGGAATTTTTCTTTTTTTTTTGGGGTTCCTATTAGATTTTTACTTTTGTTTGATTAGGATTTTCCGTGGGGAACAACTAATGGGCATGTGCAGTAAAATGCAATCGTTGAATACTTTGTTTTTTCGAATTCACTTCATGCGTTTTTCACGAATATCATCCGAAGAACTCCAGGGAACAATCTTGTCCATCCTACCGTTGATTGATCACAGGTTTTCGTTTATTCAAGACAATTAACGCTGAAATAACGCCGTGGAACGTTGGTTTGTGGTGCTTACTTTAATTGTAAGATATTTGTCCGCAATATTGCTTTGGGAGTGACATTCTTGGCAACTCAAAACCATTGGGATAGAACTCAACAATATTTTATGATTATTATTTTCATTTGCAGATTAGATGACTGAAATCTTAGAAGCTCAAAGTAAAGTTGGGGTTGTATCCATTGATTCCATAATGAGAGAACAGATGATGACTTGACCATTTCAAGCATGGATCAAAGTGTTTTGCAACAGAATATGCACACATTCATTTTCACAAGATTTTCTCCTTACTTCTATCTAAAGTCTCTTAGTCCACAAAATCATGCCTTGGGAAAAAAAAGAAGAAAAGGAAAGGACCCAACCCAACCAGGCCTTGTCCATATCCAGACCGGCTCTTGGCTTCTCTTGGTATGAACCCAAAGCCTGCAGTCAAGGCTTTCGGCCCATCTCTCCTTTTCCTGCCACTTCCTCTCAAGTTCAAAGATGTTGAGTCCTGAGAGAACAATGCAGTGAGGACTCTGGTTCCAGACCCAAAAGCTGCTTTCATCCCAGTTTTAAGATATTAATTTTTCAGAGAAACATGTGTTAAAGCACGATTCTGGTTCTGGACCAGGAAGCTCTTGGGACCTTCTCCGTCATTGTCTTATTCTAATATGTCAATATCACAAATAACCCCCCCCCCCTCGACACACGTACCCTTTTCAATTTATTGTTTAAAACTGCTTCTTTCTTATCGCTATGCTCTAATTTTTTTTCTAGTTATTAAGATTTGCCTTAAAAATAAATCGAAATTCATGCTTTCTGATATGCAGTAAGCAGCAGTCCGATTCATATGGGCTTCATTGATGCTGACAGCCTATCGTTGCAGGTGTTACAGAAGGCTCTAGAGGTGTGGGATCTTCATGTTATCCCCCTTGACTCGCCGGTTGCAGAGCCAACCAAACACGACCCTGAGAGAGAGAATGGGTACATCTGCCACCTGCAGAATCATTGGTTTTGCATCCGGAAGGTGAATGGGGAATGGTACAACTTCAACAGTCTCTATGCGGCCCCGGAGCATCTCACCAAGTTTTACCTCTCGGCATATCTAGACTCTCTAATGAGCTCCGGCTGGACCATATTCGTGGTCAGGGGCAACTTCCCCGGGGAGTGTCCGATCCCACCCTCTGATTCATCGAATGGGTTCGGGCAGTGGCTCACACCTGAGGATGCCGAGAGGATAACAAAGTCATGCAATCAGAAGCGAGTCACTGAACAGAGAGCTGATGCGGGTGATGCTGACGAGATTTCCCAGGAAGAGGAGGCCGACCTCAATGCCGCTATACAGGCCAGCTTGATGGATGCCTCTGCATTTGCTGCCGATGGCTGCCAGACCACTGGTGAACCCCTGCACAGCGGCTCGCAAGCAGATGATACTGCGGGCTCCAGCAGCGGCGGTGGCGGTGGGTCCATGCTGGCCAGTTCTGAGAGGATGCTGAAGCCTTGTAGCCAAAAGGAGGATGCTACCTTTGGAGGCGATGCGCCAGCGCCCTCCATCGATGTTGAAGGTGGGATCTCAGATGAGGAGGAGGCAAAGCTCCTGAGTGCAGCGATCGAGGCCAGCTTGGCGGACGCCTCGGAGTTTGCCGCTGGGTTTACGGAGCAGGACGACAGCAGGTACCATGGAGTCCACCGCAGTTGATGAAGAAATTCCCAGGGAGAATATATGGCTGGCCATTATGAGACCTCTTCATGGCGCATTCAAGATCAAGATAATGCAGCGGCTCATACCCCTGCATGCGCTATTATTCCATTTTCTACCACTTATTTTTTACTTTGGACTGCTGGGACCAGCCAATGTGAGCTTATAGATCATAAAACTGTGTAAAAAAAAGACTAGTATGTCGTGGGATGGCGACTATTGATGAGAGCTTCTATGAGCGTCTGCCCGAGGATTTTGTGCACCCTCTCTTTTATTTGTTGTCGAAAGAGTTGTGGTGTAACCCTGAATCTTAAACCTTAAAACCCCAATCTTGATCCCAAAAGTTGATGTGCTCGTCATCTGCCAGTCTTCTACGGAACGAATTGATAAATCTGATTTTTGTTTAACAGCTCTGTCAGGGGATAAATCTTGCGGGGGAGGGAGGGGGGGTAAGAATAACCAATTATAGGACTTTGTCTCATAATCTCGCATTAGCAGAGATGCGATCAAGAAGAAGATTTCCGGGGAAGAGAATTAGCTCCGTAATCGCAGAAAAAATAATGTAGGGGGCGTGTGGGTGGAATCTTCACGTCGCAAGAGGGGCAATCACGAACGGGCATCGCCATGGACGGCTCCTTCTGGAAGGCGGGTGCGGCTTCCCCGGTGGTTTTGACGCCGGGTGCCGCTTCTCCGGTGGTTTTGATAGCGAGATCGCCGCCGGCAGTGGCTTGTGCGGCTTCCCCGGTGGTTTTGACGGCGAGATCGCCGCCGGCTGTGACGGGCGCCGATTTGAGCACGCGGACCCCGAGGTAGAGCTTCCCGGAGTCTGCCCTGGGCACCGCGCGGCTGAAGCAGAAGCGGAGGACGTCGCCGGTGTGCAGCCGGTGGTTCTCGGCGAAGTGGGCCCAGCCGCCGCCGGACATCATGTAGTGGGTGGAGCCGAAGCCGCGGCTGCGCCAGAACACCGAGTACCTCCGGCCCTGCTCGTCCTGGATGGCCAGAGCCACCCCGCGGCCGCTGTCGGCGAGGGCCTTCTCCTCCTCCGTCAGCACTCTCCCCACGGCCGCCGCCTTCTCTTGCACCACCCTCAGCCCGTCCTTGATATGTCCCTGGTCGAAGGCGTAGATCTTCCTCTCGAGCAGACAACGGGTTGAGTAAGACGATGAAGGCGAAGCCCGAGCCTTCTTCGCCGACGGGCGACGGTGGCGGTGGTGGTGGTGCAGCATGGCGTCAGGGGAAGAAGACCCACCGGCGGCGCGCTTCACCGGGGCCCGCTTCCCGTCGAGGGTGGTGCTCTTCCCGTGGCGGATGAATGAAGGAGGCGGCGGGCTCGGCGACGCATCTCTGGTAGTATAGCGCCACCCCATGATCTTCCCGCCACAGAGAGAGTTTCAGGAGGAGGAGAGAGGAGGGGCGGGGGGGTTATAGAGAGCTCCCTCAGGTCCTGTATTCCATCTGTTTACCGCGGCGCCTGGGCGGTATTTAAATGGCACGTTGGGGTTTAGAAACCCGGGAAGCTGCAATATCCCCTCCGCGTTTATCTCGCCCGCTCTAACGCCCTCTCTCTCTCTCTGCGAATATCGCGCGGTCCCTTCTTTGGTGGGACGAGCCCAACGGCGAAAGCAGACGAAGTGTCATGACGTGGGAAAAAAGATGAATACACAACGGCCCGAATCTGAAACATACGCGCCATCCTCACAGTCCCATTGCTATGGAAAGATCCTTCCTCTCTCTCTCTCTCTCTGTGTATTCTGGTCAACACAATGTAGAACCGGACGCCGGGCTAACCAGACCCATCGATGGACAAAAGCTAATTATCGAGTATTTGACCGGGTTGATAATACGATTGCAGCGCTGTCAGAGCACGTGAGTAACGATCAGTCGAAGATTTAGGGTCAACAATTCGCATAGTTAAACTGCTAGACCAAACGAGGATGACGAAGCAGAACAGACTGGACCCACATCAAGGCACGCAGTGATGCCCCTTGAGAGACAGGATGAGAGCGAACCAGGAGGGGTAGGGCCCTGCGGGAGATTAAGGGCGGGCGGCGAGTCGACGGTGTTAGGCGTCCGAGGGTGGCGGCATCTCTCTCTTGTTTGACTTTTCAGTGTCAATGTCTTTCTGCAGTGCTCGTTGATTTTATGTTATTCTTGTGGCATTGAATTCTTGGCAACTGATATGTTCTTTCTGTCTTCCGAACGATGAGAAGGAAAGGTGAATTCTGGAATTTTATTTTTTCAGGTTCCTATAAGTTTTTGGCCTGTGTTTGATTAGGACTTTCCGGCGGAAACAACTAAATAGGTATGTGCATTGAAATGCAGTTGTTGGATGCTTTGCTTTTTCGAATTAACTTCATGCATCTTTCGCAGACATCATCTGAAGGACTTTAGGGAACAATCTTGTCATTCGGCCGTTGATTGATGACGAGATACTCGTCGGCGAGGAACCTGATAAGTATCGAAGGATAGGACCAGCATGGACGAGAAGCAGCTCGCGCCTGTCGATGGCAGGTACCTGATTATGAGGAAATAAGAAGATTGTAAAGACGGGGGCGAGGGCGAAGTGGAAGAGGGGATAACAGTATTCCTGGTAGAAGAAAGTAGTTGGAGGTCGACCCCCTCGAAGCGGTCTGTATCAGGGTATTCGACCCCACTCTCTCTCTCTCTCTCGTACTCTCTTTCTTTGACCATTATCTTTATTTCCTTATCACAGAGTACTCTCCCTCTCACTCTCTACTCTCTCCCACCTGTCCTCTTATCGTGGCCCTCTATTATCGTGACTGACCTGTGACTTCTATAGTGAGATCTCTCCGCATCTAAGTCTTAATAGACAGTATCATGAGAAAGATTCAATGCTCAACTAAGATGTAATGGTGACTTGGTCATCCTTCATTCAGCAAGGCCCATGTGGGCCACGTCCCTTCTTACTGGGCTTTCACTTATTATTGTTTTTTGTTTAGAAAACAGTCCGGTCCTTTTTTTATAACCTGTATTTAAAGAGAGTTTTGGGAGAGAGAAAAGTGAGAGAAAATAGACAAATCTAGGGCACGAAGAACCTAATCCTCTCTAGCGGCTACAACAGGAGTTACAACATCATCTCCTTCCTTTTGTTCTCTCTCTCCTCCACTGGTGGCTAGTATTATTGCTTCATTAACTCTGTCTTTATTGTATTCTATTCCTCAGACCTTGTTATTACTCTCTTCTCTATTGGTTTACTGGTTGTGAGGTATGTTTATCCTCTTTAGACCATAGTAATTAAAGTCCTACTTTAATACAACTCATTCTATATTTTCATTATCATTTATATATTAGAAGACTTGCAGTATTTATACTCTTTAAGTTTTCGTTGTATTGATAGGTTAATTCAGGCCCATTAAGATCTTGTTCCAAGTACTATTTCCTAACAAATTGATATCAAAGTTTGGTTAGAGTCTTATTTCAGCACAAATAGAGATACAAGATGTCTACTAAGTTTGATATTGAGAAGTTTGACTGAAGCATCAACTTAAGAATATGGTAAGTCAAGATGAGAACCCTCTTGACCTACTAAGAGCTACATAAAGTATTATTAAGAAAAGAGAAAATGTCAAACACTATGTCTATGGAAGCAAAATAAGAATTACACGAAAAAGCTTTTGCTGTCATTCAACTTAGTTTATCTTATGAGGTTTTACGTGAGGTCATTCATGAAACTACAACAGCTGCACTATGATTGAAGTTAGAGTCGCTGTATATGATTAGATCGCTCATTAGCAAACTATTTTTGGAACAACGTCTATTCCTACTCAAGATGATAGAAGGTACATCAAGTAAAGCTCACCTTGATGAGTTCAATTTTATTTTACTAGATTTAAAAAATATTGATGAAAGATAAAAGAGGAAGACCAAGCCATGTTTTTGTTATGTTTTTTACCACCATATAGACACTTTTGAGAAACTTTATTATATGGTAGAGATACCATACCTATTGAAGATGTTAAATCTTTTTTGTTTTCGAAAGAGTTGATTGTCAAAGATATGACTACTACAAAAGGACAATAATCTGAAGGTCTTTTTGCAATAGGTAGACCTAAGGAGAAAAGTTAAGGGAGAAACAAGAGTGAGTCAAGATCCAAATCAAAATCTAAAAATAAGTTATGTAATTATTGTTGCAAGAAAGGACATGTGAAGGTTGATTGTTATAAACTCAAGAGAAGGCAGCAAGAAGACTACAAAGAGTTTAATCGTGTTGAAAGTTCAGCACAAACTAGTGTTGCCAAAGACGAGACTCATGATTTTGTTCTTTCTGTTCATACCATCAGATCCAAAGATGATTGGATCTTAGATATAGATTGTTCATATCATATGACTGCTCATAGAAAGTATTTTTCTACTTATGAGCAAATCAATGGTAGAAATGTCTTAATAAGAAATGATGTCTTCTGTAAAACTATTGGTATTAGCACAATTCATATCAAAATATTTGATTGTATCACAAAAATATTATCTAATGTCGGGCATGTTCTCGATTTGAAGAAAAATCTCATTTCTTTAGGCACACTTGAAGCTAATGGTTGCAAATATTCAAGTGAAAATGAGGTCATAAAAGTCAACAAATGAGCCCTTGTTGTGATGAAAAGACAAAGATGTGGTATCCTCTACATCCTATTAAGGACCACTATTTTTGGTTCAGTTATTACAGCATCTACCTCAATGACAAAAGAAGATGTCACCAAATTGTGACATATGAGGTTGAGATATATGGGCAAGAAAGGAATGGATCTATTAAGCAAGAGAGGCTTGCTTTGTGAGCAAAGTATTAAGAAGGTTGAATTTTATGAGTATTGTATTTTAAGTAAACATAAAAAAGTTTTCTAAATGATAACTCACAAGACCAAAAGTACTCTTGATTATATCCACTTAGATCTTTGGGGTCTTTCTCGTGTCCCTTCAAGAAGTGCTGCTCGTTATTTTCTATCATTTATTGATGATTTTTCTTGAAAAGCTTAGGTATTCATGCT